CCCCGACGCCGCCACCGCTAGCCCTTCGCGGAAGTGGCGTGGGGGGAGGAGGCGCACAGGGGCGAGTGCGTGGTGGTGGGGCGAGGGCCTGGGCGGTGGCTCGCCCGTCTTGCGCCGCTTGACGAGGAGGGAGTGGAGCCAGCCGAGGACGACGTGCACCCGCTCAGTCGACCGCTCGAGGGAGTGGCGCTCGCAGGGCTCGAGGCCGCCGAGCACGTCGACCGGGTTGCGACGCGCGAAGTCCGCCTCGTCGTCCGCGAGCCCGTCGAACCACGACGCCGCCGTGTAGCTCTGGTGCCTCTGCTCGCCCGGCCGGCGGGAAGGAGAGCGGGCGCGGAGCGAGTCGAGGCTTCGGTCGCAGCGGAGGGTGTGGATCGCCGTCGCGTGGAGCAGCGAGCCAAGGTGGAGCAGGCAGCGCGCGAAGGCCGCCGACTCCTTCTCTCGCAGCTTCGCCTCGTCGTCCGCCTCCTCGTCCATGTACGCCGACATGAGGATGGCGTCGCACCACTTGCTCGCCATGCTCTGCACCGCGGAGCGAGCCTCCCAGTAGCGGCCGAGGCTCTGGTTGAGCCGCATCACGAGCCCGAAGCCCGAGGCGAGCAGGATCGCCGAGTACGCGTACGTGTGCATGAAGATGAAGTCGTTGTCTGAGTTGTTCCCTTCGATGCCGTCTTGCGGGTTGCCGTTTGCGCAAAATGAGGGCCACACCTGGCAGCCGACCTGGGTGTGGAGCACGGCCGCGTAGCCGCCGGCGAGCGTAGCCCACGGAAGCGTGCGCACCAGCGCGCTCCCGCGCAGCGATAGCATCAGCGGCACGTCGGCGATCATCCCCTTTCTGTACGTGCGTGCCGGTCGGGCGCGCTCGCGCAGCTTCGAGCCGCCCGGGGCCGGAGCAGCAAGCGCTTCCTCAGACACGATCGTCAGCCCGTGCGGCAGCTCACCGGACGCGATCGACGCGTCCGGCGACTCGCGGGAGGGCGACTCCATCACAGACGACCGGCAAGCAGCGAAAGTCGATCGGACACACAGCTTCGACGAGAAGCCGCCGACGTGATGCAAAACGGCGCTCTTCACGGCTAGCTTTACAGAAGATCACAACCCGCCGAAAGCTTGGCGCAACCCGGGCCCGAAATGGCGTCACGCAAAAGCAGAAGCCGGGCCCGAAATCGCGCGCACACAGTCACGCAACACGCGGGGTCCCAGGGAAGGCGAGCAAAAACCTTATCGCGCGCGCTAGACGCCGACTCGGAGGCTGCAACAAAACAAACCTCCGGAGCACCGGTCACTCAGGCCTCAGGGCGCGCAGCCGGAGAGAGAGGGAGGCGCTCAATCCCGCACGCGGCGAGCGCCCCCATCATCTCCGCCTCCATACGCATCCTCCTCCTGCCAGCTTGAGCGCCTCCTCCACGCCCGTGCCCGCGCCCGCAGAGCGTCCGCACCGCAGCGTCCTCGCCGGGCGGTGGCTGCGGCCGCAGCTGCGGGCACTTGGAGCACTTGGAGTGCAGCCGGCTACATGTGTATCGCTGGCAACCTCATGTCACACCCACGGGCTATAGCAGCAGCCGCAGCAGAGGCAGCAACAGCGGCAAAAGCAGCGGTAAGCCGCTACACGCAAGCAACACAAATCTCTCTCTGTCTCTCGCAAGCACAGTCCACAGATGACAACAAAATCTCTCTCTCTCTCAGATGACACACAAAACATGAGTTGTTTGGTATTGCTAAATCTCCCGCTCTCTCTCTCTCTCTCTCTCTCTCTCTTTCTCTCTCTCTCACTCACTCTCTCTCTCTCTCTCTCACTCACTTTTTGTTGTGTCAGAGGGTTGTCCCTTTTTTCATGTTTTTGTGTTGTTGTCTCTCGCAGTTGTCTCACTCAGGAGAGAGAGATTTTTGAAATCAACAAGAAATCACGACTCTCACAGTGATTTGGGCTCGGCAGCTTGAGCACTTGAGCACTTGATAGGGTCGATTCCGCGCATGGTAGCTACGGGACCCCTCGATCGTCTCGCCCACCCTCACTGGTGGCTCGGCAGCTTGTTAGCCCTCAGCCGAAGCTGGGGCCGGTCCCGTAGCCGAGAGAGCCCGCGCCGATGAGTTCGACGCGGTCGGGGGGCCTGCGGGGGGCCTTGCGGAGAGGCCACAGCGAGATGGCGATCGCTATACTTCATGGTGCCCTAAGACAAAGTGGGGCTGGCTGACTAGCCAGAGGTCGATACTCTGGACGACCCATAGGATGCCACGAATGCCTGAGGGAGAGGGAGGCGAGGCCAGAGGCAGACTCAGCTGCTCTCGGGTGATCTCGCGTTGGAGAGAGATTCTCTCGCGTTGGTGGGTGGCTGAAGGGATACCCATCGCTGAGCCGACGATGCTTATGGGTAGCCCCAGGGTGGCGCCCACCCCCATACCCTCAGGCACTTGCCTGCGCCCTGGCCGCGCATGCCGCGCACGCGTGCGCACGCGCGCGCACGCCGCGCACGCGCGCGCACGTGCGCGCGCGCGCGCGTGCGCGCACGTGTGCGCACGCGGCACTACGCGGCACTACGCAGCACTACGCGCCCGCGCGCGCACGCCCGCGCACGCCCGCGCACGCCCGCGCACGCCCGCGCACGCCCGCGCGCACGCCCGCGCGCACGCCGCACTACGCGGCACTGCCCAGGTTCCCTCACGCTCAGATTCCTTCACGCTCAGATTCCCTCACGCTCAGATTCCGTGCAAGGGGGTGCCGAGGTATGCCGCAGGCCGGGAGGGTAGCGCATGTGCGGCTGACTCGAGGCCGCGTAGCCACTCCACACGACGCGTCCCACTGCGCTCCAGATTGTCAGGTTGAAGGAGGCCTGCACCGAACCACGGTCGGTGTGCTGCGGCGCCCACGAGAACACCGGAGTGCTTCCGTGAGGCAGAGCAAACTTTGGGCCGGCGAACCAGTCGGAGCTCGACGCACGGAGACGGATAGGTGGGAACAGCGGCAGCAAGGAGTTCAGAGGCGTCATCAACAAGGCCGCAGTCATGTGGCTCAGGCCTCGCAGGTGTTGTCAAGTGCTCCAAGTGCTCTCAACCTTTCTCACAGCACGCTGGGCGCCGCCACAGTTTGGGGGGCACACGAGCGGAAAAGAATTTGAGTTGGGTGTGGCTGCAGAAGCAGCGCATCTCAGTCGTTCTTCACACGGCCATCGCAGAGCAGATTGTGAATGAGCTTGCCTGCGGCGAGGGCGGTCGAGTGCACGGAGCTAAGTGCCTCGCCGTCCTCGCGGGAGTCGCTTAGGCGGCTCCCGTGGTGTACCTGTGTTAGTGCCAGTGCGCGCCAGTCCCGTGCCCAGTGTTGTGTGAGCGGAAAAGAATTTTACAACGAAACTCCCTCGCAGTGTGCGGAAAAGAATTTTCAACGACTCCTTCGCACGTCTCCTTAAAATCCCTGTGTGGTGGCGGCGTGCCGTCCTCCCATCCCTCCCTTGGGTTGTCTGTTTTCTTTCTTTCTTTTTACACTAGGCACGGGACTGGCGCACACTGGCACTAACACAGGGAGAGAGTCCTCTCTCTCCCCAACACAGGTACACCACGGGAGCCGCCTAAGCGACTCCCGCGAGGACGGCGAAGAATTTTAGAACACTCTGCCTCCTCCCTCCCTGCTTCCCTCCCTCCCTCCCTCCCTCCCTCCCTCCCTCCCTCCCTCCCTCGCTCGCTCGCTCACAAACAAACAAACAGGACAGAGAGAGATTTTTAGCAATACCATCAATACCAAACAAATCTAACACCCAGTGTAACAGAGCTGGAGCGACGCTGACCGAGTGCGTTGGGTGTGGGTGCGATTTGCGGGCCGCAGCATTTCTCCCAATTAATGAAAGCTTGATTCCTAATTTTCGTATAAGTTCCGGGAGAAACGTGCGTCCGCTGAGCGCGCTCAGAGGCTGGCGCCTGAGAGGAGTCTACACTAGAGAAAGGGAGAGGGGCGGGTGTTCTCTAGGCCCTAGAGAGAGAGCACAAGCACATACATGCGCGAATCGCTCTCGGCTCTGCTTGCGGCGACGCTGCCACAGGCCGTGGCGGTGATTCCCGGGTCCGCGCGGTACTTCCCTCCCCCGGCGCCCAGCTACACGCAGCAGCCTTCCGCCGTCAAGCCAACGGAGCTGTCTTTCGCCGGTCGCGCATCGGGCCCGGAGCTAACCCAGCCCAGCCTCACTAGCGAGGCCACGCGGCTTCGCAGTGACCTGCTTCGAGGGTACGACCGGTTGGCTGCTCCCATCACCACCGTCGGCGTACAGATACGCTTCTTCAAGGTGGAGGGAGTCCGGGCAGCCGAGGGCTCGATGCGGCTCAAGATCTGGCTCCGCCTGACGTGGTCCGACGAGCGGCTCCGGTGGAATGCGGCCGAGTATAGCAACCTCAGCTACGCCGTCTTCGGCGAGCACGAGGTTTGGGTCCCCGACATCCAGCCCTACAATACCATGGTGGGGATAAGCAACACGCTCGATGCCGTCGCCATGACAGTCTCTCCGGACGGCTCTGTGTTCTGGAGCCGGCCAGGCATGCTCGACGTCATGTGCAAATTTTCGGGGCTAGTCGCCTTTCCCTTCGACACGCTCTCGTGTGTGATTGAGATGGGTGGCTGGTCCCTCAGCGGCAATGTGCAGAACATCACCCTCGAAGACGGCGGCTACGTCTTCTCGAGCCAGGAGGAGTCGGCCGGCACGTCGTACCAGGAGTACACTATCAAGTCGATCGAGGTCTCCCGGGAGACTTACTTTTACCCGTGCTGCCCCGATGAGCCGTGGCCGATTCTCAAGTACTTGGTCAACCTGGACCGCGCGCATGAGTACTATACCACGCTCGTCATCTGGCCGTCTGTGCTGCTGACGTACTGCTCCATGGGCGTCTTCTTCATGTCATGCGAGGTGGGCGAGCGCCTCTCGTACGGAATCACGCTGCTGCTCGCGGCGGAGGTGACCAAGGTAGTGATGGCCAACTTCCTGCCCGTCTGTGGAGAGCTGCTGTGGATCGATCTCTTCACAGTGGTCTGCTCCGCCTTCAGCGTCCTCTCGCTCATCGAGTCGTTGGTGGTGCTCTCCCTTGCGTACCACCGAAAGAAGTACATCCTTCCGAGATGGATAGTGCTTATGTGCCGCCTCGCCCTCGGCTACGACCCCGCCGGACGCACGGTGCTGGCAGACGAGACTGTGCTCACAGGCGGCGTCGATCCTGATGTGGAGCCGTGCGCCGGCCCGATCTACCGCAGCCTCACGCGGAGTGGCGCGGGACCAGGCAGCAGCGAGGGACCAGGTAGCGTGTGGCTGCGCGGCGCGGGCTTGTCGGGCGCGCAGAGCACCGTCGACGCGCAGGTAGTCGCTTCGCGCCTGGCCTTCTACGAGAGCCTCTTCTTTAGAATCGACGCCGAGGCCGACGGCTACTTGGGCCTCGAGGATATGAGCCGCTTCCTCTCTTTCATCTTGGTCGAGTGGGAAAGCGAAGCTTGCACGCGTGTGTGTAAGCTGGCGGACTTGAATCAGGATGGCCTCATCGTCCGGAGAGAGTTTGTCGAGCTTTGCGCTACCGTCCTCGCCGACGAGCCCATCCCATACGTGGAGCAGGCGGCCGAAAACTTCTTGCACGCGCAGGAGCTCACGCAGCGGCGGAGCCGGGCCCACTGGGCTGGCGCCGCTCAGCAGGTCGACCGCCTCGCACGGCTGACGCTCCCCTTCCTGTACACTACCTCCCTGCTCGTCCTCTTCCAGCTCGACCTCTCCGACCCATACCTTAGCGACCCCGGCGCGCGCATGATTGTTGGCATCGGGGTACCTTCCATGTCGACGGCTGGGATCATCAAGTCGCTCGTCCCCACTTTTGTCGTCCTTCTGTGCATTGTCGGCTGGCTGGGCATTCGGAGCTACGCTCGCCAGAGGAAGCTGCTGCGCAAGCAGCCCACGCGCGACGAGATCCGGCTGCGCAACGGTGCGAGGCCGCGGCAGCTACCAAACAGGCTCGAGTTTCGGCGCGCCTTCGATTCCCTTGGGGTGAGGATCAGGAGCAGCACGAGCACCTCTAGACGAGCGGCGGCCGGGCTGCGGCCGACGGCAGTCCCGGCGCTGTCTGAGGACGACGACGAGCAGGTGGGGGCTGCGGAAAGCGCAGAACAGTGCAGCGTATCTGTACCATGTCCCCTGTAGTGGCACGCACATGCCTTGATATGTGCACCATCTGTACCATGCCCATGTAGTAGCGCGCATGCGCGCGCTGATATGTGCACAACGTAAAGTATGCATGATTATAATAAAATAACAGTCACACAGCAGAGACGGTACTCGGTAGAGCTAGAGGGATGGAGTGAGATCTTGCGGGGCAGGGCGTAGGCTAGCGCGTGAGGGCGCAGGCAAGTGCCCGAGGGTATGGGGGTGGGCGCCACCCTGGGGCTACCCGTAGCATTGTCGGCTCAGTGATGGGTATCCAAGGACCCGATGGTCCTGTCTCTCTCACTCATCAGATGAGAAGGAGGAGAGACAGCAACGACAGTCAGGGCCCGAAATCATGTTCATGTCATGTGCATGCTCCCCTTTCGAGAACCTTTCGTATCGGAAAAGAGAAAAGTAGCACCCGGGAGTGCGTTGCCGTGACACTTTGCCTCGCTTTGCCTTCCGCCTAAATCTGCACATCCTGACGATGCCCGACGCAGAGGAGCCGCAGCCCACGTACGAGGACCTGCAACGTGAGAACGAGGAACTGAAGGTTCCGCCCAATCACAGTACCCACCTCATTCGCCGAACGCGCCGGCCGCTCAACCAAAACACCCTCTCGTTGCAGGCAAAGGTTTACGCCGCGCAAGTCACCAAGCCCCCCCGCGAGCGCCAGCGCGGCGGGATGAACTCATTCAGCGATCCGACGGACACCTCTTGCGTTTGCGGCTGCACAATCGCATAGCTCTCACGCCAAACTCTCTCGCACACGAGCTCTTCGCTGTCGACGTCTTTCCCTCGAGATGCTCCACGGACCTCCGGACGAAGCCAGGACTCGTCGCCCAGGGACACTCGGGAACACACCGTGTCAGTCCGATAGAGTGACTCATAACTCACTCTTCACTCGTCACTGTGTCTCTCACTGTCTATATATATAGTCGTGTGTGTATAGTGTGTCGTCAAGAGCGAGAGAAGATATAGTTCCCTGGGCCAGTCTCACGCGCTCGAGACATACAAAAACATGCACCTGATTTAAGGCAGAGGCACCTCAACGGGAGAGGCGGCAGGCTCGACGGGCCTCTTTCCTGCGCCTCGATGCCGTCACCTCCCGTCCCACGCGCTGCCTGGTGTGCCTCCGCCCGTCATCCGCGCGACGTGGTCCCGCATGCTCTCGTGCCTGCCGCGGCGCGGGCCGTGCGGAGTGAGGTTGTGCCGCGCGCGAGGGCGGGCGGCGGGGCGCACTGCAGATCCGTCATCCCCCCGAGCATGAAGGGCGGCTCGTCAAAGGCCTTGGTGGAGATGGGCGCATCCTGAGAGCGGAGAAGCGGGAGGCTGGGCGAGGGTACGGCTTGCGTCGCGCGGGCGGCTGGCACGCCTGCTGCAGCACGCGGTCCCACCAGCCCGGCGACGCCTTGCGGAGCGTGACGACGAGCTCGCGGCCGCCCTCGGCGTCGTCGTCGAGCTGCCACTCGCACTCATCAGGAAGCACCTGACGGTGCGAGGTCCGTGGGCCTCGCGGGCCGGGAGCGAGGCGTGTGCGGCGAGGCGCCTGCGCGCTCAGCGTGCCGTCCATGCAGACCTCGGCATTCACCGCCACCTTGAGGCTCGCCGACTTGAAGTCGACCCGAACAGCTCGACCCTTTGTGCCGGTCGCCACCCGCAGCTTCAGCACCACCTGCTCGTCCCTGTCCTGCAGCCAGCGGCCCCATAGCGAGATGCCGCCCTTGGCGTCGTCGAGCGGATCTGAGAGGTCGGGGGAGATGGCCATACACACCAGCGCGCGAGCAAGGTAACCAAACGCCGGGGTTCGGGCTCATGCTGGTAGGGAGCTAGGTGCTTGATACCGTATGGCAGCCCCCCTGCCCACAGGCTGGGGCGACGAGCGCGGAGCCATCTGCGCGCGTGGCGGGGGCGGCGGGATGGCTGATGTCGATTATCAGCAGCCAGCCATGCACATGCATCATGCTCCGACCAAAAGCTGCTGCTTCGAGCCGCGGCCGACTCTGCCACCGCGGCTGCGGCTGTCATGCTGTTCAGAAGACCGGCGCATGATATGCGGCCTCCCTGCGGATGCTGCCGGCGAGCCTGGCGGTCCGCTGCACTTCAAGAGCAGCTGAGTCTGCCTCCGCCCTCGCTCGTCCCCCTTCACCTTCCGGTCGGTGAGTCGCCCTGCCCCAGTCGTCCAGATATAGCCAGCTCAGCCGGGGCGGGCGGAATGGCTGCGGCGCGCGAGCTTCCAACCATCCCTACTCATCAGGATGGCTGCCCTGTGTGGTTGTATTGGGTATTGCAGCCATCGGGCTCTGGAGGCTATGAATGGCTGCACTGTAGCTAACTCAGCCATCCATCCTGAAGTAAGATGGCTGCGCAGGAGCCTTCACAGCCATGTCCATACTGCTGTCATATTCCGAGGTCGGCCGCCAGAACGCAAGACGGGGTTCGGGTTCATCTCGTGATTTTGGGACCACACATATGCCACTGCCGCCCAAAATGCCGCACTTCCGACCTCTCCCCAGGTCGCGCAGCGAAGCGAAATGCCGTAAACGACATGAATCAAACGCAAAATGTCCATCGTTGCATCGCACTTGGAGCACTTGCATCGCACGACATACGTCTTCAGCTGTTTTTCAGCACTCCAGGCGCTGCCTTTGGACTGCATTGTGTGTTGTTGTTGTGTTGCCCCTCTCTGGTTGGTGTGACTGATCGTTGGACGTTTGCTTAGAATGGAGGAGGATCTTATGAAGCGTCGTCTCCTTTACACTTCATCACGTGTTAGTTCTCACTATATAGCAAAACGCGGGCCTGGATGTTCATAGCATCGGGCACGAATCGGCACTCCCAAAGCGTAATTCCAGAGCTCCCTGCCACGCTTGGAGAGGCCGATTCGGCCGGCCACGCTGCGCCGCCGGCTCGCTGGAGATGTGGCCAACCTCGGTTGCGCCGGCCAGCACCGGAGCCCCCGCCGCTCCCGCCGGCACACCGGGAGTGGGGGCTCCGCTGGCCGACCAGGCGGGGCGTGGGGGGCTCCGTTCGCCCCCCGAGGCGGCGCATACGTTTGCCGAGCCCGCCTCCGGGCTCCGGACCCCGTGTTGTGTGTAGAGAGAGAGATTTTTAGCAATACCAAACAATTCTGACACTCACACATCATTTGGGGCCGGGAGCCGTGTTAGCGTGTTTGTTTTGTTTTTGCGTGTACGAATGTCAACAAACAACAACAAACAACACCACCTGGCAACCCTGTCTGCACGTCTCGCGCGCGCGTGAACAGGGCTCCAGGCCCCAAATGACGTGTGAGTGTTAGATTTGTTTGGTATTGCTAAGAATCTCAACAAACAAAATCTCTCTCGAATTTGTTTTGTTCTCGAATGTCACTGTACGATTTCGGGCCCGCGGGTTGTGTGTGGCCCACCCCCCTGCGCGCGGGCCTTCTAAATGCCTGCGGGTAGTCTCCCCCCATCCCCAGGGCCTCGACGACGACGACGACGAACCTCCTCAACCTCTCATAGACCAGCGCAAAGCGCGGGACGTAGTTTCTTCTCAATCAAGGCGCTGTGGTTGAGACTCCCGTCGAAGAAACGCGCAGCGGGCAACGTGACACAGGTAAAGGTGATCGCGAAGCTTCCCCATCCTGGGCACAAGAGCTCACATCCGAGAGAGAGAGAGAGAGAGACCACCACACTTCCCGCGACGAGCACGCCGCCTCCCGGAGAACAACGAGATCTGCGATTCCTGGCTCGCAATCCGCATCGCGGCCGCGGGTCGAAAACCCCTACCGACATCAGCCTCCTTTTGCCCACCCCGTTAGGTCCACATTATGTCGAAGAGGGAGGAGTACCCGGGCGACGACAACTATTCCTCTGTCAACCACGTCGCGGACGCCTTGGAGACGCCGGCGACGGCTGGTCACGATGCAGAGGCTGACCCGTTCGCAGAGGAAACCGGGTCTGAGCCAAAGTCGGTGCCCGAGACGCCGGACCAGGAGAGCGGGATGGTGGGAGCGGCCACGAAATCCAGCGGGGCGAAGCGGCGGAAGGGGAAGAAGCCCATCTCGGAGCTCGCGCCGCTCGAGTTCTCCGGCCGCTTCGCGGGCGGGCTCCGCGCCGACCTGCTGCGCCGCGTGCCGCTCTACGTGTCGGACTGGACCGAGGCCTTCACCGGCGGCAATTGCATGAAGACGACCGCCTCCATCTGCTTCCTCTTCTTCGCCTGCCTCTCGCCCGCCGTCACCTTCGGCGCCGCCTTCGCCGACGCGACCGACAACCAGCTCGGCGTCATCGAGACGATCATCTCGTCTGGCATGTCGGGCCTCATCTACTCCTTCCTCTCGGGCCAGCCCCTCTGCATCCTCGGCGCGACCGGCCCCGAGCTCGCCTTCCCCGTCGTTTTTTACGAGATTTGCCAATGGGGGGGGGTTCCCCCCCCCCCCCCCCCCTCCCTCCCCGCACCCCGGCCCGCCCGCCCCCTCCCCCCTCTCACCCCTCCCCCCCTTCACCCCCCCCCCCCCCCGGCAGATGGAGGTCGACTTCCTGGCGGCGCGCGTCTGGCAAGCGCTGTGGTGCTCGCTCTTCACGATCATCGTCGCGCTCTTCGACCTCTCGGCGTGCATGAAGGTGTGCACAAGGTTCACCGAGGAGATCTTCTCCTTCCTCATCTCGATCATCTTCATCGTCGGCGCCTTCACCACCCTCATCAAGCTCTACCTCGCCGACCCCGACGTCGAGGGCGACGACCCGGCGGCGCCGGCCAACCGCGCAAAGGCCTTCCTCGGCACGCTGCTCGGCCTCTTCACCTACTTCACCGCCATGTGGTGCCGCGCCTTCCCCAAGCGCAACGAGACGACGCCGCTCGTCCGCAAGCTCGTCGCCAACTACGGCGTCACCCTCTCCATCCTCCTCTACTCGGGCATCAACTACGGCTTCCGCGACGTCGACGTGCCCTGCCTCGACATGCCGGACGAGATTGTGCCCACCGCGACGCTCAACGGGACCGGCGAGTCGCGCGGCTGGTTCGTCAACCCGTTCGGGGACGAGACCGCCTCCGGCTACGACACGCCCGGCGTCGGCTTCATCTTCTTCGCCGCCGTGCCGGCGCTCGGCCTCGCCGTGCTCGGCTACCTCGACCAGAACCTGACGACGCTGCTCATCAACCGCAAGGACCACAACCTGAAGAAGGGCGGCGCGTACCACCTCGACCTCCTCGTGTGCGGCATCTTCATCTACCCCATCTGCGGCTTCTTCGGCCTCCCCTTCACGCACGCCGCGACCGTCCGCTCGATGTCGCACCTCATGTCGCTCATGACGCGCGAGGACTCCACGAACGAGCACGGCCAGACGGTCTCCAAGGTGACCAACGTGGTCGAGCAGCGGGTGACGCACCTGGGCATCCACTGCCTCCTCCTCGCCGCGCTCGGCCTCTCCGCGGTGCTCACCAAGATCCCGAAGGTGGTCCTGGCGGGCGTCTTCCTCTACATGGGCGTCACGGCGCTGCCAGGCGTGCAGCTGTACGAGCGGCTCTGGCTGTGGCTCATCTGGGACCCGAAGAAGTACCCGCAGTACGACTACGTGACCCAGGTGGCGCGCAAACCGCTCCACCTCTATACGCTCTTCCAGTTCTCCTGCCTCGCCGTCCTCTACGCCCTGACCAAGGTGCCAAACCCGTACATCTCGGTCATCTTCCCATTCTTCATCGCCTTCCTCCCCCTGATCCGCAAGCTGGTGCCAAAGTGCTTCCCCTCCGTCTGGAGCAAGGAGGACCTCAAGGCGCTCGACAAGTAAACAGGGATGGGAGCCGTCCGGAGGCCGCGCTCGCCCGCTCGCGTGGCCCGGGCACCGAAGCGCTGCTACTATATGCGCTCTAACGCCCGCGGCTCGCCGCGCGAGCATGTATTACCGTATGTACTGCTGTGTGTGAGCGATGCAATGACCAATGTCCTCTGGGGGGAGGCGAGGGCCCTAGGGGGTACCCATGCGGGGGGGAGATGGGGTCCCCCAGCCCGCCGCAGGCGCCGATTTTTTGGACATTTTTTCTTTTTCGCGCGATTTTTTACTTGTTTTCATGGGAATTCGGCGTACTTGCGGCCATGCTATCACGCCTTGCGACATCCTTTCGGCGCTGCTGACCATGCCATGCTGCTCAACTGACCGCCTGCATAGCTTGCGGCCTTAGTCTTCGGCATTCAGTGACGACCTGATCGTACGGCCAGTAGGAAGGTGTCCTTCCAGCGCGTGCACGCTTCTGACGCAATGCGCGTCACAAACTGCCTCGGATTGGCTGCTGGCACTCTCGAGGCTATGCCTACACAGCCTCGCGCGCATGGGCAGTCAAGAGGGACCATGCACCTTCTCAGGACAGCGCCGGTGCCTCTCTCTTGGACCGGCAAACGTGGTGGTCTCGTGTCACCGATGTGGGACCAGTGCGGCATCGCGCCATCGACAGCTCTGAACTGCGCCTCACCACTGACCGGGAAGGCCGCCAAGTGGGTCAGCACCGGTCGCACATTGTGGCAGCAGTCAGCAGCGCATGTCTGATAGTTAGAGCAGCAGCGTCAGGGTCGCAGGGTCGGATCGTGTCAAGCCTCTCGCCCGGCCGGCCGTGTGCAGACGTCGGCCTGGGTCTGCTGTCTGGAGTGATCTGTCGGCGGTCAGTACGACCGATCAGGTCGGAGTTTTCTGATGGTTGGAGGGTCTATCTGTATGTACTCCTCGAGATCTCTCCAAATCTGCCCTCTGATTAACCTAGCTTAATCGGGAAGTCGGTGCTAGTAGAGACTAGTAGAGCCGGGCCCCGTTTCCGCACTGCGGCGCGGCGCACGGTGCCTCCGGGGGCCCCCGCCTCCCCCCAGAGCCAATGTCGCGGTGTGTCGAGTGTCGTGCGTGTGTCGACTGTGGTGCGGCGCATGGGCATGCCTAGACTCATGGTATGTACTTCTTGACCCGGGAATCAGCTGGGTCGCAAAAAACGGAAGTGCACGCGATCGCGACACTGCACACTCACTCGACGAGCCCCGTCTCTCTGTGCAGATAGAGGCACGAGTGTAGGGATAATGGATAGAGAGGGAGAGACAGAGAGAGAGCGAGAGAGAGAGGGAGAGGGAGAGAGAGAGAGAGAGCGGAAGAGCCCGCCACACCGGCGGGAATATCGTCATCGACACACACAGCAGGAAATAGTCGGGGGCAGGCAGTCCCGGCGGCAAGAGTGCAAATGCTTGCCCGGACCGCCCGCCCTCGCATGGCACGCATGGTTCGAGGCGCGCGCCCCTCACAAGGGGCGACGAGACGGCGCGTCGTGTGGCTCGGCCTGCGCTCGAGTACCGGGAGGCGGGTTGTGCAGCCCGAGGGCCTCCAGCGCCGTAGAGACGCGAAGCATGGTTTGTTCTGCGGGGCTGGGCCCGTGCCCCGGGCCCAGCAGCTGCGTCGGCGTCAGCAGCGACGACGGCGCGCAGCGCTGCTCGGTGGGAGGGGCATGCGGCTGTCCTGCCGTCTGCAGGTGCCCCCCCAGCGGCCCCGGCATCACGAGGCCCGCGCTGAGCGGTTGCGGCTCGAGCCCGGGCGGCGACCCATGCCCGGGCGGCGAGCGGTGCCCGGGCGGCTGCGGCGAGAGATGGCCGAGCGGCGACGCATGGCCAAGCAGCGGCGGCGAGGATTGCCCGAGCGGTGGCGGCGAGCCGTGCCCAAGCGGCTGCGGCGACAGGTGCCCGAGCGGCGACGTGTGCGGCGACGGCTCGGTCTGCGGCGAGATGTGCCCAATCGCGGTCGGCGCGGGCGCAAGCAGACCAAAGGGCAGGGCGGGCTCGAGGTAGGCGTCGCTGCCCGTCGGCACCAGCTGCTGCGGCTGCAGCCCCGGCGCCGTGCCGACGGGCATGCCCGCGTGCGCGAAGACGGCGAGCAGCCTCTCGAGCTGCTGCCCGCGCAGGAGCAGGTCGAAGCGCGTCGACGCGCTTCTGTACCGCAACACGTCGCTCACCGACGACTCGGGCAACGACAGGACCTGGGCGGCGCGGGACGGGGCTGGGGCTGAGCAGGATTAGTGGGCGGTGGCACGCGCGCGCGTCTCGGTCGGCGAGGGCGCGCGGCTCGGGGGCGAGGTGGGGCGGAGCTCTATATACACACATATAGCTCCACCTGCCCGGACCACGCGTGCGTCTGCAGCGGCCGGAAGCGAACCTGCGAGGCGGAGGCGGAGGCGGGGGAGAGCGGGTCCATCTGGAGGCCGCGAGAGGAGAGGCGAAAGGCTCGCGCGCGGGGGCTCGGCCGGTCTCGTCTCGCCTCCCTCCGCCCCTCCCCCTCCCCCTCCCCCTCTCCCTCCCTCCGGCTCGGTGGTCTGGCGGCGCGAGTGCCTGCACGGGGAAGCGGCCTCCCCACGCGCTCGGCACCAGGTCCATGCCGGCGGGGCAGGTCGGCTGGAAGACGCCCATGAGCTGCCGCGTCCGCACGTTGAAGAGGAAGAGGAGAGAGCTGCGGACGGGCGCGGTGGCGTTGGCGCTCTTCGATTGGCGCGCCGTGCCGGCTGACGCGAGCGAGGCACGGCGGCGGTGGCGGGGCGGACACCGCGCGTGGCGCGCGTGCGCCGTGCGCCGTGCGCCGTGCGCCGTGCGCGTGCGTGGGCGCGGGGCGGGGCGGCGCGCACGAGTCTGTGACTTTGGACAGCAGGGAGACCTGAGTCTTTGGCAGCCCGAGCAGGCATCTCGCGAGGCACTCCTGCGACGAGGCGGGGGCCGAGGGACGTGAGGGCGACTCCTCGCCGCCGGCGGCGGCGCGCGGCGTGCGCGTGGGCCGGGAGAGTCGGCTCCTGCTCCGTGACCGAGTCGCAGATGAAGATGACGCCGTTGCGCACCGCGCGAAGCCGCGAGGAGCGCGCCCGCGCCACGTCGACGCCGCAGCTGCCCGCCGGCTGCTCGCTCGCGCAGCCTCCGGCGGAGGGCTGGCGAGGGACGCCGAAGTGGTGGAAGAGGGAGACGAGCGAGCTGGCCTGCTGGTGGTCCAGCTGCAGGTCGAAGCGGTTGAAGGTTCCGTGGTAGTCGAGCACCTCGCGAAACGTGCTCTCGGGCAGCTGCAGCACGTACGGCGTCAGCAGCCGCACGCGAACCTGCAGCGGGTAGCGAGAGACGCCCGTCTCGTGGCCCCACGCCAGCGGCTCGATATTGTGCTCCGGCCAGCTCGTCGCGCGAAACACGCCAAACAGCAGCCGCGATCGCACCTGCGCGACACAATCCTGCCTGGTCAGCAGGCGGGCGCGGCGTCGGCCTCTGGCGCGCCGGCCGCCGCGGCAGCAGCAGTGTGCGCGTGGAATGGATCGCTGCGAGGGCATGGCGGCGGCCGCGCGCGCACATTGAACAGGAACAGCAGCGATTGCTCCGGCACGATGCCGCGCACGACCTGCGCCTGGGAGGCAGGCAGCCCGAGCAGCGAGCGCGCCAGGCACTCGTCCTCCGTTCGCGGGTCGCACAGGTAGACCGCGTGCGCCGCATTGGCAACCAGCCCGCCCTGGTAGGCCTGGCCGGCTGCGGCGGCGTCTAGACCAGCGCTTGGGAGGTATGCCTGGCTGCAGCTGCCTGATGAGCCGGCGCAGAGCGCCCCGCCTGACGCAGCCGCTGCGGCGGCGCCGTGCGCGGCGCCGCCGGCCGACGCCGCCGGCGGAGCCCCCACTCCCGGTGTGCCGGCGGGAGCGGCGGGGGCTCCGGTGCTGGGCGGCGCAACCGAGGTTGGCCACATCTCCAGCGAGCCGGCGGCGCAGCGTGGCCGGCCGAATCGGCCTCTCCAAGCGTGGCAGGGAGCTCTGGAATTACGCTTTGGGAGTGCCGATTCGTGCCCGATGCTATGAACATCCAGGCCCGCGTTTTGCTATATAGTGAGAACTAACACGTGATGAAGTGTAAAGGAGACGACGCTTCATAAGATCCTCCTCCTTTCTAAGCAAACGTCGAACGATTAGTCACACCAACCAGAGAGGGGCAACAAACAACAACAACACACAATGCAGGCCAAAGTGCGAAAGATAAGAGGAGTTGGAAGCGGAACAAAAAGAAACCCGGCGGCCGAATCTGGCTGGGCTCACCCACAAGCTTCCCGTGGCTCGCACATCATGCTCTCGCTCGCGCTCACGCTGCCTGCCTTCCTGCCCGGCCAGGGCATGGGCATGCGCCGCGGCGTCGCCTCCGGCGTCACGATGGCCGCCAAGCAGACGCCGCACGGCGGCACGCTCGTCGACCTCTTCAGCTCGGACGCCGCCGCGGCGGCCGCCTCTGCCGACATCAAGGTGGAGCTGACGGACCGGCAGTCGTGCGACGTGGAGCTGCTGTGCAACGGCGGCTTCTCGCCGCTCACGGGCTTCATGAACGAGGCGGAGTACAACTCCGTCGTCGAGGACATGAAGCTGCCGTCGGGCCTCATCTTTGGCCTCCCCGTCGTGATGGACACCGGCGACGCGAACGTCAAGGTGGGAAGCAAGCTGCTGCTCACCTACCAGGGCACGGACATGGCGGTGATGACCGTCGAGTCGCTCTTCACGCCCGACAAGCCCAAGGAGTGCCTCAACTGCTACGGCACCGCCTCGATTGAGCACCCCGGCGTGCGGATGGTCGCGATGGAGCGCGGCAGCACCTACGTCGGCGGCCCGCTGCAGGGCCTGGGCGTGCCCACGCGCGACTTCCCGTGCGCCACCCCCAAGGAGGTGCGGGAGACGCTGCCCGACGGCGCCGACGTCGTCGCCTTCCAGTGCCGCAACCCGGTCCACCGCGCGCACTACGAGCTCTTCACGCGCGCGCTCGACGCGCCGAACGTGGGCGAGGACGCGGTCGTGCTGGTGCACCCGACGTGCGGCCCGACGCAGGAGGAGGACATCCCGGGCTCCGTCCGCCACAAGACCTACGTCGTCCTCCAGGACGAGACGAAGGACACGCCGAGCGGCAAGCGGACGCGCTGGGCGTTTTTGCCGTACTCGATGCACATGGCGGGCCCGCGTGAGGCGATCCACCACATGATGATCCGCAAGAACTTCGGGTGCACGCACTTCATCATCGGCCGCGACATGGCCGGCTCAAAGTCGTCCGTCACCGGCGACGACTTCTACGGCGCCTTCGAGGCCCAGGACCTCGCGAAGGCGCGCGCCGACGAGCTCGGAGTGCAGGCGTGCGCCAGCCCGCCGCGTGCTCCCCTGCGCCCCGCCCTCCCCCGCCCGCCCCGACCGCCGCCCCGCCCCCTCCCCCCTCCCCCCAGGCCGTCCCCTCCCTCAACCTCGTCTGCGACCCCGACGGGAACTACATCACCGCCGACGAGGCAAAGGAGAAGGGCATCGAGGTGATGAAGCTGTCCGGCACCAAGTTCCGCAAGATGCTGCGCGCGGGCGAGGAGATCCCGGAGTGGTTCGCCTTCAAGTCCGTCGTCGATGTGCTGCGCGCCGAGTGGAAGTGAGCTCGTGCCCTATTCTTCCTCCGGCCGCAGCCCGTCCCCGCGACGAAGACACCAGACCTCGGGCTGTATCGGAGGGCGTGCGTGCCCTCCCCCTTCGGCCGCACGCATGCCCGCTCTGCGCTCCGATCCGGTCCGCCGGCCCGAGAGAGAGAGAGGGAGCACAGGGCGCGGCTGTGGGGGGGCAGTTTGAACTCTGTGGAAGCCGGCCGTGTGGGATGTGTGACGCTAAGCGGCCTCGGCCCTCGCTTGTCGCTATGCGCGAGATCCGAGAACGCCGTGTCTAATGTACTTGCGTTGTGATGCATGTATGTATAAATTACTCGACGTGACACCCCCATCAATGAGCGCTCTCACCGACCACAGTCATTCTTCGCGCGTCCGGCGTGTCTGGAGTGAGCCGTGAGCGTGACCCGTGACCGCGCGACTCGGCCGGCGGCGCACACTTCTCGCGGCTACACAGCAGATTCACGACATTCGCCGTCACGGCAGAGAAATGACGATAACGTACGATGGGCGACGAGCGCTTCACTTCGAGCCGGCAATCGGCTACATCCGGAGACCGGAAGTCACTTCTTCTTGGCAGCGGTGACAGTCTTGGTGACCGCCTGAATGTCATCGATTGTAATCTCGTCGCGCCCGTCCGCAAGCGCCCTCTGAAGAGCCTTTTTGCACAGCTCCTCCAAAAGCGGCTCCAGCGCCTCCTCCAGCGCCGCCAGCGCACTCGCTTCGAACGGCAGAGACGAGGACGCGACTGTTTTGAGCGCAATGTCGTGGAGCATTGTCTCCAGCCACGAGGGCATCTCGCTGGCAGACGGCCGGAACCGCTGAGGAGCCTTGCGCTCGCGAGTGCTGGAGCGCTTGGAGATCACAGTCGGCTTCTTCGAGGCCTGCTTTGTCGGCATTCCTTCGCGCACTTCGCGCTGGACAGTGGCGAGGCTCCCGCTCTTTCGGTTAGTGCGTTTTCTTTTTTTGAACATTAAGCTGATTTTTCTTCTTCCACGAGCGCTTTCGATCATCGCCGGAATCCTACGAGGTGGGAGCTGACATTTTCAGATACAGATTTGCCTGCAGGCGACGACACTCTTCACACTCTCACACAGATCACAGATGTCAGATCACACGGCTCGAGGTAGCATTTGAAAACAAAGGCGGCTTGACTGGAATCAAGTCCTAGCCGCGGCTGCGGCCGCCCGCGCCTCGGCTGCCTTGGCGGCCGCCACCCTCCGCTGCGTGACGCCCGCGCCATCGGCGGCGTCTCTTGATGTGGCTCCCGGCGCCTGTTGGCTTCCACCGCCCCAGCCGCGCACCGCCGTGCGAACAAAGGCCGACTCCTCGGGAGCTTTCGCGCCGCGCGGCACCGCTCCGTGCCGAATCTGCTGGTCCAGCTGCTCCGCGTGCAGCGTACCTGCGATCCGCTCGCCGCCGTTGAATACCGAGTAGGCGGAGGCGCCGCCGGAGCGCCAAGCTGTCTGTCCGGTGCCGCACGTGAAGATGGCTAGGATTGCTAGAGCGATGAAGGTTGGACCCCCAAGGCCGATCGCAGCCCCGGTGGCCTGGGCGACGGCAAAGGCGGCCGCGCGAAGGATCCAGACACGCAGTGGCGTGTGCCCAGACTTGACCATGTCTGAAGAGAGAAGGACCGGCTGAGACAGGTCCCGCCGCGGACGGGCGCCTCCAGCTGCTGCGGCCGACGACAGGCTGCCGCGAAAACGTGTCGACAGCGAGAAAAAAATGGTATGCTGTGACACTGCGTGGTGGCGGCGTGCCGTCCTCCCATCCCTCCGTTGCGTTTTTGTTTTCTTTCTTTCTTTCTTTTACTCGAGAGTGTGTAATCTGTGAGGGTCCGCCCGCAGCCGCATTTTGTGCACCGAGGCGGTGCCCGGTGCCGAGCGCAGGCAGAGCCCACAGGTCGGACCTTAAGACGACAGCATTGTAGATCCCTGGGCGAGGGTGATGGCGTCCCCGTCGGGAGGGGCTGTCTGGGAGGGTGCCCTCCCACCGTCACCTCACCAGCGTCCCGGTGAGTACGGCGATCACACGAGCCTGCGGCAAGCTCGTGCTCGGTGACAAGGCGAGCCCTCAGACGACTTTTCATCTCAACGAGGGGCACGTCACCGACATGTGCGAGATCGGCGGGATGTCCACTACGAAGTCAAGGTGCCTAGCGCCCTCACTAAGACGAGGCAGGCTGGGCAGGGCTCGGCGGCACACGGCGGATGCTGTGCGTCACTGGGCCACAAGTTTGGTTTCGGCAACACCCTCGACCAAACCTTGCTCAAGGTTCTTGGGTGTAAAGAGCGCGGCCACAAGTCACAGGGCCCGCTCGTCCATGCGACCGGTAAAGGCTGGGTCAAAGGGCACAAGGGACAGTACTACGACGCGCTCCATGTCAAGAACGGAATCGTCAAAATTTGTCTCGTCGAAAGCCAGGGCGGCATCGCGCCGCCGACCAAGAGAAATAGAGAATCATCTTCAACTTCGCCAAAGAGGTCGGCAGCCCGAGCGCCGTCGACCGCACCGACTACGTCTACGCTCTACGGCACAGCCTCCGGCAGCGCCCGGGAGTGTCCAGCACCACTCGCAACAGCTCTCGCGCGCCGCCGTCTGTGGCGACGCGCAAAACATCAACAACGCTGCTCGCAACATGCGTGTCGCGCACTCATTCATGACCGGTCTCAATGCCCCCCCCCCCCCCCTGCGCGCGGGCCTTCTAGGCCCGCGGGTAGTCTCCCCCCATTCCCAGGGCCTCCAGGGCTCGCACCTCAACCTCTCACAGACCAGCTCACAGCGCCCCCGTTCTTATTTTCTTCTCAATAAGAGGGCTCCCGCGGCGATCAACACCGCAACTCCTTTTCTAAATTTCACCACGCTTCTTACGCGCGACCAGCAGCTGATGACGCGCGAGATGTCGGTGTCGCGGAATTCGTGCGTACCGTCGCCGTTGGGACGGTCGTTGCTCGCGCCGTTGGGAAACGCAAGGCGCACCTTTTTGTTTTGAAGACCTCGATACTTAGCGCACTGCTCGGGCGAGAGCTCAAACACGTGCCGCGTCTCGTCTTCGCCGCCGGCTACGCGCACAGACACAGTGCGCGGCAGCGCCGACACGTCAACCCGCGTGTACGTCAGCGACGGGTCCCGCACGCCGCACGAGGCGCATGCGTGCAGCGGCAGCGCGTGCGCCATGCGCTCGTCGCTCCACTCGCCCAGCAGCCGCCGCTTCGTCTCGTCGGAGACGTGCACGCAGCGCTGCAGCAGCGCCGCCGTCTCGTCCTCGGGCCGCTCCAGGTCCATGACGACGTTCGTCGAGGCGTGGAAGCGCGTCTCCAGGTCGATGGCCGCCTGCTCGGCCGCGGCGAGCTTGCCCTGGTCGACGCACATGCCGCACACCGCGTGCGCCGGGCAGCCGCACTGGCCGCGTTGTGGGCGCACGGTCTTGGCGACCGCCGGCGCTGCGCGCCGGTCGTGCTGCTCACGCTGCCGGCGGCGCTGGTCGCGCGCCTGCCGATCGCGCGTGTTCGCGGCGGCTGCATCTCTTGCTCGTTTCGCTCGCACCCGAGCGGCTGTCGCCAGGCGCTTCAGGTCGGCGGTGCTGCGCGCGCGGCCGTCGGCCAGGCACAGCCACATGTCCTCCTCCTTAGCAGGCTCGCACGGCTTGCCGTCGAACTGCGGCTGGCGCCCGCGACGATGCTTCGCCCAGGCCGGGCACGATGGTGCCGCGACGAGCGGCGTCGAGGCGACGGCCATCGATGGGTCCAGAAGACTTGGAGACACTTCTACCAAAAAATAAAAAAAATCGAGCACAATTGCGTTACATGGGCATGGCCGGGGTTTCTGCACCGAACGATCTTACTTTCGGTCTATCGAAAGTGTTGATCGATAACCTCGAGAGAGGCTGTGAAAACAGACAATCCAGAGGAGTCGAGAGGCTGCCGCCCGGGCAACCGCGAGATCCGGTTCCACGCCACTCAGCGGGCTAGCGCGTCTCCAGATCCACCGCTATCATGTCTGACGGATCCGAGGAGATTCTTCTCTGCTCGGATGACGGAGCTGAGCAGGGCCTGCGCGGCGCCGCCGCCGCCGATATGCAGCAAGGCTCTCACATTTGCGCGGCGCCACTCCCTCCACTATTTGCTGCTGAGCAGCCGCTCCTGTTGGAATACAAGCCGTTTGCTCAGCCACTCTCCGCTCCAGCCGACCGCGTCCAGCCGCCCCTCATCATCCTGAATCCCGACCCTTCGCTGAAACGCCTCCAGCGGCATCTTGTCCACCTGAGAGCTGGGCCGAGCGTGGCCGAAGTTTTGCCCAAGCGCGACGCCAGCGCCGCGCTGGCGAGCTTGGATGACAGCATGGACATCGAGTCACCAACCAAGCGCGCGCGATTGCCACCGTGCGGGCTGCAACGTGCCTCTGTCAAACGGAAGGCTGCCGACATGGAGCACGTCGAGAATCTCATGTCAACCTTTTACCTGGGTGGTGGCTCGAAGCAGGCTCGCAGGGGCCCTTTTGCGCCGAACGTGATGATGACGTGACGAATCGATCGCACTGCCGCCTCGCGGTTGCCACCGTGGCAGGACTGGACTGGCGAGCCGTTGCTAGGAACGTAGGTAGGAGGAGGGATCTGGTCGAGAGCTCCATGTGTTGATTGCTGTCAACTGCTGAGATTGCTGCTGTCAGCGCTCACGGGCCGGTCGCCAGGGGCCGGGCCGGTTCGCGGTTGTGCCCGTTCGCCGTTGACGGAGATGCGGTGGGATATGACATATATTTGACGCGACGTAAATTGTGAGAAGCTTAGAGGGTAGCAGGGCTTATATCAGGGCTTTTTATACGTCACTATGGGACAAAACAACAGAGTAACACGTAGGCACAACACGCCCCTCCACCCGAGCGCTAGCCGAGCGCGGGTCTCACACAGCAATCTCACTCCCCCGCTCGGCCCGCACTCCTTCAGCGGGCGGCGCCCCTACGTCGGCTAGCAAGGCTTCAACTGCGGCGATGAAGTCGCCGTCCTTGACGATGTCCATGTGCGCGACACCGCGAAGCACCGTCACGTTTGTGCCCGGCCAGCGGCGGCACACCTCCGCCGACTCGACGTTGACGGTGCCGTCGCCGTCGCCGTGGCCGACCCTCTCCGGCTGCGCGTCGGGCCACCCGCGGCCGTAGGTGTAGTTGCGCTCGGTTCGCTGCCCCACCGCGTAGACGCAGTGCGTCGGCACGCCCGGAGGGGCGAAGCCGCGCAGCAGCGAGCGCACCTGCCCGTAGACCTGCGCGCCGTGGCGCCAGCCGATGTCTGCGAAGAAGTCGGCGTACTGCGTGGGCGCGTAGGTGCGCTCCGGCGTCGTGACGAGCGGGGCCGCGCCGAAGACGGCGGGGCTGGGCAGCATCAGGTGGTTTGACTCGTAGGTGCGCTGCTCGTGCCGGATCGTGAGCGGGTGGACGGTGGCGACGCCCTCGTTGGAGCCGGAGGCGAGGACGACGAGCTCGTGCGCGCTGCCGCCGTACGGCCCGCCAGCGGAGACGAAGCCCGCGACGTGCTTCGCCTTCCAAGCCGCGCTCTGGCCCTGCAGGAAGTGGAGCGAGAGCAGGCAGCCGTAAGAGTGGGCGAGCAGCAGCGCAGGCCGGCCGGACGCCTCCCGCGCCCGCTCGAGCAGCGCGCGGAGATCGGCGGTGAAGCGTCGGCCGACCTTCGACGACGGCGCGTACCGAAAGTCGTACGGCGCCCCGAGGAGCGAGCTGCCGGCCACGTAACCCCTCGCCTCGAGCGCAGCGATCAGGTCGCGGAAGTAGGAAGACGCGTGCAGCGGGAGCGAGGGGTCGAGTTCGCTGAAGGCGGAGACGCCGCCAAAATCTGGCGTGCGCGTCTCGACGCCCGGGGCGTTCTGCATCGCGCCCGCCGTCTCATTCCACATCAGCCGGATGTTGTCGGCCCAGCACTGCGTGAGCGCGTCGAGCAGCAGCTCCTTCGTGTCGAGCCAGAGGCGGAACCAGTCCGCTTGCCGAGCGCACCACCAGTGCGGCGAGCTTGGCTTGTCGAGCCGGGCCTCGAGCTGCGAGCCGCCCGTGCCCGGCACAATCACGATCGGCATCAAGGCACTGCGAGGTGCGTTGAGCTTGTGGTTGTCCGTGGTGAGACCGGCGACGAGGACCACGACCAGGCCGAAGCACAGGCAAGCGCGACGAGCGCGCATATTCGCGGGCGCCGCGTCGGTGAGCGTGGTGTAGTCGTGGGCGGAGATGGCCACCACCCAGCAACCCAGGCGAGTAGAGGCCTGCTCGAGTGCCCGGGTACTCACTCGAGTACGGGTATCGGTGCCAGACGGCAACCAGGTCCGTTGTGAAGTGTTGGTTGGGCGCGCCACCCAAGAGCCTAGGTGCTAGTACAGCTAGATAGGTGCGGATCATCGGCAAGGCGCAACGCGTCGATCTTTTACCTTCTATCAGCATTGGGTTGTGATCTAAGGACTTGAAAACACACCACACGCAGGGGCACAGCAAGCACGGATAGCCGTTGAGGGAGAAAGAGGGAGAAAGAAAGTAGGATGTACGCGCCACCTCCCGCGAGCGCGGCGGGATCGGAATTGCGGCCGGAGGGAAGGGCGAGCCGCCGCCGCCGCCGCCATACCATCAGCGACGACGACCGCGGCTCGCCCCAAACGCCAGGCGCTGGACAGTAGGGCCTGAGTAGGGCTTGTTGGGTGGCGTAGGCCTCGAGCCACACGAGTCGCCGACAACCCCCCTCATCGACGTGATGGCCGCTCTCGCTGCCGGCCGATGCACGCTGCGCCGCCACCGCAGCAGCGACTCCGCCACGCGCCGGCTCGGAAGAGGGGCTGTCGGCAGCGCAGCAGAGCGGTACGCCTCGCCGCTCGAGCCACCGACAGCCCCCCTCCTCGACGTGACGGCCGCTCCCGGAGCCAGCCGGTGCGCGCCCGACCCACGCCCCCTCTCGCACCCCCCCGACCCCCCTGCGCGGCGCCCCCCTCCACTGCGCGCCGGCTCGAGCGCCTATTGCCAAATCGCGACTTTCGAGCGCAGTGCACGCGCCCCACACGTCACGCGCGCGCAGGAGAGTTTGCGGCAGAGCAGTACCGTTTACTCGCCGGAGGCATCGCGCCGAAAACCCCGCGCATTCAGCCCCAACATTTGCCTTACCGGGAGCTCTCCAAGCTGTCTTGGGTGGTCAAAAATTGCGTTTTTTCTCACACCACGTGCCTCTTGACATCCGTTCACGTGCACGGAGCTTCTTGAGCCACCCACCCACCCACCCACCTCACGGCGGCGGTAGACGGCTGTTTAACGTTGGGAGAGAGAGAGGAGAGAGACGTTGTTTTGTAACGTTGGTAGCTGAACAGTGTTGCTAGCTATACAAGTGTTCAAAACAAAAAAATCTCTCTCTCTCTCTCAAGTGTTAACAGAACAACAGAACAACAGTGGGGCTCCCCAACAACAGTAGCTAACGTTAGGCCGGCTGAACAACAACAAGGAAGGCCTGGCAGTGACCCACCTCCCCACCTGTGACCCACGTGGACGATCTCCAGCGTCCAGAGCAGTGCGGGAAATTACCCGAAAATAGTAAATACCTGGGAAACCCCGGCATTTTCGTGCTACCCGGATTTTTTGGCATTTTCTGCTTGCTGACCGCTGAAAAACAGTAACAACAGTAACAATTGTAACAGCATCTCTTGCCGTGGGGCTCCTGCCCCGTGGCCGTGCCCGTGTGCCGTGTCCCGGGCGTGGAGCGATGCGAGGGAGGAGGGTCGCCCCCCCTTGCCCCACCGCACTTTGTGTGTGTGCTGTGGAGACGGTTAATCTTACCTTCCCTAATGTTAAACAGCTCTACTCCAGCCTCTGGGCTAGAGCCAGCTACTCGACTGTGTAGGTCTAGAGCTCTACGCGGCGGAGACGAGAAGAGTGCGGGCGGGTCATCACAAAACATCACGATATAGAGACGTGAGACGACGGACTCGAGAGAGAGACTAGAGAGAGTAGAGTGTGTCGCACACGGGCGCCACGGCGTGCGACCTTTAGAACCTCTCTCCTGTGCTCGTATTGCACAACCCCACCGTAGATTCGAGTAGATAGGGACAAGAGCGCCTCTCGGACGCGACACGGCCGCCAAAGCGAGCAGGGCCGAACTAAAGCCGGCCGACTCAGCCGGCCATCGAATTTCCGCCGCGCGGAGAGGGGCGCGGCGCGAGTGTGCGCTCCTCTAGCCGAACGTAGCCCAGTCGCCTCCGGAGGATCCAAACGGGTCCTCGCCCGAGGGCGCCGCGGCCGCTGGCGCGGCGGGCGCGGCCGGCGCAGCAGCAGCCGCTGCGCGCCTTCCTCCGCCGCCCCCTCCCGGCGGCGGCGGCGGCAGGAGCATTCCGCCCATGGGGGCGCCCGCGACCGGCCTCTCTCGCGCGGGCTTCGCCGCCCCGGCCGGCAGCGCCACGCTGACGCTGCCCTTGAGGCTCCAGTCCTTGGCAGGCCCGGTCGGGGCGGGCTCCGCCTCGCGCTTGGCCGCCTCGGCCTCGTAGCGGACGTGCTTGATGTGGTCTTGCAGCGTCACGTTGAAGTCGAAGGCCTCGTTCCGGTCGACGAAGCCCATGCCGATGAAGGCGTGCCGTCCGGTGGTGACGTCTGCCACGCGAAGCACAAAGTAGCGCGACGAGTCCGAGACGGGCTCGACTGAGGTCTCGAGATTGTCGTTCGACAGCGGACACATTGCAAAGAGCGTCCCCTTCTCCTTGTCCTCAATCCGAATCGTGCACTTTGGCCCCGTCGCAACCACCCTCACCCGCCCGGTGAAAATGTGATTGGACTTTGGCCAGTCCTGGCAGCGGTAGCCGCCAGCCGGCCGCGGGCCCGGCGGAAGGCTGTAGAGGTGCGCCTGCGCAATCTGTGTGAGCGTGTGCTCAATGGCCTCGTCGTCCTCCGTCATCAGAGGCGGCGAGCCACAAGCCCGGAGTAAAGGCGCCTGAGCAATGCTCGCTCTCGGCGGTCGTGGGTTCGGGGTCTGAGCTGATCAGGGGGCTCCGCGTTTTTAAGCACCGCGGGTGCCGTCCTCCCCTCCCTCCCCTGGGTTGTCTGATTTCTTTGGCGGCGGCCTGCGGGGAACTTAAGTCGACGCAAGCGTTGAGCGTTAAATTAGTCTGGAGCTAGGACGCGAGTATGGGTGCCGAGGTGGTGGAGGTGCTGCTCCCCGGGTGGCGAACTGGCGAAAGGTATAGAAAGAAAGAAAGAATCCACACACCAAACGAGGGATGGGGGAGGAAGACAGGGTCCCCACCTGCACGAGCAGGATTTTGGAAGGACGATCAGGGGCGCAGGTGGGGCTCTCCAGGTCTCCAGGTATAAATTGCAAACAATGACGTGTGAGTGTTAGAGTTGTTTGGTATTGCTAAAAATCTCTCTCTCTAAATTGCCCTGAACCCCAAAACAAATACGGCCACTCCTACGCCTTCGGCAACACCGAAGAGAAGGCCCGCCGCCTAAACATGGGCTGCAAGGCGCGCGGGCAGCCCGGCCAACCCTTCGACCACAAGAACGGCCACGGCTACGTCAAGGCGCATCGCGGTTTCTACCACGACGCGATCTTTGTCAAGCGCAACAACTTCAACCTGCTGCTCCACGAGACGTTCGGCGGCGGCTTCTCGCCCACCGCCGTTCTCAAGCTGCGCCGCCTCGCGCGCAAAGTCGCGCGCGGCAGCGTTGACCGCACAGCCTACTCGCCCAAGTACTCGCTCTCTTTTATGTCCCACCATGCAGAGCGCATCTCTCTCTCTGTTGTGCGAGGCGTGAACCGCGCCATTCGCTCTCACCTGGCAACCCTTGTCTGCACGTCTCGCGCGCGCGTGAACAGGGCTTGTGCGAGGGAGTTTTTGTTAGTTGTAAAATTCTTTTCCAGCGCAAAACCTCCGTTGGCCACTCCTACGCCTTTGGCAACACCGAAGAGACCAAGGCCCGCCGCCTAAACATGGGCTGCAAGGCGCGCGGGCAGCCCGGCCAACCCTTCTCCCACAAGACCGGCCACGGCTACGTCAAGGTGCATCGCGGTTTCTACCATGACGCGATCTTTGTCAAGCGCAACAACTTCAACCTGCTGCTCCACGAGACGTTCGGCGGCGGCTTCTCGCCCACCGCCGTTCTCAAGCTGCGCCGCCTCGCGCGCAAAGTCGCGCGCGGCAGCGTTGACCGCACGGCCTACTCGCCCAAGTACTCGCTCTGTTTTATCCGTTTTATGTCCCACCATGCAGAGCGCATCTCTCTCTCTGTTGTGCGAGGCGTGAACCGCGCCATTCGCTCTCACCTGGCAACCCTGTCTGCACGTCTCGCGCGCGCGTGAACAGGGCGAGGGCTCCAGGCCCCAAATGACGTGTGAGTGTTAGAGTTGTTTGGTATTGACTTTAAACCACCATAAAGATCAGTCTGCCAGGGCGGGGCACCGCCGCAAATGCCGCCGGACCTGCATCCGGAAGAGCCAGGATTCCGGCTGCCGCCGATGCTCCATCGCCCGCAACAGGCGTACAATGCTGCAGCACTGCACCGAGAGGCGCAGCAACCTCGACCCGGGTGTTGCTCGAGTCCGCAACGCCCACGGGGCGAATGCGATTGCCTGGCCCTATCGCCAAGCGGCTCTGCTCCTCCTCTTGTCTGGCAGCAATCGCACGCTGCGGCACAGGCCGCGTTGGCGCCGAGGAGGCGGCAAGCCTCAACGCGCCTACCCGTGGCATACCGCCGGATCGGGCCAAGACTAAGGCTGCAGGCGTCGGCCCCGGCTGCTGCGAGGGCCCTCCCGTTGAGGTGTCCATCTTATGTGCAGTGGGGCTAACACTGTAGCGCGTCGGCAGGATCCCCAAAACCGTCGTAACCCCCCAAAATTGAAGTCGACCCCCCAAAGCTGTCCCCCCCCGCAAACTTTAAACCTCCATAAACATCATTTTGCAGGCCCCAAATGACGTGTGAGTGTTAGAGTTGTTTGGTATTGCTCACACTCTCTCTCTCTGAACCCCCGCCCGCGCGAGAACCAAATTCTTTTTGTCGACCATATGGACGTATACATACAGAGGCACAGTGCGCACCCCGCCCCGCTCACAGGGCTTCATCGATAGAGCTCGGATTTCGGAAATTCTTTTTGTCGTTTAAATTCTTTTTGTCGTGCGAGGGAGTTAACAACTAAAATTCTTTTTGTCGCACGACACTGCCCAGTGTAAAAAAGAAAGAAAGAAAACAGACAACCCAAGGGAGGGATGGGAAAGAAAGAAAGAAAGAAAACAGACACGCCAAACGAGGGATGGGACGAGGACAGGGTCCCCACCTGCACGAGCAGGATTTTGGAAGGACGATCAGGGGGACAGGTGGGGCTCTCCTGCTCCTGACACGGGACACGACAGGCTCGCAGCGCGGTGCACGGTGGGGGGATGGGAGGGCAGTGTCATGCGCACTTGGAGCACTTGGAGTGCAGTCATCAACCGCACATCCAGGGCCGGGGAGCTCAGAAGCGCACCCAGCGGGCCGGATGATTGGCATCGGGTTGCGGGCAAGAGAGCCCTAGCCCCGGGGGTGCGCGTTCGCAGGGCAAGGGGAAGTTAAAATTCTTTTTGTCGGCCAAAATGGCCGACCGCGCTTCCTCCGTTTCCACCGCGACCAGCCCCACGCTGCGCTGGTCCAAGCTCCCCTTCTTCGAGGAGCGGCCGCTCGGCTCGCCGTCGCTCCTGCGTGCCGGCCTCGTCGCGGTGTGCGCCACGCCCGACGGCGGCGTCGCGCTCGCCGACGACTCTGGCGTCGTCCACCTGCTCGACCGGGCGCTCTCCGAGTGGTGCTCCTTTGGTGCGCACACCCGCGGCGTGAGCCACCTGCTTGCGCCGGCAGAGGACGTGCCGCCTCCGCCGCCTCCGCCCTCGGTCGCCGCTAACGCCGCGGCGGACGCGCCGCCACCGGACGTGCTCCTTCTAACCTTTGGGCGGGAGTCGGACAGCAGCGGCAGCTCCTCGGGCGCGTGGGCGTACATGCGCGTCTGGGCGCCGCAGGCCGGCACCAGCACCGCCGAGTGCCTCGGTCACACGCGCATCTTCGGCGGCAGCGGCGCTGAGCCGGCGGTCACGGCAGTCGCCGCCGCAGAGGGCGGCCGGCTGGTGGCGGTCGGCGCGTCCGACGGCAGCGTCTCCTTGCTTCGGTGCGCCGACCCGCGGACAGAGCGCGGGCTCCGGTTCCGGGCGCTGCAGTGCATGCCCCCGCCGCAGCTCGCCGGCGCGCGCGATCTGCTGCCCGAGCTGCTGCCCGGCACCATCGCCGAGCCGCTGCGGCCGGCGGCGCAGAGCGCAGTCAGTCTGACCGGACTCCACTTTGGGTCTCCTCCGGCCGACTCGGACGACTTCTTCGCGCGGCAGCTCTTCGCCGTCACGCCACTCGCCGTGGTGGGCATCCGGCTCGGCGGCGGCGGCGGCGAGTCGTGCGACGTCCTCTCCGACGCGGGCGGCGCCCCGGCCGGCTGCAGCTGCGTCTCGCTCGACGGCACGGGGCAGCGCCGCTCACAGACTCTCGATGATCGACCGCCTCTCCTCTCTCTCTCACCCACCCCCCTCCCTCCCAAGGCGTCGGGCCGAGCTCGCCGTCGGCAGGCCGGAGGCGGTCTTCTTCTACTCAGCCGAAGACGCCTCCCGCGCATTTGCCTTTGAAGGCACCCCGCTCCCCTCCAGCCGCCGCGGCCCTAGCCGGCAGCCCTGGCTCCCGCGCGCGCGCGCCGCCGCCGCCGCATTCCCCCGCAGCTGTCCCACCGCCGCCGCAACGCCATCTCCCGCTCCCACCGGGTTGTGCCAGAGATCGTGCTAGAGATCGCCTCACCGCGCCAGCCCCGCCCGCCCAGGCCCGAAGATCGCCCTCGGCTGGCAGCAAACCTCCCTCGTCGTGTGCACGCGCGCGGCGGTGGCGGTGGCCGGCCGCGGCGGCGGCGCGGCCGACGGCTCGGCGGTGCACGTCTACGACTTGCGCCACCGATGCATCGCGCACACCGCCTCGCTGCCGTGCGACGTGCGCGCGTGTGTTTGCGGTTCGCTCTAGAGCGGCGCTGCCTGCTCCCCCGCGGCCGGCACGTCGCTCCTCACCCGCCTCGCCTCACGTGAGCAGGGCCGCACCGCATCTTGCTGCTCCTCTCGGACGGCTCCGCCCTCGGCCTCGAGGAGGGCGCACCGCACACGACAAGCGACCGCACACGACCCAACTCGACCGCACTCGTCCCAACGACCCAACTCGACACACGACCTGCATCACAAACAGCGCCTCCGCGCCGCAAGCAGCGCCGCGCCGCCCGCCCGCCGCTCCAACCGATCCTGCTGACCCCCAGCCCCGCCCCTCCTTCCCCAGGAGCGGCCTCTCGCCGCGAAGCTCGACGCGCTCTTCCGCTCCAACCTCTACGGCGTCGCCCTCTCCCTCGCGGAGGCACAGGCGCTGCAGCCGTCCGCACTCGGCGAGGTCCGGCTGCGATACGCGCAGCACCTCCACTCCCGGGGCGAGCTCCCCGCCGCAGCAGAGCAGTACGCCGCCACTGTCGGAGTCGTCGAGCCCTCGCGCGTCGTCCGGCTCCTCCTCGCGCCGCAAGACGCGCCGCTCCTCCTCTCGCACCTGCAGGCGCTGCTGGCGCACACTTGCTCCAGGCGCACCCTGTTCACACTTGCCCCGGGCCAGCTCTCTCCTCCTCGCGCACTCTGTTCACACTTGCCCCGGGCCAGCTCTCTCCTCCTCGCGCACTCTGTTCACACTTGCCCCGGGCCAGCTCTCTCCTCGCGCACTCTGTTCACACTTGCCCCGGGCCAGCTCTCTCTTCCTCGCGCACTCTGTTCACACTTGCCCCGGGCCAGCTCTCTCCTCCTCGCGCACTCTGTTCACCGGCCGCACTCTCTACCCACGCGCTCTCCTCACCCGCTCCCCTCCACACCCGCCCCCAGGCAGCCGCACGCCGGTGGCGCCGCCGCCGCCGATGGCGCCAAGGAGCACGCGGCGCTGCTGCTGGCGACGGCGCTCCAGCTGCGCGACGCGGCGGCGGTCGACGCGTTCGTGGACGCGGCGTGCGGCCAAGGGGTGCGCGTCGCCCCAGACGTGAACGTGGACGCCGCCATCGACGCTTGCCGCTGCGCGGGCTTCCCGCGCGCCGCGCTGCGGCTCGCACGCCACTTTGGCCCCGTCGAGGAGGCGATCTCCGTCTTGCTGGACGACCTCGCGGACGCGCCCGCCGCCCTCTCCCTCCTCGCCGAGCTGCCGCCGCCGCGCGCCGGGCGAGCGCTGGCGGTGCACGGCCGCTCACTGCTGCGCGAGTGGCCGCGCCCCACTCTCGATTTGTTGCTCACCCGCCTCGTCGCGCCCTCGGCGCGCAACAAGCTTCCGCCCCCCCTAGCCGAGCCCGGGGGCGGCTTCCCGGTCCTCGGCTTCATGGGGGGCGACGAGGGGCAGCTCGGCCTCGAGGAGGTGGTCGGGCTCTTTGACACGCGCCCCGGCTGGCTCACTCTCCTCCTCGAGCGCATCCACGCCGCCGAGACGCCGCAGGACGCGCGCACCCCCGGCCGCGGCTGGGAGACGCTGCTGCGCCTCTACCTCGAGCCAGACGACGCAGCCTCGCCCCACGGAGGGTCCAGCTCGGAGCCGCCGTCGCCGAGGACGCCTCCCGCGCGGACGCCGCCCTCGAGCCCGGCGCGAGGCGGCGACGCGCCGCCCCTCGCTCGGGCGGAGCGCCACGCGCGCGCCATCGCGCTGCTGCAGCGCGCGCCGCTCGGCAGCGAGGAGCTGCGCCGCGCGCGCCTCGTTTGCGCGGCACGCGCAGCCGCAGCGCGCGGTGGCTCTGCCGCCCCGCCCCGGTCACGCTTGCCCCGACCCTCTCTGCAGGCGCACGGCTTCGACGCGGGGCTCGGGCTGCTCTACGCTGCGCAGGAGCAGCCGTCTGCCCTCCTCCGCCACCAGGCCGAGACGCGGCAGTACGACGCGCTCATCGCAACTTGCACCGCGCGCGGGGCAACGCAGCCACACCTGTGGTTGGATGCGCTGCGCCACGTGGCTTCGCTCGACGACGGCGAGGGCGGAGTCCCTCCTGCAGCGAGGCAGCGCATCATCGCCGAGGTGGTGGCTGCCGCAGAGCGCGAAGGGCTGCTGCCGCCTCTCGCACTGGTGGAGGCGCTCTCTGCGCACGAAGGCACGCCGCTCTCGCTGGTCGTGCCGCTCCTCCGCGCCAGCCTCGCCCGCGACGAGGCGCTCGTCTCCGAGGCGCACGCGGAGGCGGCCCGCTTCGCGACGGACGCGGCCAGATTCGAGGCGGAGGCGACGGCGCTGGCGAACACGCCGCGCGTCTTCCAGCGCTCGATCTGCTCAAAGTGCTCGGCACCGGTCGAGCCGCCGTCGGTGCACTTCCTCTGTGGCCACTCCTTCCATGCGAACTGCCTCGCAGACGGCACGGCTGCCCAGGACGCGGAGCCAGAGTGCCCAACTTGCGCGCCGCAGCGACGGCGAGTGCGCGAGCACGCCGCGATGGTGGCCTCGCGTGCCGTCGCGCACGACGACTTTTACCGGCAGCTCGATGAGGCGGCCGACGGCTTTGGCGTCGTGGCCGATTTTTTTTCAAAGGGCGTGCTTTCGCCTCTAGGGCGGTGACCCGGCGGGGGCCGCCGTGCGCCGACGAGTCGAGCGAGAGCTGTGTGTCGGTGGATGAATAAAGAGTGTTTCCAGTGTGACCAGTCGCGGTGTGTGGCGTGTGTGAGCGCTGGGATTTCGTTGCACACCGAGAGATAGGCACAGTGTGGGGGTAGAGGCAAAAAAACACGTGCAGTGCGCCCCCGGGGGGACCGGGGTGCGGGGAGCGGGGGTCTGCGTCTCCCCCCGCGTCGCCGCTCAGCAGCCAGTGCAGATAGATATCTCCTCGCGGTCAGATCGAGAGGCCAAAGACGGTGGTCATGCAGTACATTGTCTTACTGTCCCACTTGAGCGTTGCGCTCCCTGCGACGGCAGATGCGACGCCGCAAGCTTAGCTTGGAGGGGCGGCTTCGCTGCATGCCGCCACGTGCTGTGTATCTCACCGTCGGAAGAGTTATCCCAGAACGTTGACGTCGCCATGTGCAGCCCAGCGCCATTCTTCTGCATTATCGCACACGTCACAATGTACTTGAATGGCTGGTTCAGCTCCTTGAGCCGCTTCATGGTCAGCTCAATCACCTGAATGGCCACGGGAACCCCCATGAGTGGGCAGGAGCCCATAGCCAGCAGACTCTGAAGCCTCGCGCACATCGTTGGTCCATTGAGGTACCTTCACGTGGTTGTACGAGGCGTTGGACAGCACTGACTCCACAGACTGGCGGCGAGACGACATTCAGAGCAATGAGTCGCCGATTGCTTGCGCGGCTGTGGGATCATGGCCATGTATGTGTATCCCGTTCCCAGAGAGAGAGTGTGTGGGTGTGGGCACACCTCCTTAATGATCGCCGCTGCTGCTTCCTGCGGGAAGGAGGACTCGTCCTCGTCCAGCATACGCGGACGAACGGGCGCCCGCCGTTTCGTACGGAAATGTTCACAGCCTTGTTATGAGAAGAAAATACGTCCTATGGCGCTATGCGCTGGTCTGTGAGAGGTTGAGGTGCGAGCCCTGGAGGCCCTGGGGATGGGGGGAGACTACCCGCGGGCCTAGAAGGTTCACAGCCTTGTTATTGAGAGAATCTCTGAGAAGAAAATACGTCCAATGGCGCTGTGCCTCACAGATAGGTTGATAAGAAGCAAGAAGCTCACACCTTGTTATTCACAGTTGGGAGACAGAGGATGGAGCGACAGGGGAGAGAGAACGACGAGAGTGGGACGACCGCGAGGTGGCATGAAGGTTGCAGCGAGAATCGGCGAGAGACTGCGAAGAGAGATAGGAAGAGGCGGACGCCCAAGGGTTAGGGTGGGCGACGGCTAGCAGCACACTCCTCTCCTTAAAATCCCTGTGTGGTGGCGGCGTGCCGTCCTCCCACCCCTCCCTCCCTTGGGGTTTATGTTTTCTGTCTTTCTTTCTTTCTCACACCGCAGACCGTGAGGATGTGAGAGGCCTAAGGAAGGTCCTACATCTCTTCACAGATAGATTGTGGTGAGGCCGCCCACTTGTTATTAATACAGTCGTATTCGAGAAGTGAGTCTGATAAGCGAAACTTGAGCTCTGGCGTTGTGTAGCCTAGCTTTTGGGTAATATAAAAACTTGAGCTGTCGCGCTGAACTTCTCGTGTTGAGTTTGATCGAGCATGGAGCCGACCTCGGACCAGGGCAGGCCTACACCCGTCAAGAGCGAGGAGTCGCAAGAACGGCTGCGTTTCCTCGTGGTGGAGGCTGCGAGGCTACGCAGCGAGGATGGGCATGATAGCGAGCGCGTTCTGGATAAGATGGGTGAGCTCGGGCAGATGCTGTGTGAGCTCGGGCAGGCTTGCGAGGCGCTGCCAGTGTTTCGCAAGTTGGCGGAGAGCATGCAACGCTTGTACGGACCCCACCACCTGCAAACGGTGGGCTGCTTGGTCAGTCTGGCTGGGTGCCTCGCGGCGTCGCAGGACCACGCAGAGGCGGTCGTGGTGCTGCGCGATTGCAGGAGCCGGTGCTTCAAGATGGGTGCCGTGCTCGAGCCTGAAGATAAGAGCGGCGCCCTGACGACCTCCGGCAAAGATCGCGCGGCAACGCAGCTTCTCGCGCGTGCGATCACCGCTCTTTCGGTGCTGGTGGCGGCGGTGGTGGCCTGGCTTGGCTATTGGCAACTCGCGACTTGCATCGTCACCACGCTCACCATCTTGGGCACCTTTGCCTACCGCAGCAAAGGAGGAACCGTGACCGAGCCAGAGAAGCCAAACACTCAGACACTCTCGGCCGCATTACTCGCGGTGGTCGAGCCGCTGGCGCAGCTCAACCACGGCGCTAAAGACTTTGAGGGCGCCGCGGCATACTTTCACGAGACAGCGCTGTCCACGGCGGCCGCCTACGGCGGGACGGGCCATCCGAGATACGCCGTCGCGCTTTGTAGTGAAGGCCGGTCCTGGATGGAACGAAGCGTGCAGCTGCGCGAGGGGAGCGACCACATCGGCGCCGTCGCATGCGTGAGAAGAGCAGAGCAGCGCTTGTGCGAGGCTTCAATCCTGCAGCAACGGGGTCTCCACGATGCGGCAGCAGCCAGCCGCTCAAATGAGGGCGCGGAGCTGGCGTACGCAAAGACGCAGCTCAACCTTGCAACCTGCTACCACTTGCTCGACCAAACCGCTCAGGCGGCGCCGCTCTTTGCAACCTCCGCCGAAATCATGGAGAGGCACCTTGGCCCCGAAGACCCGCGCGCGAGGCAAGCTAGGGAGGCGGCCAGCGCGGCTGCTTCTCGGCTGGGGAAGGAAGTTGCGGAGCCGATGCTGGTTGCCGACGATCCAGGCGCGCTCTTCCCGCGCCTCGAGGCGCTGCGGTGCACCGAGCCACTCGCTGGCGGCGCCGGGGCATGGTGGCGCTCCGCAGCAGCCGTGGCCGAGGTGGCGGCATCGCTGGAGAAGAGGCGCTTTGCAGTGCTCGATGGCTTTGTGGGGGCTGAGGCGGCGGCCACCCTGCGCGCCGCTTGCCTCGCAGCAACCGGGTCTCTCCTACCGACGTGCGAGCGCACGTTAGTGCCGCGGTCCGACGAGGTGGCATGGGAGCCGTCTGGCTTCGAGCCGCTCACCGAGAGAGCGGACGACCTCCTCGTGCTGCTACGGGCGAGGTGTCCTCAGCTGGCCGCCATAACCAGCCGCCAGCGACTCATGTTCGCACGCTATCGCACCGGCGCCCACTTCGGCCGCCACGTTGACAACAACTGCGTCCGCGGACACGGGCCCCAGTGCAATCCTCGCGTGCTCACCGCCGTCTACTACATGCAGGACGGCCAGTGGGACGCACGCGCCGACGGCGGCTGCCTTCGGTTGTACGCACCGGACTGCGCCGACGGCGCGGGAGCCGATGCGGGCACGGTTGGCGCTGCTACCGAGACGGGTCGAGGCGTGGCGCTCTACGACGTCGCGCCCGTCGGTGACCGGCTCGTCCTCTTCTTCTCCGACCAGCGCTGCCCGCACGAGGTGCTGCCGGTGCTCCGCGCCGGCGCCGAGCGCTTCGCCGCGACGCTCTGGTACATGGGGGGAGGCACGGTGCCAGAGTTCTGGGGCAAGATCGCCACCCACGACAGCTCCCTCGTTCCGCTGCCGAGCGCCCCACGCGAGAGCGCCGGAGGCTGCTCGCCGCCAGTCGCCGCTGTGTGCAGCAGCTCGAGCTGGTCCGTCGTGAGCAGCGACCGTGCGAGCGGGGTGGAGTGAGGGGAGAAGAGTAAAAGAAAAGCGCGTGCGGCCTGAGCGCCGGAGCAACGTAGCCGCTGCGCTGTGGCGTTGTCGGTCCTGGCCTCCTGGCCATTCAGAAAGAAAGAAAGAAATTTTCGCAGACGTGTGCGCAGCTCGAATACGAATTCTTTTGTTGCTCCCAGATACCCGAATGCTGGCGAGTAGAGGCCCCGCCCACCCAGGGCCCTGTCCGAGGACCCGTTGGGTAGCTCTTTCGGGGTCTCGCCGGCAGGCCTCTCAGTTCACGGGGTGAACCGTGAACCCGGTTCATGAACCAGTTCGCGGTTCACGGCTCGTTCACGGTTCGCGGTTCACGGACTCGGGGCGGGGTCTGGTCGGTTCACGGTTCAGGGTTCACGGACTCGGGGCGGGGGCTAGTCGGTTCACGGTTCGCGGTTCGCCCTTTTGTCCTGCCTCGGTTCGGGTTCACGGTTCAGAGTTCACGGTCGGTTCGAGGGTGAACCACTGAACTAGTTCATGAACCAAGCTTATTTTCACACCTCTTACACACCGACACAGTTCGCGAACCACAGTTCGCGAACCATCCGTGAACCGAGACCCAGAAATTCGAACCAGCGCGGCGAAAGCCGGAACAAAGTGGCGGGAGTTCCTCGAGGGGAGTTTGACCCTGCTGAGGTGCGCGACGCCGCGCTGCGCGACGAGTTCAAGAGGGTCTTCGAGTGCTGGAAACGGTTCCGCGCCGAGCTCTATCACGACGGCGCGTGGCGCAAGTACTTCACCGAGCCCGGCGCGCCGGATGAGGTTGCGCTCTTTCGATCCCGATAACTTACGGATTTTACTTTCGGACTCATATCGCCCTTGTTCACAGGAGAACGACAAGTACGACTTCGATCCTCAAGACGACCTCATCGACCAGCTTCACCTGGACATTGGACGGCTTTACCGCGACCTTGAGAAGCAGTTTTCACGGTTTGGCTTCCTCCCGGCAATGGCGAGCTGCTCGACCGGCCAGATCGGCGCCCTCATGGCCGAGTCTTTCTGCGAGCGCATCCTCAGCTGCGCCAAGCAGGTGGTGCACCGTCACCGCCTCAGTTACAAGGCGGAGGAGTACTCGATGGTGGTGATTCTCCGCATGAACCGCGCCTTCATGGAGTACATGCGCAAGCACGAGAAGGACTATGAGCCCGGCAAGTAGGTTGGTGGGGTCGGTTCACGAACCAGTTCGCGAACCCAGTTCGCGAACCGGCGGTTCACCGCCGGTTCGCCAGACTCGGTTCGTTCACGGTTCACGGTTCGCGGCGGGTGTCGCGGGAGGAGTCGGTTCACGGATCACGGTTCACGGACTCAGGGTGGGGGCTAGTCGGTTCACGGTTCGGGGTTCACGGACTCGGGGCGGGGGCTAGTTGGTTCACGGTTCACGGTTCACGATTCCGGCGTGAACTGAGAGGCCTGCTCGCCGGGGCTTCTGTGCTCCAAGACACCTCGAGAGAGCATGCGCGGGTGCTCACTCGCAGGGTTCGGACTTTTTGCGGGGTATGGTATGGTACTCTCACACAACCCACCTCGAGACCATACCCTCAGCACCATACCCCCCCACCCTTTGGGGGTACCATACCATACCCCGCAAAAAGTTGGAACCCAGCGCCGAATATGTGGCAGGGCCGATGGTCTCTCTCTACCGAAGGTCATGCGACCCGCCGCTGTCCTAATCGCGGCTGCAGTCCTGCTCTGCGTCGTCCGCCTCTCGCGGGAGCGATGGGAGTTCTCCGGTCGTGGCGCACCTCCCGTGGTGCCACCGACGGAGCTTTTGCTCTGGCAGCAGGGACGGACAGCAGGCGCCGCCGCTCAGCCGCCCACGCCTGCCGAAGCCTCGCGATCCTCCACCGGCGCGAAGTCTCCCGGCGGCGGCGCTGAGTCCTCTGGCGGTGGCGCCAAGCAGCCAGCGTCCGGATGGCGCCGTGCGCTTCCTGACGAGGTCCGCCAGTCGGCGCAGTGGTTTGACCGCCCGCGAACCGTGGAAGAGCTGCTGGCCGCCGTGCCCGAGGGCGCTGCCGTTTGGCTCTCGCTGTCCAACTCTGCCTTTCGCGACCTCGCCGTCAATTGGGCAGCGCACGTCTATCGGCTCGGGAAGGAGCGCAGTGCGGCGATCGCTGCGCTCGACCGCAACTTTGTGGCCGCGTTGGTGGCGGAGCGGCTGCCGTGCCTCGAGCTGGTGCACCCGCTCCTCGAGAGGCCGGCGGCGAACCTGCGCTCCAACGTGACGGGTTTCCGCCGGTTCGGCGCGATGAAGGCGTCGCTGGTTCTCTCCTTCATCACCCGCGGCCGCGACGTGCTGCTCTCCGACGTAGACGTCGTCTGGATCCGCGACCCGGAAGCGGTGCTGCGGCCGCTGATGGAGGCGGACGTCATGTCGTCGACGGACTGCACCTCGATCACGGCCGACGAGACCTACGCCCGCGGCGAGCGGGAGGTCGGCCCTGCTAGGTGCGCGTACATGCCCGGCAACCGCGCAGGCGCCTTCGCCACTACTCTCCAGAGCCACGACACGTCCACGACACGTCCATGACACGTCCACGACACGCCCCCGCAGGCCACGCCGCCTTCAACACAGGCGTCCTCTACTTCCGAGCCACCACCGCCGCCAAGGCCTTCGCCGCGGCGTGGCGCGTCCGGCTGCTCTCAGTCGCGGAGCAGGCACCCCATATCTCTCCACATCTCCCCACATCTCCCCACATCTCCCCATATCTCTGTCGCGGAGCAGGCAGCGCCGCGCCGCGTGCAGTGCCCGGCACACCGCATCCCGCCGCGGACGGACGCACCGCCCTTGCTCCGCCCCGCTGCACCGCTCAGCGGGCCTGGCCCGCGCGCGCAGGACGAGCTGCACTACGTGCGCACGACCGAGTACGTGGACGACCAGTACGCCTTCAACCTGCTGCTGTGGCACGGCTTCCGCAACCACCCGGGAGGCGCGGTGACGAGCACCAGGCCGCGCAGCCGCGTCATCAGCGTCGTCGTCGACCCGAAGGGCTCGGCCGGCGAGGCGAACGTCCAGGCGGCGGCCGAGGACGCGCGCGGCGCGCGGCGCACCGCCTTTGGCTGGCGGAGCGGCTGGAAGCAGCTCGTCGAAGGGAAGGTTGGAGTGAGCCGCCCTGGCGGGGCCGTCGGCGCGGACGAGGCGCGGCCGACTTCCTTCGCCTTTGCGCCGCTGCCGGCGCGCTTCTTCTGCTCAGGTTGCGCCGTGCTGAGCAGTGGCAGCCCAGCCTGGCGGGAGAGAGTTCGCCTTCGCCACCGTAGGCCACGTGTACTGGGTGCAGCAGGGCGGCGAGCGGCGCGACTGTGTCGCAGTCCACACCACGTTCACCGAGGGCGGCGACACGGGCAAGGTATGGCGGCTGCGCGAGGCGTGAGCACCCTCGAGCTCGCGTGCCCAGCCTTCTCTTCTCTTCTCTTCTCTTCTCTTCTCGAGACCTCGAGCTCGCGTGCCCAGCCGAGACGTCTCCTTGACGCGTCAGTCGACATCTTCAGGCGCGGCTCTGGCTGCTCGACCCGCCAGAGTACTATTCGCCTGCGGGTGAGCGGGGAGGGGCGGCGGGCGGCGGGCGGCAGCGTGGGCTGAGCGGCGATTGCGGCGTCTGCCCGTGTAGGCGGCTTCCTCACCTTCACGCCTCCGCAGCCCCTCGCCGGCCCCCTCCCGCCGGAGAGCGACCCGTCCGCAAGCAGTGACTTCGACGACAAGTACCGGACGGGCTGGCTGGTGCCGACGGCGCTTCGGCGATCGCCGCGGCTGCGCGCGCACCTCGAGCTGGTGCGACGGCACTTGCTCGCGTTGCGCGACGCTCTCGCGCTCGCTTCGGTCCTCGGCCGCACTCTCGTCGTCCCGCGGCTGCCGTGCTTGTGCGACCGCTCCGAGGCTGTCACCATCATCCCGAGCTGCGTCTTCGAGGCGTCCGACCTCGAGCTCCCCTTCCACTGCCCCATCTCGCATATCCTCGACCTCGGCCGGCTGCTCCGCATGGCGGGCCAGCCGGGCGGCGTGCCCATCCGCGAGTCGACTCTCCTCGCCAACCCGCTCGCGCCGCGCTCCTTGGCGGCGCCCGGTGCGACGGTGCGCGTTGCTATCGCGGCCAACGCCTCGGCCATTGCGGCGATGCGACTAGCGGGCAAGGCTGCACTGAGTGTGGCGACGTCGGATGCCGAAGCGAAAGCATCACTCGGTCGTGAGAGCCGTTGGGGCAGTGCGGAGGCACCCGATTGCCGCCGACTCCGGGCGTGCCCTCCTCCAAAGCTGACACCACGCCATTACGCTACACAGGTGTTGCACCTCGCCTCGGCCGAGGGCATCTTTGGAGGGTGGGCCGACGCTGCGTCTGGCGGCGGCGGTGCGGCGGCACGCGATCGTTTTGAGCAGCTAATGCGCGCTTACGTCCTCGGTGGCTCGTGGTGCTGCTCCTCGTGGTACAAGCCGCACGGCGCCTTCGACTTTGCCGAGCCGGTCAGTACGTCTGCGCTCCCCGGCGGGTGCGGCCGGGACGAAAGGGTCGACGAGGAAACGGCCGTGTGCATGCGCACGCAGCAGCGGAGGCGCGCCGCCCAGCGGCCCTTTGAGTTCCGCTACGTGCCCGCTCGTGGCGGCTCCAGAGCCAGGGACGGCTACTTCAGCTTGGAGGTACCCTCGCGCGTTGCAGAGCCCCCGTGACGTTTGCCGTGTGTTCGTTTTGATTTCGTCTCCTTGGCTATACACTTTTTGCGAGTTGCGAGTTGGAGTACACTCATCTCGGTCTCACTGTCAGGGCCCTAGTGACGCCCCAAAGAAGCAGAACCGCGCATCACATACAACGTCTTGTATCTTGGGACCTGTTCCTTTTTACCCATCTCACAGTAGAGGTCTCCGTTTTTTTATTTATACAACGTCTTCTCAAAGCGGGCGCCGCCTGCCCAACGCGCGCCGTGACCTCGCCGTGAGCGTGACCGGGCGCGCGCCGCGACGACGGTGAGTGCTCCGCTTTTCTATACTGACTCTCGCACTCACCCGCGCGGAAGACAGCAATATTGATTCATGCACGAAATCTAAAAGTCTCATCTCTCACGACCACGCGCGTCTCTGGAAGTCATGCTGGAAGTGCCTCCGCGCGGCCGGCTCCCTCGCAGCAAGGCGGTGCCAGGAAGTTCAAAAGAGCCCTTCTCCCGCTTTTTGGAAGTTTTGGAAGCAGCGCGGGGCTTTGAGGCGTGGCCATGGCCTCGGCGTCCGGCGTGGGTCTGGTTGTAGACGATGCGCGCGCGCCGCGGCGGCGGCGGCGCACCCGCCTGCACCACGACGGCCCTCTCGATGCCGCGCGAATGCGCCGCGTCGGCGTCGAAGACGAGCGCCTCGAGCTCCGCGCGCCGCTTCTTGAGCGCGAGGTCGGTCACGCAAGCCAGCCGAGCGCTGCTGCCCTCCACAGCCACCAGCGACCCCTCCTCGTTCGCCTCGGCGAGCAGCAAGCTCTGCTCCGAAATGTAGCGCAGCCACAGCTTCGCGCAATCTGCGCCCGAGCGGCCGCAGAGCGGCGCGCCCGCGGCCTCCGCGCCGCCGCACCGCTTGAGCCACGGCTTCATCGGGCCGCCGCTGAAGCGCAGCAGCAGCGCGTCGCCGCTCGCGCGGCGCGGTGCGGGCGCGGCGTGCACCGCCCGCACCGGCCGGACGTCGAAGGGAAGTCGCACCCCCTGCAGCCCCCAGAGGCGGTGCCAGTAGCTGGCCTCGGACCAGCTCCACCCCTCCCTCGCGAGGCCGCGCGCGAGCCACCGGCCGGGCAGCCGCAGCACGCGCTTGTCGAGCAGCAGCTGCGCGGGCACGTGAGGCGACAGGGCGGCCACCGGCTGCAGGAAGAGGTTTTCGTTGCGCCTGGGGCGGCGGGGCGGAGGCGTGTGTCTGTCATGTGCGTGCGTGCGTGCGCGTGCGTGCGTGTGCGTGCGCGGTGCGTGACTGCTGTTGGACTGACTGCTGCGTCCTCTCCGTGCTGCGCGCCGTTGGAAGCCGACCAGCTCGAGGAGCTGCTTGGGCGCCTCCTCCTTCCTCCACGCCTTGACGTCGAGGAGGAGGAGCTCCGAGTCGAGGGAACAGCTCGGCCGGCCGTGCCGGTCTCGGAAGAGGGGGTGCCGGTAGTTGAAGAGCGCGTCGAAGGTGACGGAGCAATCCTCGAAGGCGGCGCCCGCCTTGCCGTGCAGCGCGGCCGAGGCGAGCTCCTGCGCAGACCGCGAGAGGGGCGGGTGAGGGCTCGCAGGCCGGAAGGGAAGCGAAGGCTCTTCCAAGCGGGGGCGTCGCCTGCAGGTCGGTGCGCACAACTGCATCCGTCGGCAGCAGCACGACGCGGCGCACGTCTGCGGGAAGGGCGAGGTGGAGCCAGAGGAGCGGCCACTCGAACGGCGCAGTCTGCACGCCGACGGCGCCGAGCTTGGGCGCGAGCTTGGCCAGCTTGTCGGAGGGCGGCGAGGTGATGGCGAGCCGCACCTCGGGAGGTGGAGGGGAGTGTGAGGAGAGAGGCGGCGGGTGAGGGGAGTGTGAGGAGAGAAGTGAGGGGTGAGGGGTGGGGAGAGGTGTGCGCGGAAGAGGCTGCGCGCCTCGGCCGGGAAGATTCGCGCGAGCTTGCGCGCCAGTGCGGGCTGCTCGCTCGGCGGTGCGAGGACGTGGAAGCGCAGCCGCGGCAGCGTGGCGGCGGCTGCGTGGGCGAGGGTCGAGTTGATGGCGGCGACGAGTCCGTACGGCGGGCCGGCCGAGGCGAGGAGCGCCACGTGCACCGCGCCCGGCTTGGCCGCCTCGGCCGCCTCCTGCTCGAGCGGCGCGAGGCGGGGCATGTCGGCCGGCTCGACCTTGGCCTCCGCCAAGGCGGCGAGCTCCGCGCGCGCGGCCGCCGAGCCGGGCCCGCTCCGCTGCAGGCCGAGCCTCGCGATGGCCTCCGCTGCGTACGGCTCCCACAGCGCACGGCACGGCTCGTCCCGAGGCTGCGGCTGCCCGCCCTCCGCCAGCGAGCGGCAAAGCGGCTCCGCGAGCGGCTTGGCGCCGGGCAGCAGCCACGGCTTGAGGCGGCCGTGGTAGTGCAGCGCCTTTGCAGCCGGCAGCCCGCCCCCCGCTGTGATGACGAGGGTCGGCCCCGACGCCGTCGCCGAGTACCGCACCCCGCGCCCCTTCCAAAAGTCGCGCCAGTGTGCGATCTCGGGATCGGAGAGCCGGCGGCGGCCGAGGTGGGCGACGTTCCACTCCCTCGGCAGCCGCCGGTAGAGAGGCAGCAGCGCGAGCACCTAACACGCGCCTCGCCGGCTGAGATGCGAGGCGGGAGAGGCAGCCGAGGCGGAGGCCGAGCGCCAGCGGCGGCGCGGCGGCGTCGAGAGCGAAGAGCCCTCCGAGCCGCCGGTTCTGCGCGAGCCTGCGGGGCGTGTGAAGGCCGGGTCGTGGACGTGTCCGGGAGGGGCCTCCGAGTCGCCGGGTGTTGCGCGCGCCAGTACTCGACGCGGGAGGGCACGTCGAGGGAGAGCCAGGCGTCGAGGTCGAGCAGCATCACCTGCGAGGGGCAGGGGCAGCTCGCTGGGCGCTCGACGCCCGCATCGAGCCGAGCCCGGGCCAGACGGGTCGAAGAGAGGCGCGGGCTGCTACGGCGGGCTGCTACGGCGGGCTGCTACGGCGGGCTGCTACGGCGGGCTGCTACGGCGGGCTGCTACGGCGAGCTAGGGCGGGCACCGCGGGGTCGAGCGCGCAGCTCGAGGGCGAGAAGGAGGAGAGGGCCGGAGAGGCGGTGTCGACGAGAGCGGAGAGCGGCGTCGCGCAATCCTCGACGGCGGCGGCGGGGGCGCCCGCCAGCTCGAAGGAGGCGTAGAGGGGGGCCACGTCGGCGCGGAGCAGCACGTCGGTGTGCAGGAAGAGGACTCGCCTCACCGCCGGGAGGAGGGAGGGCAGGTAGGCGACGGCGTACCGGAAGGGGGAGGCAAAGAGCGGCTCGCGCTCCGACTGGCGGAGGTGCCGCGCGATTTTTGCGCGCACGCCGCCGCCGTCCAGAGAGTAGGTGCGCACGTGCAGCCGCGGCCACAGCCGCTCGAGCTGCGAGCGGAGCGGCGCTCGCCGTGCGTTGGGAACGATGAGGTGGAAGCGCAGCGCGGCCGGCGTCGCACAGTGCACCACCGTCGAGTTCACCACGCCGAGCAGCCCGAACGGCGCCTCCTCATCCGAGGCGATGGCAATGTTGACGGCAGGCGCGGTTGCGACGTCGGCGCCGTCCGCCGTCGCCGGCAGCTGGCTGCTGCTATCCGGCAGACGTGATTGGACGCCCGGCTCCACGGGCAGCTGCCACAAGCACAAAAAGAAGAGAGCACACACGCCGAGCACGCACGCCGCGAGCTGCGCCCGCCGCCGAGACAGGCGTGGCAGGCGTCGGCGGCGATCCTTCGGAGGCTCGGCGGCGGCGACTGCACGTGTGTGGCGGATCGAGCGCTGCTTCCTCTTCAGGATGTGAGCGGGCAATAACGACGAGCCGCCGTCGCTCAGCATGGCGGTTTTCGTCTGCTGGCACCAAGCGCGACGGGCTAGCGACACGGACGGAGCGACGGTACTAGACCATCGCCTTTTCACACGCGTCATTTGGAGATTGTTTTTGAGCTTAGCCTTCGGCCTGATGAAATTGTTTTTTATCCGCTTCCGCATATGGACCTCGCCGAAGCACAGGCCGCCGCCCTCTCTGAGGGCCTGGTGCTCGTGCGCTGCCTTGGCAACTCAACAGGATTCAAGGGTGTTCAAGCGGATGGCAAGGGGGGGTTTCGAGGCTTCTACACGCACGGGTCGAAAGGCCGAAGATCGAACCGACAACTTCGTTCGGTGGGCTCCGCCAACGAAGCCGCGCTCGAGCTCTCGCGGATGCTCCGCTGGACAGCTGCTTGCCAGTGCCGCGTCTGCGATCCGCCGGCCCCGCTACCGGCGGCACGGGAAGAGGCCGCTGTCGTTGCTGCAGCAGCTCAGGCGGACCTCACGCTCGCAACGTGCGGCAGTGCGAACGGGTACAAGGGAGTGGACCATGTAGAAGGCACCAACCCAAAGCGCTTCCGCGTGCGTCCGGAGATGATCGCTCGGCTCGGACTCGAGCGGCCGCCGCGGGGCTTTAGAACCGCGCCTGAGGCCGCGTTCTGGATCGCCGAGCGGCTCGGCCCGGAGAGGTCGGCCGACTTTGCGGCGGGCCGTGCGACCTGGGACAAGGACGAGATCGACGACGCGCTGCTGCAGACCGCCGACGGCCAGGCCTTCGGTGGCACAATGTCGAGGTCTCTCTTCGGGGGATTCGCGTGCGACTCCTGCGCTTTCAAGCCCGCGGGCGAGGGTTGCGGGCTGCTCTTCCGCTCCGCGCACGCGGCGCGCCTCCAGGGGCAGCGGTGCGAGGAGGCTGCGTGGGCGGGCGACGCAGATGCGTCGTGGGACGTGCGGCACCCACACCGCGGGCCAGGCGGGCGGTTGATCCCGGACGGCATCTACCGGTGCTCGCACCGCACCGCCAACGGCACCTGCTGCGCCTTCGCGCTAGAGGGGATCCCGCTGTACGGCAACTTCGACCACTACAAGTATTACGGGTGCCAGGAACCTGCGCTGGCCCTGACGCGGGCGGTTGAGGCGCACGACAGGTCACACGCCGACATGCCGCTCACCGTCGAGGAGTGCTACGAGGCTTGTTTCGCGGCGACATGCCAGGGCTACGAACGCAAGTACGAGCTGGAGACGTCGGCCGACAACGAGTCGGGCTTCGCGGGTGTGTCGGTCCGCCAAGGAGGCAAGAAGCGCTACCATGTTTTCGAGGTTGATGGCATGTTTGCCACCGCCCACGAGGCCGCCCTCGCCCGCGCCAAGGCGCGTACCAAGGCGCGGAAGCAGCAGGCGCGGCACGAGGTGCGCTCCTCGCGTGCGGCCACTCTCTTGCCTTGAGCACTCTTTCCGGCAACGCGTCGTGTACTGTGCCGGCCGCCCGCGTGTCTCATCGCAAGGGGGTGGGGGTCGGGGAGGCACCACCCTCACCGAGTCTGTCTTTCTAGTACCGTGGCCACCTATTAGCGCCAGTGTGTCCCAACACTCGCGGGGGGAACCTACAGCTGTCTATGCCTCCACTCATTGTAACACTCGAGTGCCCTTTCTTCCGTCCCAGGCGCGTGTTGAGAAGCGCAGCGTCGAGCGAAAACCGCCGTCGAAAACCAGTCGCTCGCGCTCGAGAGAGAGAGAAATAATTGTGGCGAGCGAGATTTGCTCTACCGTCTACGCTCATCCTCGGTGTGCGTGTGGAAGAGAAGGATCTGCTTCACATCGTTGTTTAGATAGGGCGGCATGGAAAACGAGAAAACGCGCCGCGGCTTCTTAGCCCCCCGGCCCTGGATGTGAGGCTAATGACTGCACTCCAAGTGCTCCAAGACCAAGTGCAGGTTTTCCCCGCCCGTTTTGGCCTCATCGTCCTGACAAGATCCTCCTGGTCCTGCGGCAGCTGGGGGCCGTCGAACCGCGAGGCGGAACATTTTTTAGGAGCAACAAGAAATCTATGATTCCTAGCACTCACATACACAGTGACAAGAGTTGAGTTCTTGTTGGTTTTCTTACTAAAAATCAACAAGAGTTGGAGAGAGAGAGTTGGTGTCCAGTCTGAGCCTGGCTGTTCTTCACCTTCCTACCTAACCTACAAACAAATCTCTCTACCTAACCTAACCTAAGAGTGTTAGAGTTGTTTGGTATTGCTAAAAATCTCTCTCTAAAAATCTCTCTCAAGAGTTCAAATCTCTCTCACACAGTGACTTAGCTGAGCTGCGTTTTGTTTCTATTCCCACCGTGCAAGCCCCACCCGGATGGGCGTGTGGGGGCGCGTCGCCCCGCTTGCTCTAGGTAGAACGCCTTAGAAGACGAAACAGATCGGTCGGCCCGACGGCGGGCGGAGAAGACGGGCACCGGACCAGGAAGACTGGGAGAGTGTGAAGTGAATGGAGGGATACGTGTGTTCAGACGCCCACCTTTTAGGCTTTTTGCCTCAGTCTACACTCATCGTCCTGTGAACACAAATCATATCGTCCTGCCGAGATCCTGCGAAAGAAAGAAAGAAAACACGCAAGCCAAAGGAGGGATGGCGGATGGGAGCGGGGCGAGCGGGACGGCACGCCGCCACCACCACACACACACAGGGATTTCGCGGAAAGGAAGGAGTGTTGGGTGTTGCTAGCAGCCGTCGCCCACCCTTGGGGCTTGGGCGTCTGCCTCTTGCCATCTCTCTTCGCAGTCTCTCGCCGATTCTCGCAGCAACCTGCATGCCACCTCGCGGTCGTCTCTCTCTCCACGCTCGTTCGTTTTTGACGAACTCGGTGTTTGGGTAGTCTGGTTCTCTCTCCGGCCCCCTCCCCGTCGTCCTCTGCTCTCCTCTGCCTCGTTCTGCGATGACCACGCCGGAAACTTAAAAAGAAAAGTGAGCCGGACCACCCCCTCTTGTTCTCTGCGTTGTTGAGCCAGGACTCAACATACTCGGGCTTGCGAGTCCCAAACTGTCACTCCCCTTTCTCCCGGCCGGGGTGGGGCGCGCGCGGGGGCGGCGGGTGTGCGGCGGGTGTGAGGGATGTCTGTGAGCCCGAGAGCGATATGCCATGTCCGCCTTGCGTTGTTTCATTACATCGAAGGCTAAGCTCAAAAAGAAAATTTGCCTAATGTTTTCTTACCACAGACGCGGGCACGCACTCCGAAATGGCTGGCCGAGGCCGCGGGCGCGGACGCGGCGGCATGCCCATCAACTTTCCCGACGGCGTCCTCTGCCGCGAGCCGGGCTCTCGCCGCCGGGCGCCGCTCCAGCCGCCGGCGACGTGGGACGGCCGCGGGTACGAGACTGCGCGTGACACCGACCTGCTCGCGGCGTGGCGGACGCTGCGAGAGCACCCGGCGGCCGTGGCGAGTCGCATAACCCGCGCGACGCGTGTGCGCGGCGTCGCGCGCTACTCGGACCGCGGCGCCGCCAGGCCGCACCTGACCGCGAGCGCGTTTGCCGCGTCCGAGCACTGCACGCTGCGGGTCGGGGAGCACTATCCGGCGGAGCTCAACCCGAGCGGTGCCTCCGCGCGGTCGGCCAAGCGCGCGCGCGCCGCGGCCGGGCCGGGGCTCAGGCTGCTCCGCGGCGCGTCGTGGGCAGCGGCAACCGAGCTCGAGGCGCTGGAGGCGGCCGCGCAGGCAGGTGCGGAGGGGGAGGGTTCTGCGAGCGAGGTGGAGGAGGGGGAGGAGGGAGCGGAGGAGGGAGCGGCCGGCCGCCGGGCGGACGGCTCGAGACGCGACCGCGACGACGGCGACGGCGAGGGCGACGGCGAGGAGGACGGGCTCGAGGAGGACGAGGACGCCATCCTCGGCGACGAGAACGGGTTCGACGGATTCGAGGACGGCGGAGACGACCTCGACTCGGGCGGCGAGGACGAGCCCGAGTACTGACACACGCGCTCCGCCTCCATTTGACTGCCTCCGTGTAAGGCGTTGTGTGAGATCTGTCGGTCTCGCTCGCGCCTGGCGCGTGGCGGTGGCGCCTCTCTGTATCTCTCTCCGCTCTCGCGGGGGCGCGGCTCTCTCAGAGATAAACCGATAAACCGCATACCCCCCTGCCTCCACATCATCGGACTCTCTTTAAATAACTTCGCGCGAGCCGCCGCGCGCCGGACGTCATTCGCGCGGGACCGACCGCGCCGCACCCCGGCCGGTGCCGCGCCTGTGCGCTGTGGGCGCACACCCTGCGTCCCGCGACGGCGCCCGCGTCCCGCGCAAGTAAGCGCCCTCTTCAACCTCCCAGTCTCATCAGCCGCGAGCGTGCGCATCCACGCGCCCGCTTGCGTGCGTATCCCTCCGGTCCTTGCGGACCCATCTCTTCCCATCCCCTGTGCGGCGGGGCCGCCTCTTTCCTCTGGCTGCTGTGGCGCCCTTGCGGGCCATCCACCGCGCCCCCGGCGGGGTAGAGGGCCGCCCCCCTCCTTCACCACGCCTTCTTGCTCCTCCTCGGGCTCGCAGACGGCTTGTCCACGGCCAGCTTGTCCCCAGCGGCGGGCGGGCCTGACCAAGAGGCGGCGAGGGACCGAGAGGCGGCGAGGCGGGTGGGCGGCGTGAAGCCGAGCCAGCGGACGTAGCCGCCCGCCATGGCAACGAGGACGACCGTCCCGCCCAGCGAGCCGGAGAGCATCCACGCCGAGAGCCGGTCCACGTACCCGAGGAGAAGGAGCGAGGCGAGGAAAGCGAGCGGCAGCAGCCACCGCTCCCACCACGCGGGCGAGAAGTGGCGCAGCAGCGGCAAGAGGAGCTGGACCGCGCCGGTCCGTGCGAGCCAGCGCGCCGACTCCTCACCCGCGTCGCGGCGCCGCGCCGCGCGCGCCACCGGAGAGCCTCCCGCCACCGCCGCCGCCGCCGCCGCCGCCGGCGGAGGCTCTGCACGGGGCGGCGGGGACGGGGCCGCGGGCGGCGCGGCGACGGGCCGCGGCGAGGAGGGCGCGGACTCGTGCACATGCGAGCAGCGCAGCCGCGTCGCCTCCACCGCCTCGGGCGCCGCCTCCTTCCACGCGTTTGCAATGTCCTCAGCCGAGGCGCCCTCGTCCGAAAACGCCAGGTTCTTGATTTGAAACTTATCCTTGGCCCACTGCGCGAGGTCGTCGGGCACCGCGTCTTGCGGCGTGAGCACCAGGTGCACCTCCACCGAGCAGCCCGCGCCCAGCGAGCCGGACGCGGGCTTGACGCGATACCGGGTCGGTGCCGTCGTGAGGACTTTGAAGAGCTGGGCGTCTTCGGAGTCGTTGGTCAGCACGATGGTGCGAAAGCAGGATCGGCCAGCGTTGGCCACGAACTCGACCGTCCCCGCCCTGGCTCCGTCGAGCGTGATCTTCATGGGCGCTCTGAACGCCTCAAACCCCGAACCTCAACGAAGAAGAAAAATCTGTCGTTGCGGGGGAAACGAAGTCGCACCTTAGGGAAGGTGACTTCGTCGCGGTCGTCCCCTTCCCAACCCAGTCCTCACTCTACAGTCATCACAGTCTTCCCAGAGTGGCAGAGAATAGTCAATAACAATATAGAGAAGAAGATTTTCGCGGCGGCGGCCCGAGCGCCGAGGTTTAACGTTAAGACTTAAGTTATGAACAAGAGGTACATGCAACACAAAAGAGAGGAGGCGGGGTCACCGGAGGGGGCGAGGCGCTGGCTGGCACTCTCCTCGGGGTGCGGGGCGCCGTCTGCAGCAGCGCGCCGCCTTCCGGCTCGAGTCGCAGTCGGCTGCTAGAGGTGGAGGCCGATGTTCGACCGGCTCTTCGACCACGAGTCGCGGAGCATCTGCGCGGGCAAGGCGAGGCAACGCGGCGTGAGCGGCGGCCGTTCCAAACGGGCAGGGCGCGGGCAGGGTGCAGCGCCAGCAGGCCGGGCGCCTGCTGTGCAGTCGTAGGCAGGGCATTGTACATGATGTTGAGGTACTGCAGCGAGCTGTTGTCCTCCACCGCCTTGCAAAAGGCGGAGCCGGCCGTCCCGGACAGGTTGTTTGACTCGAGGTTGAGGTACTCGATGGACGAGTTTGCGCAGAGGGCGGTGGCGAGGGCGATGGCGCCCTCGTCCGAGATCTGGTTGCGCGCGAGATCGAGCCGCGTGAGCTTGGTCGAGTGCTTCAGGAACTCGGCGATCAGGATCGCCTCCACGTCGGTGTACTCCTCGCTGTCCCACTCTAGCTCGTCCTCTTCGCGCAGCTCGCCAACCTGCGCGCGCACACAAGGCCCATGAGAGGGGGCCTCCGGCCGCATGGCCTCCGAGCCGCGCGCGCTGCGCGCGCACCGGTAGCTCGTGCTGCGAGAATTTGATCACCGAGAGCGCCGCGTTCTCGCACACCATCGGCGCTAACCTCCGCGCCTGCGCCGTCGAGAGGCTGACCGCGCTCAGGTCGAGCTCGCCGCCGCTGGCGAGGGCCGTCGCGTCGATCCCCGGCGGCAGATCGCCGACGGGCAGCTCGGGGATCGAGGGCGCATCCCCCGGCGGCAGCTCGGGAATCTCTGCCGACGCCCGCTCCGACTGCTGCCCCTCGAGGTTGGCGAGCAGGTCCTCGGCGTCGAGCCCCTCTATCCCCCCCTCAATCGAGTCCACGCCGCCGCTCAGCCGATCGACCTCCGCGTCCGCGGCCTCGCTCCCATCCCCGAGCATCTCGTGGAGGAGCACGTCGTTGACATCCTCCTCCTCTGGCAGCTGCAGCCGCTGCTTGCCTGCCGCGCGCCCCGCCTCTGGCGCCTCTGGCGCGGCAGGGAGTTTGCGCTTGGACATGCTTCTCCGGCCGCGCTAAGCGGCGGCCTCTCCGCGCGGTGAGCCTGCGGTGCGCAGGGCGGGCCGGCCTCGGACGGAGCTTTGGGTGGGGGACGGAGCACATCGACACATGCGCGGCGGCTCGGCTGTGCGGCAGTGCGCTAGCCCGCGCGCGGCGCCGCGGGCGCGGCGCGAGCGCGCGCACGCGGCGCGACTGCAGCACGCATGGAGGAGAGGGGGGGCAGCAACAGTGCTCTGGTAGGGGCGTTCGGGCAGGCGTCAACACCGTGAGACCTGACCAACCGGCGGGTGACCAACACCGTGCGTCAACCCCGTGAGCGATTTTTTAGCGTCGATTACAAACGAAAACACCACGTTCACAACTCTCCTGCTGAGCGCCTCACTCTTTAGTCCGCTCATCTTCACCGTCGCCGCCGCCGGAGTCGCGATGCACAAGCCCTCCGCCTCCCTCGCCGACGCGCTGCTCTGCCCTCCGCCCAAGTTCGGGCAGGTCGAGCCGAGCGTCTTCCGCGCCGCCTTTCCCCGCTCCGAAAGCCTCGCCCACCTCCGGCTGCTCGGCCTGCGGACCACCCTCAACCTATCGCGAGAGCTGCCGGCGCAGGACGTCCTCGCGTGGTTCGAGGCGCAGGGCGTCCGCGTCGCCCACCTCGGCATCGCCGTGTGGACGCACCCGTCGGTGGCGCCAATCTCTGCCGAGTGCGCTTTCGTGTGCCACATCGATCGCTCGCTCCACCTCTCGTGCCGCCGACCGGGCCGGCCCGCCCGCCCTGAGTAGGCTGGTCAACGCCGCGCTCAGCGCCGTGCTCGACCGGGAGCAGCACCCGCTGCTGCTGCTCTCGGCCTCGGGGACGCACGAGGTCGGCACGATCGTCGGCTGCCTGCGCCGGCTCCAGCAGTGGAGCCTCAGTGGAGCCATCGACGAGTACCGCTCCTTTGCCGCTCCCACGCCGCGGCTGTCGTGCGAGCAGTTCATCGAGACGTGGGATCCGGACCTCGCACCGCCGCCGCGCGCGCACCCGCCGCCTTGGTTCGAGTCGCAGTGCGCGCGCCCGCCTCCCGTCCGCGCTGCCCGAGACGTGGCCCGCGACTCCGCCGCTCTGCCCGCCCGCGCCTCAGGCACGCGCTCCTCGAGTCCGACGCAGAGGCGTGGAGGCGGATGCCGTGCTGCGACGCGGAGGAGGCGGCACGCTTGCGCGAGTACTTTCGGGTGTCGGGAGCGCTTTGTTCTCCCGGCGTGGCAACCACTCTTGTCGCCGAAGACGCTGTTGCCGACTGAGAAAAATGCACGCGGCGTGCCGGTCGAGGGCGGATGTTGGTACGGCCGGTTTGCGCGCACGCTGTACCATTCGTGGGTTATGTGATCGCCGTGTTTAACTGCAGGCATGCTATATGTAAGAAGAACGAGATCGAGAACGGGAGAGAACGCTCTCGCACTCGCGTCTTAGTCGGGAAGTCGCGGGCCTCTTATACAGCGTCCGCGACGGTCGCGCGGTCTCGAGGTCGAGCGCCCGCGCGTCTCCACGCACGCGCTAGTCTTCGCTCTCTCGCGTCTCGACTCGAGCACGTCTCGGCCCTCTCGCCGCCGCTCGGGTCTCGCGCATTCCGACACATATACGATACATTAGTCACATTACGTGCTTTCCGAAAAAACAAAAATCGCCGTGCCCCGCGCGGCCCGCGGGCGCGGCGTGCGAGACCAAGTGAGAGACTAGGTGAGAGAAGTTGAGAAGTTAATCCCCTCGAACCCGTCATGTGCGTCAACCGACGAAAAATAAAAAAGTGATATATCTTTACTTCCAACACACCCGGACGTTCCCAGGGTGATGGAAGGTTCGACGCACCCCCGGACTGGGCAGAGAGGTCCCAACGTACGGGGGTATGCCTAACTTTGGTGCTTTGTGTGGGTCGCGTTCCCTTGGTAGCTGTGTGGCTGAAGCCCTCGTGCCGCTGGCTTGCCCCTTCCAGCGGCTGGCCCCTCGAGACTGTCGGTGCTTGGCGGGAGGAGGGGGAGAGGGAGGCCCGGTGGGAGGGGAGGGAGAGGGAGGCCGCCTTGGGCTCTTCTCCTCCCCCCTCCCTAGGCTATTCTCCTCTCCCCACCCTGGGCTCTTCTCCCCTCTCCTGCCTGGTACTCTCGGCCTGATTACCGGAGCGTCTGCTGGAGCAGACGCTGGGGGGACACTCACGCCCGGAGGCGGTACGCACGACCCGGAGGCGTGGGGATGGGGGTCGCCGCGCCGCCGCCGCCGTGCCGCCTTCTCCCGCTTTGATCTCCCTCAGCTGCTTCTCCTCTCAACCTGTGAGCTTGCGAGGGCGGCGGGGGTGGGAGTGCTCTCGGGCGGCGTGTGCGAGCGCGCGCGGCGCGAGATCTCTTTCGCGAGGGCACGGTGGGTCGGGTGAGTATCTCGCGCGCTCGCACTATTTCACGTTATATGAGGCGCTGCCCCTCACTGCCTTTGCAAGAACCGCCAGCGGCGGTGGTTGAACCGTTCGCGGTTCGAGTCGGGAGCTTTTGGCTCCCGGTTCGAAACTCGCGTGGAGGGTTGCTTCGCGGTAGCGAACGCGGGCGACGCGAGCGCGCGGAGTAATGGAGAAGTCTGTCCGCGCCTAAGGATTCTGCCATTCCTATTCTGCTCTACTACACAAGGATTCTTGCTATTCTACCTCTCACTAGATTCCCCTTCCCAGGTTCCTCTTCTGCTCAGATATTCTGATTCTCTCCCCAGACTCTCCCATCTTGGCCCCGCTTTCAGCTTCCTGATTCTCCATTCTCGTTTCCTCCGCTTCCTTTCCGATTCTCTAGGGCAGCCAGAGCCAATTCCTGATTCTGCTCCCCCCTCCCGATTCTCCTGTCTCTCTTCCTATTCTTGATGCTCCATTTGATTCCTGATTCCTGATTCCTGATTTGTCGGATCGCCCACATTTTGACCGGGATTCTGATTCCTGATTCCTGATTCCTGATTCCTGATTCCAACATTTTGACCGGGATTCTGATTCCTGATTCCTGATTCCTGATTCCTGATTCCTCGGAGTTACGCATTTCGGCGGGATCCTATGTTGGCCTGACTCTCCGAACTCCTGAGCCGATATTGCGTGTGCGCGGGGCTTCACACAGCTCACTCAAACTTCGCCCGCGGCAGCATGCTCAGGCGCGGGTCTCTCTGGCGCTCCAGCCTCACGTCAGCGCACTCAGCGCTTAGGCCTCGGTCCGGCGTCCGCAAAGGCGCAGTGTGTGGTGCGGGCTCTGCCCGCCCCCCCGAGGAGAGGGGGGGGGGGGGGCGCTCCCGCGCGGGGGGGGAGCCGAGCGAAGCTCGGCTCGGGTTCAAACTAACCCTCCCCCTTTTCCCTTTTTCTAAAACTGCTCGCCGCGAGCGGCTCGCTTCTAAAACGAGCTCGCCGCGGCTGTCGCCGCGTCTCGCCTGTCTAGGCGTCGTGATGCGTGTGTGCTTTTGAGCTGGGCGTATAAGAAGAAGAAATTGAAGCACTCCTCCCATTGACTTAGTACGAGCACCGAGACACGAGACAGCAGCCTACCCGTTCTACACCCACACCGCCGCGGAGCTGCCTAGCTGGCGGGTGCATTCACAGCGAGCCCGCGGGCTTGGAGACCCAATCAGACAGCACTCGCCACAGCAAAAGAGCAGACGTGCCGCTGTGAGCATCGCTGAGCAGCACCAACGTCCTTGCGGGGCCGCCGCAGGCCGGCGCCAAGCTGCATCTGACGCCGGCATGCCGTTCAAACCCCGGCACCAAGCGCCCGCGGGAATGGGAGGCCGTCTGCCCAGAATTAAGATCGGCCGCGCACTGCTCTGGCTCCACCATGCCACCGCCCATGAGATCTCTGACGCACGTGTGATGAGCCGCCGTTCAAAAGTGACTGTACTGTGCGGAGCGCGGAGCGCACTTCGATGGCAAAGTGGGTGGCGCGGAGGATACGGCGCGTACACATGAGCGTGATTGGTTGAGTGAGCATGCCCAGATGGCCGGCCGGCCGGGCTACCGCCCCTCCGACGGGCAAAAACAGGAATCAGGAAACGAGAGTCCGGCCGGGTTGCCAAGAAATCGGCGGGCAGAGCGGAAAATTCCCTTTCCGGCATCCGGAGGCAGAAACCGCAACCGCGCGACAGAATCTGATAAGGCGAGAATCGGACGGACAGAATCAGATCGAGTAGGCAGAAACGGAAGCTGGGTGAGGAATCCTGCCCGGAGGCTGAGTGAGTGCGTGGAAAGGGGACGGGCAGAATCAGATCGAGTAGGCAGAACCGGAAAAGGAGAGTGAGAATCAGAAGAAACGGACACGAATCCCTCTCGAGCCTCCGCATACAGAATCCTGTCTTGGGTGGCAGAATCGCTAGTGCAGAATCCTCAGGCGTGGACAGGGTTCTCCAAGACTGAGCGCGCGCGCGTGCGTGTGCGCTGCTGCAAGGCGAGGCGAGGCGCAGGCGCAGGCGCAGGGGCAGGCAAGGCGAGGCGGGCGGCGGCGGCGCGCGATCGTTCCTTTTGCCCGGGTGAAAGGCGTTGGCGAGCACGTCGCGCGGTGATGACGCCGCACGCTGAGAAGTTCTTGGTGTCCCACCGCGGTGGCAGCGAGCCAGAGCAAGCGACCTGCCGCATGACGGGTGGACCTCGAAAAAGAATCTTTTAACCGACGAAAAACAGAAATTTTCCACAGTGGCCACTCGCTTGCTTTTTTTTCGCTCCAGCCCTGCGGGTCTTCATAGTAGACCGGAGGGCTACCGACGCCTTCACACTCCAAGGGGCTGCACACTGGCACAACACACAAGTGTGTGCACACCCCGCACATCACCAGAAGGGTCTGCATTCCGTGTCGACGCCGAGCTGCTCCGCCGTGATGTGGCCGAAGCAGCGGCACGGGAGCGACTCGAGCGCGCCTGCGAACTTCGCCCTCACGGCTGGAATGCCGCCCTCCACTCGCGTCGACTCGAGGGCAGCGACTAGCTGGGCCAGTGCCTGGAGGCGCGCTGCGCCGTGCGCCACCGCGACGATCGGCCGCTCGCCGGCGCGGCCGCGCGGGACGGGGCCGAACGCGGCGTCGGAGGGCAGGACGCCCACCGTGCAGTCGTCTGCGGCGGACCATCGCGGGACTCCTCTCCCGGTGGAGCGGTTGCAGAGCGGCGAGCGGAGGTCGCGGGCCAGGCGGAGCGCGGCGCCCCGAAGCACGTCGACTGCCGAGTGCATCCCGCAGGGCAGCGGGGACCAGAGGTGGCGACGCGGCGCCAGCAGCGCGTTCCACACGGCCTGGTCGCCACCGACGCCGCGGTAGCCGCCGCGCGGGGCCTCGCGCATCGCGCAGCGCCACCACGGCTCTCGCTGGCAGTAGGCCCGCTCGAATGCGCGGAAGCGGCTCGCGTTGAGGACGAGCACGCCCGCGTTGACGCCCTCGGAGCGATGCGGGATGGAGAGCTGCGCGGCGCCTCGCCGAGTGGCGCGCTGCAGCTGGTTGACCCGCGAGCTTGTCCGCGCGACCGCGACAAGCTGCGCCCCCTTGGCCTCGAGCAGCGCCTGCCGCAGCAGGGAGGCGCAGCGGCCCAAACAGAAGCTGTCGGCGTCGAGAAGCGCCGCCGCCTCCACGTCAACGGGCAGGTGGCGGAGCAGCTCGAGCTTCTCCAGCCCGAAGCCGGACGAGTAGTGAGCGTCGATTGGGAAGTCGACGCCTCCGCCGCCAGCGAGAGCGGCTACCATTGCCGGCAGCGTCTGCAGGAGTCGGCAAGTGTAGCGGGCGGGCGGGCCGCGAAGCAGAGGCGGGCGGGTGAGGCTGGAGTCGGTCACGACAACGAGTGGACCGAGCGCCGGGTCGCTCCCGTCCATAAACCGAAAGACGTCGCGTCCCATCGCCGCGCCGGTGGGCCCGAGGAGGTAGACCAGCAGGGCAAGAGGGGGCGGTGAAGACCCACTGCCCGCGACAGGCTGATCGCCGCAGCGCCAAACGTCAACGGAGCGAGTCATCGAGCGTGCCGACCGGGCCAGAGCCGCGAGTCGCCGTTCATGTGAATCAGTCTCTTGGACCACGGGGCACACGCACTCGCGGAACACACGGGGTATTACACTCGCGGCGTTGTGTGCGTTCTCAGGGAAAGGCATCACCACACACACAGACAAAAGTGCAATATGCGCTCGGGCGAGGCGCGCGCGCGCATGGCAGGCCGAGCAGGCTCGGCATATCCATATGGTGAACCCCCGATGCCGCGATGCGGTCCCGCTTTCCGCGATCTTTTCGTCCGTCCAATCCGCAATGTATCGCGAAGGAAGCGCCGGATCGCCCATGTTATGGAGTTAGCCAAACTTGTCTAGCCACCCTTTGTCTTGCGCGGTCATAACGCGCGGGCGCTCAGCGGAGCTGGGAATAGGACCGCCGCAAGCGGCGTGGCGTGGAGCGGTTGAGCATCCCTCCAGGGGCCCCTCTGCGCCGGGGAGGCGTTGTTACAGGCTAGGACGCAAGCGTCCGTCGCCCTTTTCAAACTCGGGGCCCACTCCGCTACGCTCCGACCCGAATTTGGAGGGCCTAAAAGTTTAAGGTGTTGCTGCGCAAAAGGAGTCGGACACAGGGCGCAGCTCATGCTAAGAGCCAGAAGGGGAGCTAGAGAGAACGACTACCCTGTCCCGTTATTGCGTAACACCAACACCACAAAAGCTCTCTCTCTCCTGTCCTCACTCAGGGGGGTCACAACTACCGAGTCCCGCGACTAGCTGCCACGTTGCCGACCGAGAGCGGATCTCCTCCTGCTCCGCAAGGAGGGTGGCCAAGGCTAAAGTCTTGCCGGAGCCACCGGGCGCATTGACGACTTGGAGAAGGTCGCCCTTGCACTTGTACTTGTAGAGATGCTCGAGGGGGTGCTTTGTTGGGCGGTGCGCAGCCAGGCCAGCAGTGAGGGGAGGCGCACCCAGAGCTCGTCGGAGGCTGCGGCACGACGGGAGGGTCGCGACAGCAGTCCTCGGGCGAGCCGACGCGCATGTCCAACCAGCGCTGGGGGGGGTATATTAGCTAGGGTTGCCTAACGTTAATTTGGGGCCTAACAGTTGCTTTATTGTTGGCTGAAATCCTCAACGTTGTTCAAGTGTTCACCCCAGCCCATGCTGCTACTGTTTGTTTACTGTTGTTACTGTTGTTCAGCGGCCAGCAAGCAGAAAATGGCAAAAAATCGGGTAAAACCCGAAAATACCTGGGATTTCCGGGTATTTTCGGGTATTACCCGCACTGGACACTAGAGATCGTCGTGGGTCACTGCCAGGGCCTTCCTTACTGTTGTTCAGTCGGCCCAACGTTAGCTACTGTTGTTGGGGAGCCCCACTGTTGTTCTGTTGTCGTACTGTTAACACTAGCACACTGTTCAGTTCCCTACGGCTTTTAACGTTAGGCAACCCTATAATATATATTGCAGATTTGTCAAGATGGTACCGCGTCTGCGACGCGGGCGCCTTGCGGGCAGAGCCCTTAGCCACCCTTTATATCTTGCGCGGTCAGAATTTTACTACGAACTCCCTCGCACAGTGTCGTGCGAAAAAAGAAACGAAAGCTCTCAGCCCTCCCACCCCTCCATGCAAGCAACTAGCTGATGCGGGTCCCACGGCTCCGAACGCTGCCTCTTCTCCCGCCTCTGTCGCACCGGCGGGAACGCTCGCCGCTCCAGCAGCTCCGCGGCGCGTTCGATTCGCGCGGTGGAGCAGCCCGCCACCGCAGCCAGCGCCCGCACGACTAGCGCGTGACGCGGCCCGTCTGCGGCGGCGCGAGAGCCGCAGCGCACAAAGCGGCGCGCGGCGCATGCTGCGCTCGCGCCGCCGAGGAGCGAAGACACGTCGCCATCGCCCCCATCGCCGAGCCCGGGCTCCTGTAGCCCTGCCGCCTCAGCCACTCCCTCCTCCTCGCCCACGGGGAGCGGCGGCGGCAGGGGCGGCGGCGGCGGCGCAGCAGCGACCGCCTGCAGCGCGCCCCGTGCGCGCGACTCGAAGTCGCTGATCTCGTGAAGCTGCTCGTCAAAGAGGCGGGCGCGGTTGGCCGGGTCGAGCAGCTCGTGCGCGGCCCACGCCGCGTGCGCGCACCGCGCCTCGGGCGGCAGAAGCAGCAGCTCGGTCGGACTCCACGCGGCGAGCCTGTGCACCGCTGCGACCGCCTGCGCCTCGACAGCCGCGCCTCTCTCCGAGAGGAGCGGGGCCCGCACCTCCTCCGCCTCCGCCTGCAGGAGCGGGTCACCCAGCCGCGGGCAGCCGAGCAGCGCTCGCAGCAGGCCCGGCTGCAGCCCACGCCAAAAGTCTTCCCCGGCGGCACCACTTGCGGATGGGGCGTCCGCCGCTGCACCCACTGCATCCGCCCCCGCTGCACCCGCGTCGCCATGACCACCAAGCTGCGTCGCCTCCTCCTCCTCCGTCGCCTCCGCGCTCTGCCGTTGCGTCGCCTCCTCCTCCTCCTCCTCCGTCGCCTCCGCGCTCTGCCGTTGCGTCGCCTCCTCCTCCTCCTCCTCCGTCGCCTCCGCGCTCTGCCGTTGCGTCGCCTCCTCCTCCTCCTCCTCCTCCTCCGCTGCGGTCTCTTGCTGCGCCGCCGCCTCCTCCGCCGCCGCCTCCTCCTCCTCCCGGTGCAGTGGCGGAGCAGCCTGCCCTGACCCGGCGGAGCAGTAGTCGAGCAGCGGCGCGGCCACGTCGCACCTCAGCTTGACCGCCACCAGCAGCGCCGCCGCCCCCGCCACCTGCGCCCTCCCGCTCAGAGCGAGGTCCGACTCCTTCTCGGCGTCCGCCTGCGGCGCGAGCTTCCGCACCGCCGCCTCGACCCCCTTCCCAAAGCCAACCAGCCCACGCCAGCCTCCGCCTCCGCCTCCGCCTCCGCCCCCGCCTCCGCCTCCGCCTCCGCCCCCGCCTCCGCCGCCACTCCGCTCGGCGCCGCTCACCCGCCCGACGAGCCGCACCGCCAGACGACCAACCTCGGCGGGGAGGCCGGCGTCCGCGGCGAGCCGGCCGAGCAGCACCTGAGGGGTGGGGGAAGGGCGTGTGGAGGGTAGACGTGTGAGTGTGGAGGGCAGAGACTCGAGCAGCACCTGCAGCCGGACGGGCGGGGCGCGCAGGTGCAGAGCCTTCCGGAGGCGCGTTGCGAGGAGGGCGAGCGAGTCGGCGGTCGGGAAGCTGCTGCCCGAGGAGCCGCTGCCGTACGGGCGGAGCAGGCCCGGCAGCCAGCGGACCAGCGGCAGGTACGCACTCGGCGCGGTGAGGGCGAAGGAGAGCAGCGGCAGCTGGCCGGCGCGGCACCACTCGACGAGGTGAGCCGCGCTGACGCCCGCGGCGGAGGCGCCCTCCTCGCACGCGAGCAGCAGCACCGCGAGCGCGAGCTGCGCGGACAGCACGATCTGCCCGCCGCCCACCGCAGCCTTGGGCAGGCCCCGCCGGCTCGTCACCTCCTCGTCCAGCGGCCGTGCGGAGAAGAGGCGCGCGGTGTGCCTCCACAGCGAGTGCGCCGAGGCGCGCAGCGCGCCATCGGCGCCGCCGCGCGAGCTCGCCGCCGCGCCGATCCGCTCCTCGAGCGGCCGCAGCAGCGCGAGCAGCAGCGCCTGGAACGCCTCAAAGGCGAGCCGCACTGTCGGCAGCGCGGCCTCTGGCTGCACTGTCGCGGCGGCCAGCGTCGACGGCCCACCTGCCGAGTGCACGCGATAGCGCAGCTGCGCGCCGTCGGCCACGCCCGCGTCCGCCTGCTCCTCCACGAAGCCGCGCAGCTGCACGCCGCAATCCACGCAGGTGAGCCCGCCGTCGTGGCCGGGCTCGAAGCTCGTGGAGCCGCACGAGTGGCAGCGATGCGTGCCGCGCAGCCGCCTCGCCGCCTGCGGCGAGCGGTCGCGCTGGTCCTGCGTGCCGCCCATCGATCGTCATCTAGAAGAAGAACTAGTGTGGGACCTGCGGCGGTACCCGCCTCTCTGTTGTTCGGGCAGTGAGAGACGCAGGATCTGCGGCACGCCAAAGTGGGCACTCCGCATTTGCATTTTTGTTTTGGGTTGTCGGAGATCATCCATCAGCACTCATGTCTCATCAGTCAGTCACGTCAGTCAAAGCAGTCGTGGCACGTGGAGCAGTCGCTGCATGCAACGACGCCGCCACACGCTCCGGACGACCCCGACACACCGACACACCACGCACAAAGGGAGGCTATCGCGCACGATCGGGCATCGCGCTGCAAACACCTCGCCGCACAGATGGGGGGGAGGCAGAATCCCACACACACCGGAGCAGCACAGACACCTTACACGTCAGCGCTCGCTCGATGTGGCCGGCGCTCTCCCCTCGGTCCTATCGCCTTTTCAACGGCGGCGTGCGGCCACGCGCCGCGCCGAGCCGGTCTCGGCGGGAGACCTCGGAGCCGCACGCGATGCGGGCATGCGCGATGGCTCAGTTGGCTCCGTGCCTAAGGCAGATCGATTAGGGTGTGAGCTGTGGCAGCCACCGTTTCTGTACCCGCTCGATCACGTGCAGGCCGTCGGAGGCCGCGCTGGATGGCCCAGGGCCGGCGGCGGTGAAGGCGTCCGTCGATGAAGGGATGTCGTCGAGGGAGCCATCGTCCTCCGTGGCTGGTGCACCGGTCCAGTTGTTGGAGTTCGAGATCGCCGTCGAATTGGAGACGTTCGGCCCGTTGACGAACTCACGGAATGTGAGTGACTTGGTGCACGCTCGGTCGAGCATCATGGCTCGCACCTCATCCTGGGCAAGGAACTCGCCCAGGGACCAGCTGTTGGCGTCGCCGTTTTGATCGAGCTGCATCCACTGCATGGTTTCGTAGCCAAGCGTAAACGCCCAGGAGTTGGTGCCTGGGTGACTTGCTGAGAGCGCCTTCCAGGCGGGTAGTCGTGCCCCTCACCTAAGGTCAGACGGCGGAGTCAGAGAGGGGGGAGGGGCGCGAAGCGTGAACATGGAGGCAAGCAGGTGGTTGCTGCACCTGGCCAAAGCCGGCGACCTCAAAGTTGTCGTAGCTTGTGCGGATATCGCTGAGCGTGAGAGGGACCGGATCGATCCGGGGTGAGAGCGTAGTGGAGACCGTCGTTGACCGTCCGCACGATGAGCGCAGGCCCGCAGCCAGATTTCCAGGGCAGATCGCCGACGAAGGCGTCGATCACGCACTCGGTGCGGGCGGCATGCTGATGGTAGGTCGGCATTTGCTGAAGGTAGGTCGGCATGCCGGGACGGTTTGCAATTGACTTGCTGATGAGAGCGCCTTCCAGGCGGGTACTCACCTAAGGTCATACGGCGGCGTCAGAAGGGGGGGAGGGGCGCGAAGCGTGAACATGGAGGCAAGCAGGTGTGGTGGCTGCACCTGGCCAAAGCCGACGACCTCAAAGTTGTCGTAGGTTGTGCGGGTATTGCTGAGCGTGAGAGGGACCGGATCGGCAGCAGCGCGGGCGGCAGCGGCCGGAGAGGCCGGAGAGCCGTCCGACGGAGGCCGGTCGTGCATCGGCGCGTCGGCCGCAGGGGCCGTGGGGGCGGCGGCATCCATCGCTGCGGGTCGCTGCGGGCCGACGATTGTGGACTGATCGATCGTCGGCGGGCGGTGTTCAGCTGGGACGTTCTACGTTAAAAGAGCGTCGGCGCCGACACGAGAGACTTATAAGGGTAGATTCGACGCGGTCTAGATCTAGGCACGGGTGGCGCGCACTCGGTGAGTAAGACGCGATTTTCTCATTCACGACCCCCAGCCGGCGGCGCTGCGCCTACGTTCTTGGTGGCAGGACAACTGGGCAGGAGAGACTTTCGTACCACTTCAGGCGCGCCGCGATTGCCGCAGCAGAGAAGGGAGATGTCTGCGAGCGCGGTGGCGGCTGGCGAGTCTGACAGCCTGAGGCCTGGTGTCAAGCGCTGTGCGCTTGCGCTCTGCGCCTCTGGACTGCTCTGCACTCTGCACTCGACACCGCTTTCACTGGTAGACGGCGGGTGAGCTTGGTCTGCAGGATGTGACCCTCCTGCCATGCAGGCACCATTCTTCTGTGGCTGATGCGCTGCTGCTGCTGGCCGCGCCACGAGTACAAGTCGCGCGGCAGAAAGGTGCTGGACGAGATCGAGATGGAGTTCGTCGACGACCCGGAGGACGACGACTTTGGCCTTTCGAGGTAGGTGCCTTTCGAGCCACACGCACGCGCCAGCGCAACCAGCGGTCTCTGAGACCTCCCGCACTCCCTGCGCGCAGCTTTGCTGAACCAGGCCGGCCGGCGAGCTGGGAGAGACCTGTGGCTAGCGGCGTGCCGGGCGACGTTCCGCAGGATGCTGCGAGTGGAGCGACAAGGAGAACATCCGACCGCGCCATCCTGCTGTCCGAGAGTGGGGCGCGTACGGAGAGTGAGGGCACACTGTGAGCCGGGTGTGCAGGGCGAGAGACAGAGAGCGAGGCCGCGAGCCCGAGCGACGCGGGAGCCCGCGGCCCGTGTGGGGTCGCGGGCACGCGTGGGGCGCGCCAGGGGTGGCGTTGTGTGCGAGGAGAATGCCGATGCATCCGCGGTATATCTTAGACCTTCAAAGCTCATGCCAGCCATGGCCCCCTCATGGCGTCACATGGGCTTTTTTCCTATTCCACCGACCCGGAGGCGAGACCCGGTGTGCGCGGCGGATCCCAGCGGCCCGGCTGAGCCGCTAGCCGCCGCCCGCGCCCTCCATAGCGGTCAAGCGGTCGCGCAGCCTCTGGCCCTCCCGGTCGTGCTGAATGATCTGCCAGGCGAGCCGTGCCCGCGACTCGAGGGCGGGCTCGTCGGCCTCCGCGCCCGCGGAGTGCTCCGAGCGCAGCAGGGCCTGAGCCATGGTCGTGAGCAGTGCACTCTCGAGGGCGTACAGATTGCAAGACTCGAGGGCGGCCTCGAGCACGGCGAGGACAAGCGAGTCGCGCGACCGCTCGGGCAGCCGCAGCACCTCCTCCGGCAACGGCAGCGCCTGCGCAACCAGCAGCCGCATGTGGGCGTGCAGCCGCTCCGACTCGTCGTACAGCTTGCGGGCGAGCGGCCGTGCGACCGGCCACGGCATCGAGGTGGAGATAGCGCGCGCCACGCCGTCGAGCAGCTCGCGCGCCTCGCCCTCGCCGAGCTCGAGCGTCTCCGCCCAGCTGCCCGCTAGCGCAGACAGCCGCTCCGGATCGATCAGCGGCGGAGCGAACGGCGCCTCCCGCGGCGGCGGCTGCTCGCCCGAGTCGACGGCGGCCCAGGTCTGCTCGGTCAGGATCGAGTCGCCGAAGAGCACCTCGACCACGCCGGCGACCAGCCCCTCGCGCTGCTGCGGAGTGAGTCCGTCCAACCCGCCGAGCGAGTCGCACACCTCCGTGAGCCGCGAGTCGAGGCCTTCCACCAGCGCATCGTACAGCTGGCACTCGTCGTCCGGACCGCCTTCGCGAGCAACCGCGCCGACCTGGGGCAGCGCCTCAAAGGCGGCGTCGACCAGCGCGAAGGTGGACGGCATGCGCAGCGCAAGTGGCATCTCCTGCACCTCTGCGAGCCTCGCAACCTTGCACGCGACCAGCATCAGCTCGGCGGCCGATGGGGCGGCGGCGTGGAGTAAGGGCGGCGGCGCGCATCGACTGCTAGGCGCCACGGATATGATGAGGCTGGCGAAATCGAACGCACCCAAGACGACCAGCATCCTTCGGCGAAAGAATTCTTGGGGCGCAGGCTCTCTCACAGCACACTGGCACGACAAGGGCGCGGACTGGCGCGGACTGGCACACGGCGAAAGAAACCGCGCTCGGTCACCCTCTGTGCACCGTTTCCTGAGATTTGTCGTCATTTAAAAATGCCTCTTCAAGAACAAAACTCTCACCTAGGCACGAGGCGTGTCGTTGAGCGCTTTGAAATGCTTGCGTTTCTTTTTCTAGTCTTTCAGTCACAGCGCTCGTAGTACCCGTTGCTTTTTGAGAGAGGCTCGTCTCTTGAGAACTCTCGCGCCGGCACTCTGCTAGTTGAGTTGAACAGCAACCACGCCTTTTTTCTTGCGTTCAAGGTCTTTTCTTCTCAATCTCAATTTTCTTCTGTGTGTGTGCCCAGTCGCTCGTCGTGTAAAGGGCAAGCTGCTGGAAAGAATTTTAGCACGGGGGAACGGCGCGCACTGGCACCATACGTTCAGTCTCGTTTCTCCGCGTTGGCTTCTAAAACTCTCTCTCTCTCTCTCTCTCTCTCTCTCTCTCTCTCTCTCTTGGTGCCAGTCCGCGAACGTTCTTCGCCTTCCTATATCATCGAGCTGCACGCGTGAGCGCGCCTCTCGATATCGAGCGGCAGTAAGTGTCCGCCGTCGCCCCTCGGTTGCCGCTGATGGGCGCTGAAAGTGGCGTTGCGGTTGACGATGTGTGCACGCATAACGCCCTCCTTCGCCGCAAACCATAGCGGCGCTGGACGCTCAAGCTTGGGGAGCGTCTCGGCAGCGGTCTTTTCCACCGCCTTGGCCAGTGTAGAGTACGATACGGCCGAGGCGTCGGATCTGCCGAGGCTCGCCACCACATCAGTAGCGAACTGGACCGCCGGTCCTGGTTTAGCATCGGCGCGGTGTCGAGTCGAGCGAGCTGAGCACGCGGCTCGATTTTGCGTCGGAGCCGCACCGTGAAGCGCAGCTTGCAGAAGACAGCACTGTGGTCACTGTCGATCAACTGTCCACAGCATGCCCCGGCGTCTGTGAATCTTTTCACGTCGCATCGGGAGATCATGATGTGGTCCAGCTGCTTCTGCAGCTTACTGCACGGGTGCAGCCACGTCCCGTTAAACGGCTTCTTGAAGAACGAAGACAGCGCAGCAAGGTCGTGCAGCTCCATGAACGAGCGCAAGCGGCGCCCAGAGTCGTTGAGAAAGTTGATACCATGGGGGCCAACCGCACCGTAGTCGGCATTTTGGCCCGCGCCAAGGCAGCCGCGTCCGATGCTTGCATTAGTGTCAGCACAGATAATCACAATGTCGCCGGACTGCCGGCGCGAGAGCACGCAGGCGAGAGCAGTCTCATACTCGTCCTTTTAGGTGTCGGGGGGGTAGCCCGCGTCGTCGGCGTACATGGAGTCTCTGAGGGAGAACTCGGCATCGCCGACGGTAGACGGGCGCCGACCGGTGAGGACAAAATCGCTCTTCGAGCGGACGACGCACAGCTCGAAGTCGTGGTGGAGGCGCCACGTCTCCATGACCACCGCCATGAAGAAGATGAACAGCTCGGGGCCGAGCAGGTCGCCCTGCTTGACGCCGATAAAGTCGATCACCTTCTTCACGCCACTCACCTCGACAGCGCCTTCAGCAGCGAGACGATCTTGGGAGGCACCCCTGCTTCAGCATCACGCGCCAAAGCAGCTCGCGCGGTACACGGTCGAACGCCTTGACCAGGTCGATTAGCAACAGCCACGTCTCGAGACTGCTCTCGACGCTTCTTGATCAGCGTTTTGAACGAGAAGATCGCGTGCGAGCAGCCACGGTTCGGCCGGAAGCCGTTTTGGTTCTCGTGATGCAGCGCTCCACCCTCCTTGATCGGTTTGAGCCGAACGAGGATGATGTTTGCCAGCAATCTTGTACGCCGTCTCGAGCATCAAGCTCGTTTGTTCGCGACGAGCACGGCCTGTGTGTTCTTGGCGGGCCCGCGCAAGTCATCGTGGATCCGCCGCCGCCGCCAGGCAAGCGCACGCGCCGCCGTGGCCGGAGCAAGGAGGCTGTCACGGAGTCGCGCCGCAAGGTCGCGGCCGCGCACAGGCGCTCAAGCCGCCGGGTGCAGGGCCGGGCGAGATGAAGAGATGCACCCAGTGCATCCGCTACCTCGCCCCGGACGCCAGCAACTACGTCCAACGTGACATCTACCCGCACATGCAGCCCATGGCCGACTTCCCGCCGGCCAAGTGTGCTGCGCTGCGGATGATGATCATGGCGGACACGCTGCTCCTCACGGCCTTCCTCCTCAAAACGCGGTTGCCAAGGCGCTCGACGCGGAGAGGAAGGTCTACAAGCAGCACTTAGAGCGCCATCCGGGAGGCTCGCCGACCCACAGCCGGCGCGCTACCTCTGCGCCTACCTCAAACGGGTGGTCGCGAACGACAACCTCATCCTCGCCTGCGACAACGTGTACAAGCAGTTCGCGGCCATGATCAACGCGCACCTGCGCGCTGTGAAGGAGGACGAGATAGTTACTGTCGGACCTCGAGAGTAAAGCTTGGCCAATGGAGGGAATCACGGGGGCCTGTTTCTTGTAATGATTACGCATCCTCTTCTGCGTGCCCAGTCCACGCGCTCGTCGTGCCCGTGTGCTTTTTGAGAGAGGGGCAAGCTGCTGGAAAGAATTTTAGCACAGGGGAACGGCGCGCACTGGCACCATACTCGTAGTCTCGTACCGCGTTGGAGAGAGAGAGATGTCTCTTCTCCGCGTTGGTGCCAGTCCGCGAACGTTCTTCGCCTTCCTATAAAATCAATCAATGGCACTTACCTATCAGCACCAACGGGAGCCGCCGCCTAACTAAGCGACCCCTGGAGAAGAAACAACCAGCGCGCCTTCCTGGTGGCGACGTGTGCCGTCCTCCTCTGGTCTTTTATATTGACTTATTTGTTTGTTTCTTTTGTTCAAGTCCAAGAGATACACCACCGGGGGCAATAAGGCGGCGAGGCGAAATCAGACTCGGTCGTGCCCAGTGTCGTGCGAGTTTCTGCCAAAATTCTTTGTTTAAATTCTTCTTCGTATTAGTGCCAGTGCGCGCCAGTCCCGTGCCCAGTGTTGTGAGATCTCTCTCTCTCTCTCTCTCTCTCTCTCTCTCTCTCTCTCTCTCTCTCTCTCTCTCTCCCAGTGTTGTGCGAGGGAGTTCTTGTAAAATTCTTCTTCGAGCCAGCTGGAGGCCGCCATGGAGCGCGGCCGCAAGCCCTCGTACAACGGCTCTCCTCCTCGCCGCTACGCCGCCGGCCAGCTTCCGGCACCCGACGCGCCGTTGCACGAGCTTGTGCGCAAGCTCGTGGCCATGCGTGCTCGCATGGCGCTGCGCGCGCTGCGCACGTCTCCTGCGGCGCGCCGCAGGGCGGTGCTCGCGGTGTGCTCGGCGGCGCTGCTGCTTGCGATGGCGAGCGCCTTCTCGCGCCTTCCCGAAGTAAACACGGGGCGCGACCCGCTCGTGCCGCGCGCCGTCGGCCGCGCCGCCGGCTCCCTCCTCAACGAGACGGACGTCGACCGGCTCCGCCGCCGCACGGCGGAGCGCAACCTCGAACTCTCGCGGCAGGCGCGCGGCTCCAAGCGGGAGCGGCTTCAGCAGGCGGCGGCGACGCTAAACACGCAGCTCGAGGCGCTCAAGGAGCGGGCGCAGGTCCTGGGGCCCAACAGCCGCCGCCAGGCAGGCGGAGGCGGCGGCGGCGGCGGCGCCGCTAACTCTGCCGCCGCAGACGACGCGGCCGCCTCCGCCTCTTCCGCCGCGGCCGAGCCGTGCGGCGGCGTGCGGCACCGCGAGTTTCGGATCGCGATGGTGCTGCCGTGGATGGACCGCGACGGCGCAAAGGCGCCGGCGTGGTTCTCCCACCTCGTCGCCTCCGCCTCCGCCTCCGCTTCGCTGGTCGCCCCCCGTCCGTGCTGCAGGGGGCGCGAGCCGTGAACGGCGTCTCTTGAGCGGGTGGCTGGTCTCGAGCAGGTCGACTGGTACGTGCCGCACGAGGGGTCGCTCTCGCTGCCGCGCGGCGTGCGTGCGCCGAACGTCAAGCTGGTCGAGCTGCGGCGCGGCGGCTTGGCGCGCCTCTTCGCCGCGCGGCTGGGCGGCGCGCTCGGGCTGGGAGGAGGCGAGGCGAGGACGCTCGAGAAGCGGCTGCGGGCGCTGTTCGAGGCGTGGCCGCGGCTGGCAGTTCTTGCCGCGAGGGTGTGCCGCGTCGGGGCGTGAGCAGAGTCGCTGAGGCGGTGGTGCCGCCCGCAGGTGGCGGAGTACAAGCCCACCTTTGGCGAGGTCTTCTCGGCCTGGCTCCAAAACTACACCCACTGGGGCTACACCGACCTCGACGTCATCTACGGCGCGCTGCCGCGCTTCGTGCAGCGCTCCGAGCTGACGGACTTTGACCTCTTCTCGTACTCGTTCGGCGACGCCGAGGCCGTCTACTTGCGCGGCCAGTGGACGGTACACCGCAACGGCCCGACCGTGAACGGCGCGCCGCGGGCTGCGGCCGACACGCGAGCAGCGAGGAGGTAGCGAGGAGCTGAGCCGCGGCCCGCTCCGCCCCGCCCTCGTCTGCGCAGGCTTGTGGCGCGGCTGCGCGCACCTCGCGGCCGGCCTGCTCGACGAGCTCGGCAAGAAGGAGGCGCACCTGCGCCGGATGGAGGCCGCCGGCTCGGCGTCGACGGGGCACAAGCGCTTCATCTCGGCAGAGGGGTGCTACTCGCACGTCGCCGCGCACACGGCCGGGCTTCGCATCAAGGTGGCGGCGAGGAGAGAGAGGCCCATGGCACGCCCCACGTCCGCGACACGTCCACGACACGTCACGACACGTCCGCGACGCGTCCACGACGCAGGTCGCGACCAAGCAGTTTGTCGGGATGGGGCGCGAGAGCGGCCAGATCTACGCGCTGCGTGGGACCGTCTGGCGGTGCGAGCGGCAGCTGCAGGCGGCGGAGCTGGCCAGCCTCGCCGCCGCGTCGGCGCCCGAGTGCTCGACTCGCCTCGCCGGCGTGCACACGCCGCGGGGCGAGCCGGAGCGGCTGCGCGTCTCTGGCTCGGGGTGCGGCGGCTGGATGCCGGCCGAGCACCGGATGTGCGCCCCGCAGCTCAAGGGCGACCCCTCGCGCGACCTGATCCTCGAGAACGGCGCCTTTGCGGCGCAGCGGTCGGAGGCGAGCCCGACGACCGTCGCGCTCGGCGGGTTGTGCCGCGAGGGGGCCTTCTTCCACATGCAGGAGTGGAAGAAGCGGTGGGCGAGCGACGGCGCCGCGAGCGTCGATGCCCACGCGCGGCCGCACGAAGGCATTCGAATCGCGGAGACGGGCATCCACGCGCTGCCCCAGTGGACTGCCCTCAGACCGAGCGACGCGGCGCGCGAGGAGCCGGCGCGTGGAGAGACGAAAAGGAAAAGGGGGGGCAAACAGTAATAGAGATCTGAGACCTCTTCGTTATTGGATTTTATTAGTATCCAGAATAATTATTCATACGCTTTAATCATATTTCATTTTTGTTTTTGGAATGGGAAAGTTTTTGCATTTTCATTTTTCTCCTTCGACGATTCCCCCATCCCCCAAGTGTTCACTCGGTTCTCCGAGAGTTATCTCCTTTGGGTTTGGCCATATGGTCATGCACACGGACACGCGCTGCGCGGTCATGGTCGCCTAGAGGGCGGCTGGCGCATGCCTATGGATCCCTTACATATTGTCTTGCATGTGTTGCCTGCCGGGTGGTACTCACATACTCACACACTTGGAGTATATAAACCGCTGGTTTTCATGGCGCCTCTCCTCTTCGACCCGTGCTGCTGCGTCCGGGCTGGGCATTTCGCAAGCGCTCGAACCCGACGGAGCGTTTCGTATCGCGCGGAGGCTTGGAGTCAGAGAGCCGCGGCGGGGGCTCCTCCAGGGCGAGCAACGACTCAAACTCGTCGTACATCGCGCTTGCCGACGGAGGCTCCGAGTGCACGACGGTCTCGCCGGCCCCGTCGAGGCGCCACATCCCGACGGACGGCGCCCGCCGCCCGTCCGCTCCGGCGGCCGGGATGCCCCTCTCGCTGGCGGCGAGCACGTCGTTCGCATTGTCGAGCCCGGGACCGCGCAGCCGCTTGCCACCCGAGAGGTAGTCCGCCATCTTCCTCTCCAGCGTCACTCCGGCCGACCGCAGCGTGCCGAGCGCTCGGCTTCGATCCGCCTCCCGCGCCGCGCCCGCGCCCTCCGCAAGCCCGCCGTCTCGCCTGCGAAGCGCGCGCATCAGCGACGCGATGGTCGCGTCCGACGCGCGGTAGCCCTGCCCGAGGGTGGGACCGCTCGAGCGGAGTGTGTCGAGAGCGGACTGAAGCTCCTCCGCGGTGGAGTGGCCGTGGATGAGCTGCTCGTAGTACCCGTCCACCCGCGTCACCACGCCGCGCCCCACCGCCTCCTCGAGCAAGCTGCAAGCGAGCAGCAACCCGTCCGGGTGCGGCGCCGCAGCCTCGACCATCGCAGCCACCAGCGACGCCTCCGCCGCACGCACCTCCGCACTGCCCTCCTCACCGCTGCCCTCGTCGCCGCCCTCGCCCGCGTCGGCCTCGCGGGCAGCCTGCACGAGCCAGCCGTTACCCTCCTCGAAGGCGGCGTGCGCGCGGTCGAGCTGGGCGAGCGCGCCGTGCCCCTGGATGAGGGCGCTGTAGACGCGCGCCATCTCGCCCACCGAGGCGGCGCCGAGCGCGCCCGCGTCGCTCATCGCGCCGAGCGTCGCGCGGGCGAGCGCCATCGAAGGGACATCCTCGGCGCAGCACGCCTAGCCAGGACGCCGCCCCGGGTGTCTCCCCTCCCCCCCCCTTTCGCTGCTCAGTGGCGGCTACTCTGCCACGGCTACTCTGCCACCTCGACGAGCAGCACGAACGCGATGGGCCGCGCTGCGCCGCCCAGCCGCCGCACGAGGACCGCGGCGGCGCTGATGGCGCCCGTCGCACACTGCGACGCGACCAGCTCCACGGCACGCGCCTCCTCCGCCCCGCCGCCTTGGAGGCTCTCGGGGCGCAAGGCGGCCACCGCCTCCATCGCGTCCGCCAACGCGGTCACGTCTGCGGCGCGGCCGCAGGAGCGCAGCGCCAAACACCACACGTCGTCTCCGCCGCCCTCGACGGAGGACCGCCGCGACAGCTCCGCTGCAAAGGCGGCCTTCACCTGCCCGCCCGCCCGAGCCGGGTGTCCCAACTCGTACCCCTCCCGCGTCATCCAGGAGAGCAGTGCTGCTGCGCGGCCACCCTCGCCGCTGCTGGCCCAGTGCACCGCCGCCGCGGCGAGCAGCGCCGCCGCGTCGCCCGAGCCGGAGCACTCCCGCGCGCCTTCGAGCAGCAGCGGGAGCCGCGCCGCCGGCGCCTCCCTCCGCAGCAGCAGCAGCCGCGCCTCCGCCGGCGGGCCTCGAGGCGGGCCCTCGCCGTCCAGCCTCGCCTCGAGGGCAGCGTACACGAGCCGCGCCTCGTCGGCGCAGCCCCGTGGGCCAGACGCAAAGGCGAGGAGGGACAGGAGCGGCGACGCGTTCGCCGCCGTGCCACTCTCCCGCACGTGCGCCGCCGCCGCCGCCGCCGCCCGCAGCCGGCCCGCCTCGACGAGCGCACAGATCGCCGCCGACCCGGTCGCCTCGTTCCACGGCACTCGCAGCCACGGCCGGCGAAGCAGATTGCGAAGCCCGCTCCACGTCTCCTTGCGCCGGCCGGCCGCGGCAGTCGCCAGCGCGGCCGAGTCGCGGTCGGGCGGCGGCACTCGGCTGACGCGCATGCGGATGAATACGTCGAGGGCGCTCGTCGCGCCGCGCTGTCGCTGTTCGTCGTCGCCGTCCGCCGAGGCGTCGAGGCGCATCGCCATCAGCGCGTTGAGCGCTGCCGTGGACGGCGCGCGCCCGGCGTCGGCAAGGGAGGCGTTCATCGCGAGGGCGTGCTGCTCCCACCCCGCCTCGCACGCCGCGCACATCGCGGAAGAGAGCGGCTCGCTCTCGGCAGAGAGCGGCTCGCCCAGCTCCTCCTCGGCGCGGCCGATCCACCGCTCGAAGTCGTGCCGCCGCCGTTGGGCCGCGAGGGAGCGCAGCGCGGTGGCCAGCAGAGGCCTGCTCATTCGCTCCTCGCAGCCAACCGCACGCCACCTCGAGAGCCGCGCTGCTCCCATCTCAAAGACTGCCCACGCCGACAAAGGCCGCCCCGCCGCGAGCGTTCTCTCAGCCAGCGCCGCCAGCTGAGACAGCCGCTCCGCCCTGGGCTCGCCACCGGCCAGCGCCCTCTTAGCTGCTGCGCGAGCCGCTGCAACCGACAGCGGGCTCGAGGCGAGCGATGAGCGCTCGTCCACAGCGAGCGCCTCGAGCGCCGACCGCGCTGCGGACATCGCAGCGTCAGCCTCGCAAGCGGACGAGGCGCTTTCGACGACCGATGGAGGAAGCGTCTCCAAGACTTGCAGCGTCGAGCGCAGGTCGACCAGCTCGCCTGCGAGCGGGCTCTCGCTGCAGACGGGGTGCCTGCACCGTGCTGGCGGCGCACGGAGCATTTGCAGCGTACGGCCGTTGGTGCAAAGCAGCAGCAGCGGCACCATTGAAGATGGAGGGCGCGACCAAAACCTGGGGTAGATGCAGCCAAAAAGAATTTTAAGCAAAAAGTGGAAATTACACAGGTACACCACGTGAGCCGCCTAAGCGACTCCTGCGAGGACGGCGAGGCACTTAGCCCCGTGCACTCGACCGCCATCGCAGCCAAATAAAGAATTTTTATACTTCGCCCATCGTCCCGCAATCGTGGGCTTGGACCGGTGGAGCGTCGGCCGTACTCGTGAGAAGACTAAAGGGTGTTGAGGTTAGTCGCTGTCACGGTGCGTCGCAGTGGCTGTATACGAGCACACATATGGCGTTGGGCGTTGCAGACAGACAGAGTTGTTTGTTTGTTTGTGCGCTAGCGGATCTGGACCGCAGAGAGCCGACTGAACTTATGTGCCGAGGTTAGCGCTCGTAGCGCTCGCCTGCTCTCGAACTCGGTCGTGCGCCGCCCTACCTACCTAGGCGCCGCCGATGCCTAGGCGTGAAGCGCCTATCTCGGCGCCTCGTGGGGCGGCTGTGGGGCGGCGCGGGAAGCACGACGATGGGCTCCGCCATCGGAAACAAGGACGGCGTGTCGTCCGGGAGTGGGCGCCTTTCCTGGGCTGAGCGAACTCCTTGTAGGGCTGCACGCCGCCGGAATCAGCGGGCGCCTTGCATTTATTATAATTCCACGGCTCCCCGACGCCTCATTTGACGAGACCAAGGACCAAACCTGGTAACCACGCCGGCGCTGCCAGTTGCAAAAGGGAGGGTTGTCTAACTTGCCACGTTTTACCGGGAGAAGGGGACCTCCGCAAGTGATTCCAGAGAGAGAGAGTGATTCCAGGCCGATCCGAGCGTCGACTCCAAGTGCTCTCTTCTACAAGTCGACGCGCGGCCAGGAGAGCAAAAAGAGGATATCACCCCATGAAGCGGGCTCGGCCAGGGCACCTTCAGGGGACTCCAATACAATACAAAATATTGGTCTTGGTCCAAAAGACTCCAAATCAGCTCTCGGCGGTATTCGTAATCGTTCCAGCGTTTGCGGCGGCGCGGTTTGATTTTCAGTTTGGTTGCGACGGGAGAGTCCCCCCGCGCGCGCGCACACCGAAGAACAATCCTCATGCGGCCTGGAAATTCTCTTTTCTTCTTCTCACAGACGCGCGCTTTTTGAGGTCGCGGCCCGAAGGCGTCCCTTGTTACCTTGGGTGGAAAAATCGCGCCCGCAAATGGAGGCGCCTGGGACGAGCTGCGCGAGCGCCATCGCGTTCGACTCCTCTCTCTCCCTCTCGGCCGCCGTGGGCGGTGAGTTGCCGCAGCCCAGCTACAGAGATGATCTCTGTCCAGGCTCTCACTTCAGCGGTCTCTACGGTCCCGGCGAAATGGGAGATGGCGGAGTCCACTGGCTGCGGCTGACCGACATCCGTCCGGATGAGTACCTGGATCTGCACGCGTGCGGCTTTGATTCTGATCTCTACGTGTTTGAAGGCTCAAGCTGCGAGAGCCTGAGCCTTGTCGCCTGCAATGGGGATACGCTGGCGGACGATCCGATTTACCAAAAGTGCTCCGTCATTTATGACTCAACTTTGCGCTCATTCGAGCTCAGTGCGGACCAAGAGTACTACGTCGTGATTGGCGGGTGGAAGGGAAGCACCGGGCCTGTCAACGTCACCGCAAGCTATCGGCCCAAACCTCCGTCGCAGCCGCCACCGTCGCCTCCGCCGTCGCTGCCTCCCTACCCTCCAAACGAGGCACCCCTCCCGCCGTCGCCGCCGTCGCCGCCGTCGCCGCCGTCCTCACCGCCGCCGCCCTCCGCGCCACCGCTGCCGCCCTCGCCATCGCCTCCACCCGCGCCGCCGCCGCCGCCGCCCTCTTCGCCGCCGCCACCCAGCTGGCCGCCGGTGGCAGTCCAAGGTTTATGCACGTTCTCGCCCGACGGTGCGTGCGCGCGTTCACCCGGCTTCCCCGGACCGTACCCTGGCAATCGCTGCCCAGTTGGCAGGACATGTGACGAAACCGAAATCATCTGCGAAATCACCTCCGTCCCCGAGGTGCCGCTCTATGCGACTCGCTTCAACGTGGAGCAGAGAGTGGACGGAAGCTGCTACGACTCGGTGCGCATCGACGGCATCGACTACTGCGGGACCTCCTTCCCGGACCGCATCGTCGTCGCATCTGATGGTCGGATCCAATTTCGGATTGATCAGCGAGTCGGTGCGGGGGGCTGGGAGCTCTGCTGGGGGCCGACGACTCCGCAGCCGCCGCCGCTGCCGTCTCCGCCGCCTCCGCCGCCGTTGCTGATCCCCGCGACAGACCCGGTCGATGTGACCCTGTTTCTCCTGGTCGCCGCCGTCCCCCTCATCCTGCTCACGTGCTTCGCCTCGGGATACCTCTCGCGCCGCTGCCAGGGCATGGACTGGAGCCGGTACGACCCGCGTCGCTGCCTCTGCCCCTGGCGATACCGGCCAAAGGACGCCTTCGCGCCGACGCGGCGCGAGCGGGCGCACGCGGCGCTGGGGCAAGCGAAGCGAGTGCTCGGCGTAACGCCGGCCACAGCTTGCGCCGCCGCCACCGAGGCCCCCCGGGCAAACGGCGTCTGGGTGCACGGCGAGAAGGCGAGCCTGCCCGTCGTCGAGGCGGGGATGAGGCCGGCGAGGGCGAGCTCCCTGCCGCCGACCGCCGGCGGAAAGCAACTGCGCTTTGGACGTGGCACGGCAGCACCGCCCCTGCGCGCCATCTCTGAGATGCGCTCGTGTGGGACTCGCTCCTTTAGCGCGCGCTCGTTTGGCTCACGCGCGTCGGACGCGAACTCGACTCACTCGCGCGGCGTCTCGCTCACCGCAGACGCGGTTCCCCGCGCCACGCTGGCGAGAGCGAGCGATTGCGAGCCCGCCACGGCCCGCGTTCCTCCCCGGTGGGCTCGGGCGCACACCTACGCGGGCTCCACGGCGACAGCGACGCTGAGCGGCGACAGCGACAGCGGCAGATCGTCGCACGGAGCACCCCCTGCAGCAGGGGCCGGCCAAGCGAGCAGCAGCCGGTCCGATGGCGCGGTGAAGCGGACGAATAGCTTGGATGTTGCGCGCCGCTGGCTCGACGACGCGCTCGAGGCGTTCGGCGGCGCGAGCAACTCGCCCCGCCGCTCGAGCGCCTCCGCCAGTGGCACATCGCCCCAGAACGAGGAGGCTGTGCCTCCGTCGGCGCTCGCCGACGCCATGCAGCAGAGCTTCGTGGTCGAAGGCCGCCCCAAGCGTTTGCCATCGTTGCCGCACATCTCAATTGCAGGCGGAGATTCTGAGCCGCCGGGGTACGAGACGAGAGAGGTCTGAAAACACAACACACACAACCACGCGCGAGAGAGGGCAGTAGAGCTAGAGGGCGCGCGGGGGCCATGCGGCATGTTCATATAAGCTTCGTGTGTATTGTGTATGTGTAGTCGCCCTGGTCGTACTGGGACCCCTTATTACACTGAGCCGTTTTACTCCGACTCCTGTTGCTCTCCCCTCACGCTCACCACCCATGGGAATCCTCAGAGCCGGCAGAGCCGGCGCTCATTTCCTCAACGTCAATGTCCTCGTCGATGTCGTCGATCTCGTCGTGATCAGAGTCCACCAGCTTGGGTGCTGCGGCGACATGTTGTGCAGGAACAGGGCTAGCAAGTGCGGGGAGATCGCTGAGACGCGAGCGCGGTGCGGCCGCTGCGGCTTCTTCCGGCTCGGTGTGGACAGCACCGCCTTTCGGCTCTGCAAACGGGATGCAGCCCCCGTCGTCCGAATCATCAGAGATGGCCTCGAGCGCAACGCGCGTGGGGCGGCCAGGAATGATGCCGGCCCCGGCGCCAGCATCGGCGTGTCCATCGACCACAGTGCTCCAGGCTGCGTGGCCGTCTGAGTCGTCTGACGACGCCTCCAACTGTAGTGCCAGGTCCTCGAGGGAGGAGGCAGCCGACTCCTCGTGCAGCTCACCCGCACCGTCATGCAGGCTGCTGCAGCTCTGCTCCTCCAATTCAGCATCATGAGTGCTGCCTTCCGATCCCTGTTCTGCCGTCTCCAAACCTCGATCGCCTGCACCCCTCTCCTCTCCCTCCTCGCCAGAGCTCCCTTCGATGGAGCTCGATACTTGTGCTTGAGCTTTGGACATGAAGGCATCCATGGAGCTTTTCTGTCCGGCCTTTGACCCTTCGCACTCCTCAAGAGGCGCAAACATACCGGCCACACCAGCCAACGGGCTTGGCTTGTTGCCGGTGCCGCTGATCGCACCGCCACCTCCGCCAGTTCCCTTGCCCAACGCAGGGAGGTCGCCGAGCAAAGACCTGCCACCAGCCCCCCGCTGCGGAGCTGAGCCTCTGACATAAGCGCCGCGGATTAAGGACGTTCCTCGATTGCTTGCGCCGTCTTCCAACGGTGAGGGCTTTGTGCCCCCTGCACCCGTCTCCTCCGTTGGCCCGCCCTTGCTGCTGCTGCTCAAGCCGTCGAAACTATCTTCCCCCCATCCAGCGGAGCTCTGGTTGTCATCCTCATCGGCCTCTGCCACCGTCTGCAGCCCTGTTGTTCCCTCACCCTGCTGCTGCTGCTGTCGACTGGACCCCCGTTGCTCCTCGACGCTCACCTCGCTTGCTTCCCCAAGTTGGGAGGCCAGCTTGGCGCTGCTGCTGAAACCGCCGCCGCTATCAATGCCGTTGCCCAGAGCAGGGGGCTCGCCAAGCGAGGACCGTTTCGCCACTAGCGTGGTGGACCTGCTGTCCTTGTCCTCCTCCAACTGCTTCACTGACCGATGCTCCGCCTCCACGAAAGCTCTTGCCCGGGCTGCTTGGCCGCCGCCCAGGTGGTGATGTTGGGTGACGTTCTCCGCCTCAGGCGGCACTGGCTTTGCGACGGCGGCGACAGTTCTCAACAGGGCGGTTGAATCCTTCCTCAGGCCCAGCTGCTCCTCGATCAGCAGCTGGAGGACAGGCTTCTCCGAAATGCCGTCCAGGGCAGACGTGAGCTGCGATGAGCGGGAGCTCCAGCCTGGGATCTCGCTCTCGACTGCACTGAGGGTGCACCAACACCCGTGAAACCTCAAAAAGTCCTCCAAGACGCCATAGGCTATCGCGCATGACTCCTCTGCTGTCACCGCCGATGGCGGCTGCACAGGCGGTGCACTATTCAGAGCACCTTGTACGAGGCGAGCGAGAGAAGCGCGAATGCTGGAGAGCGCTCCACGTTCATCAAGCAGCTTCTTGACGCTGCGAACCGCGTCCGCAACGTCACCGGGTGCTGCGGTCATACACGCAGGGGCGAGGGCTGATTCAACGCCGGCTGTTACGCTGTGGACTAATCTCCAGAAGAAAGTTCTCACTTCTCGCCGCTGTACTCTCTCTCTCTTGGGTTGTCCGTTTTCTTTCTTTCTTTCTCTCTCTCTCTCTGTCCACCGTGCTGCGAGCCTGTCGCTGTCCCTTGTCAGGAGCAGGAGAACTAGGAGAGTGCAACCAGTAGGAGGCCCGCGCCTGCCCCCGTGCCGCCGGGTGCAACCTGTCCTATACGAGAGAGGAATCCCTGGGACCCTGTCGTGTGGGTGAACCCTGCCCAGCCCCCCTCCGTGTCGCGATGCGCTCCCCGCTCCCGTTCCCCTGTGTCCCTGATCGTCCTTACAAGATCCTGCTCGTGCAGGTGGGGACCCTGTCCTTCTCCCACCCCTCGTTTGGCGTGCCCGTTTTATTTATTTATTTATTTCTCTCTCTCTCTCTCTCTCTCTCTCTCTCTCTCTCTCCCCGCTGTATAGTACGTACGTACTTTACCGCCTTGCATCCTTGCGCGCAAGGCTCAACGCTCGGGCGTTGACCGCACCGCGTACCCTCCCCACTCTCGCTTCTCGTTTGTGTCACACCACGCGGAACGCATCTTCCATCTCCATCGCTTCGCCTTCGGTGAAGGGGGTGAACCGCGCCATCCTCGATCGCCGTGCAAAGCTCGCTTCCAAGCTCTCACGCCGCGCGTAGGGCCGTTAGGGGCCTCTAGAGAACACAACCCCCTCTCCCTTTTCGCTTTTCTCCCCGCTGTACACTGTAGTCGGGTAGTCGGCGCCGTGAACCTTCACGGGATTGCCCCCCCGTGTCTGTACTGTTTGTGCCCCTTCGCACGTCCACGTGCCCATCCTGTGCCTCCGAGATGATTTTATACAAAAGTGATACATCGTAGGAAGGACCTTACTTAGGTCCGCATACACCTTTGAGATCATTCAAAGCACTCCAAGCGTTCCGAAAGGATCGAGCCGCCCTCCCTACTTTCTGTTCTTCCTATGCTTTTTGCCGCTGCCCCTGCTCGGTGAAGCCGGAGGTGATTCAGCCGCTGTCCCCACCAGCCACTCATCCAGTTGAGGCTTGATGTTTTCGTTCCCTAGCAGCTGCTTAGCCCCCTCCTCCTTCCGTTCTTTCATCGGCTGCAGCTCGGCATTCTGCGTCCGGCGGTGGTGGTCACCAGGAAGTCGGCACATATCGACCGTTGCGAAGACTGAGCAAAAGTCATCGACGCTCATCCAGAAGTCGCCATCGTCTTCGTCGCTGTTGAAATTGCCGGCCGCGGCCCGGCAATCCGGGTGCGAGCTCCATTCTTTGGAGCCATCAGACCACGGCCCCTTCCATTCCCCGTGCCCCCACGGGTTGCGGAGGAGCAGAAGCCTGTGGCCACTCACCTCCACCGCATGGAGCACCGCATACGCGTGCCCGTCGATAATCCCGCACCGCTCCTCTTCTGTCGCATCCGAGCGAGTTCCAGCCCCCACGAGAATACTTGGATCCTCGACCGCATCACAAAGCCCCTTCCACAGCCGGTCCGCCCCGACGGAGGTGGGGATGGCCGTCGCACTGCCGCCTGTGAGTGCTTGCAAAGCAGTCGCGACCCTCCCGCCACCGCCAATGGCCTGATACGTCCCGCGGAGCTTAGCAAATGCTTTCTCTACGACCATGGGCCAGATCTCTCGTCGATTGGCTGACTTGGCGAAGACCGGTGTGGGCCGCACAGACGCATGCACATTATTGGGAGTGTAGCAAGGGAAAAAACCGTCTACGTAGACCATCTGCCAAGCGCCGTCGACCCAAAAGCTGACGCCGTAGCAGCCCGCTGCGTCTAGTTCGTCATCGACGAGGCCGTCGGCGCAACAGGTGTCCGTGGCGACGAGCGCAAGAGCGCTAAGGAAGTAGCAGTCGCCGAGGCTTCCCTGCTGCACGTCGTGCGCATCCAGGCCGCATTCTTCACCATCTAGGCGGTGGAAGAGCCACGATGCCTCTCCTCGAGAGTTGGTGCCCAGAGGCCGCCTTGTGCCGCAAATTACCCACGGGCCCTCCCAGCTGAGATGGACGTTCTTGAGCACCTCCCCGCGCTCGCCGTCGCGGAGCCAGTCTTTTGGCTCAACACCTCCGATAAACAAGCTCTCGTTGGAGTGCGGAAAAAGGGGGTCCTGCCAAGAACGCGGGGCGTCAATGCTGGCGCACTCGAGCGCAAGGTCCTCGTACGCCTGGCCGCCAAAGGGGTTGCGCCGCGCTGACTCGATCCTCCCAGCCGCCGATTCGTGATTGATGGTGCTCGTCGTGCGGCGAGGGACGGATGGCTTCGGCTTCCCCTTCTTGTTCTTGGGTGGGGACGTCCCCGGCGACTTCATCTTTTTCGAGGGGTGTGGCCCGCGCGACTTCATCAGCAACCATGCGCCCGCGGCAAGCAGAACCGAGAACGCGAGAAGCATCCCAGGAGGGACGCTGTTCGCCGCCATGCTCTCGCGTAAAAGCGGATTGGATCAACTTGATCCACACAACGTTCGGCAATGTATTCAGGATGATGGCCATGGCCGAGAGGGAGAGAGAGGAGTCGAACGCGATGGCGCTCGCGCAGCTCGTCCCAGGCGCCTCCATTTGCGGGCGCGATTTTTCCACCCAAGGTAACAAGGGACGCCTTCGGGCCGCGACCTCAAAAAGCGCGCGTCTGTGAGAAGAAGAAAAGAGAATTTCCAGGCCGCATGAGGATTGTTCTTCGGTGTGCGCGCGCGCGGGGGGACTCTCCCGTCGCAACCAAACTGAAAATCAAACCGCGCCGCCGCAAACGCTGGAACGATTACGAATACCGCCGAGAGCTGATTTGGAGTCTTTTGGACCAAGACCAATATTTTGTATTGTATTGGAGTCCCCTGAAGGTGCCCTGGCCGAGCCCGCTTCATGGGGTGATATCCTCTTTTTGCTCTCCTGGCCGCGCGTCGACTTGTAGAAGAGAGCACTTGGAGTCGACGCTCGGATCGGCCTGGAATCACTCTCTCTCTGGAATCACTTGCGGAGGTCCCCTTCTCCCGGTAAAACGTGGCAAGTTAGACAACCCTCCCTTTTGCAACTGGCAGCGCCGGCGTGGTTACCAGGTTTGGTCCTTGGTCTCGTCAAATGAGGCGTCGGGGAGCCGTGGAATTATAATAAATGCAAGGCGCCCGCTGATTCCGGCGGCGCAGCCCTACAAGGAGTTCGCTCAGCCCAGGAAAGGCGCCCACTCCCGGACGACACGCCGTCCTTGTTTCCGATGGCGGAGCCCATCGTCGTGCTTCCCGCGCCGCCCCACGAGGCGCCGATCGGCGGCGCCGCCGAGCCTCCGTACCAGCAGCCTGCCGCCGAGGGCGGCGGCCTCGCGCTCGTCGGCGGCCGCGGCCCACCCATGCTCAAGAGCATGCCCTCTGCCAACTCGCAGTTCGCGATCGAGCAGCTGATCGGCCTCGCCAGCTCGTCGCCGACCAAGGAGCCGTCGCCGCGCTTCTCCCAGCCGGGCAGCGAGGGCGGCCAGAGCCCGGACCAGCAAGGAGCGACGCCCCCCATGCTGTCCGAAGCCACGCCGCCTCACGAAGAGTTTGAACCGTCGGGCGGGCGGGCGGAGGGGGCGATGCCCATCGCGAGCGCGATGGCCATCCCGCCGGGCTACTACGCGCCCCCCCCCGCCGCCGCCGCCGTCCACTATGGCCAGATGCCGCCGTCGTACCTCGAGGCGACTCCCTCGCCTCACCTCGCGAGGCCGCAGGCGGCGGGCGAGGTTGGCGCAGCGGGCGAGCCGCGCGCGCCCCTCGAGAACTGGGCGCCCCAGACGGTCGTGCGCGGCGTGGCGCCCCACGTCCCCGTCCCCGTCGCCCTGCCCGGCGTCGAGCCCGGCACCTCGGCCGTGCCAAACAACAGCGCCAAAAAGGCGGCGACGGCCGCTGGGAAGGACAAGGCGAGCGGTCGCAAGGGGCGCGAGGTGGTGCCGTGGCGGCCGTCGGAGGACTCGACCATCCTGCAGGGCGTGTCCGAGCACGGCTGCAAGTGGTCGCTCATCTCGCAGCAGCTGCCCGGCCGCTCGGAGAATGCGGTCCGCAACCGGTGGCACCGGCTCGAAAACGCGGAGCGCACGCGGCGCGAGGCGCTCGAGGCGGGGCTGCCGGTCGAGGGGTACCGCTGCCGCAAGTGCGGCCACTTCAAGAAGGGGCACATGTGCCTCGGCCTCGAGACGGTCGCGCCCGACGGCTCCGTCATGCCGACGCCCGCCGCGAGCGGCGCCAAGCGAGGGCGGGCGGCCGACGCGGCCAAGCCGCCCCGCAAGCCGCCCCGCACCCTCGCGCCCGGCTACCAGGGCATGCCGCTGCAGATGCCGCCCCACCTCATGGGGCAGCCGCTGCCGCAGCACGACCCCTCCTACCCGATGCACCACCCGATGGTTGCCGCGCACCCGGGCATGCAGCAGCTGCCGCCCGGCCAGCTGCCGCCCGGCCAGCTGCCGCCCGGCGGAGGGTACTACTACTACCACGAGACGGCGCAGCAGCAGTTCCTGCAGCAGCAGCGGTACGAGCAGCACCACCAGATCATGCAGCAGCACCACCAGCAGCAGTTTGAGCAGCAGCAGCAGCAGCAGCAGCAGCAGCAGCAGCAGCAGCAGCAGCAGCAGCAGCAGCAGCAGCAGCAGCAGCAGCAGCAGCAACACTTGGCTCAGCAGCACTTGGCGCAGCCGCCGCCGCAGCAGCAGATGATGCAGCAGCAGGGACAGCAGCCGCAGGGGCAGCCGCCGCAGCCGCCGCCGCACCCCGCGGCCGGGATGATGGCAGCGCGGCAGCACCCGCCGCCGCAGCAGCAGCTCCCGCCGCCGCCGCAGCAGCAGATGATGCCGCAGCCGGGGCAGCCTTCGCAGGGGCAGCCCGCGCCGCCGCACCTGCAGGGGCACCCGCACTTGCCGCACGTGCCGCAGCTGTCGCACCTGCAGTACGCCGCCCCCCCCGGGTACTACGCGTACGGAGGGCCGCCGGGCGCCGCCATGGTGTACGCCTACCCGCCCTCGAACGACGCGTCGCCCACGGGGGAGGGCACGGGCGAGGGAGGCGCGCCCTTCCAGCCGGCGCCCACCTCGCCGCTCACCGCGCCGCTCTCGCCGAGCGGCATCGAGGGCTTCAGCGACGACGTCGTGGGCTCGTTCCTCCACGACGCGCTCGAGTACAACAGCGCCTCGGCCAAGGTCGAGCCCCCCCCGCAGTGAGGCCGCCCTCGCGCCCCGATGTTCAGCAGAGGCGACCCCCCCCCGCGGGTCTGACCGCCGCCGCCCGGAGCGGAGCCCTGATAGACGGCGCGGCGGCCATCGCGTGAACACCGAACACCCCCTTCCCCCGAACGGGCGGGAGGCGACTCGATCTCAAGAGTATTCGTTGCCACACTCTGCGCTGTACTGGCCATTATTATGTTCTGTGCATGTCTTGGGAGATGGATGCGTGTCGGCGCGAGCGCTCAGAGCGTGCGACACACTTGTCAAGCTGTCAAACCCCGGTGTTGATTAGGTCTGCAGAGGGTGTCTCAATTTGAGAGATTGCATTTTAATATCGTGGGATGCGACCGCGGACCGGCCATTTTGGGTTTTGTGAAATTAAACGAAAGCATTTCCCCAAACGACGCCTCGCGGGCCCGGAGCCACGCACATTCTTCACATATCAGATTTGCACAACGGACACACCCTCGTGTCCGCCTGCCCCGAGCGCACGCTGCCAAACCAGCGGTAGAGGCAAGCCGCGTGGAAGCGCTTGGCGCAGGTCGGGCACGCGAGCTTGGGCAGCTGCTGCGTCGTGCTGTGCAGGCCCTCCCGGCAGATCAGGCACAAGCTGTCTGGATCCTCGTCGCCCTCGGCGGGGCCGCCGCCCGGCTCGCCCCCCGCGAGCCAAGGCTCGAGCAGCTTCCGAAGCCTCGAGAGGAGGTCAGGCTGCGGCGCAATCTCCGCGTCGCGCCTCAGCTGCGAGCCAACGGCGCGCGCCTCGTCGAGCTGGCACCGCAGAAGCGCGGCCGGCGGCGCCGTCTCCGGCGGCAGCCCGCCCGCCGCGACGACGAGCGCGAGCCACTCGGGGCCGGGCGGCAGCAGCGTCACGCCCTCGACGGCGACCAGCTTGCCCTCCTCGCCGAGGAAGAGCAGCGAGGTGCCGACGGCAAACATCGGCAGCCCGTGCGGCGGCAGCGCCAGCCTGGGGATAGAGTGGCGCTGCAGAAGCGCCTTGCATTCCCGGCCGTCGGCTCTCCAGCGCCAATCGAGGCCCTCTGGGGCGTCCAACTTCACCACCATCGGCGGCGGTGCCGCCGGGCCGTCGGCGGGGGCCGGCTGGGCGACGCGCAGCTTGCGGTCCCGGTAGCCGGACGCCATCGAGCAGAGTAAGCGCACGCCAGCGGGCCGGTCGGCCGTGAGCGGCGGCTGGAGGCCGCACGTCGCCACCGCCTCGTCCGGCTCGAGGTCCGGCTCGAACCGCAGCATCATCGCCGCGGCCGCCTGGCCGGGAGACACCTTGGCGACCATCGCATCGCCAAAGAGGAGGCGGAGCATCTGGACCGACTCGGCCGTCAGGGCTGCGGCCGCCCCGGTCGGCGGTCGGCACAGCGGCGGGGCGTTGGCGCAGACGAGGGATCCCACAGAGCCGCCCAGCCGCACGCACGCGACGCGCTGCTCGAGGGCGATGCCGCGCCGCGACGAGAAGTGCTTGAGCGCTCGCGCCCCGTCCGGCGGGAGGACGCCCAGGGCGAGGCAGAGGAAGCCCTCGGGCGGCGGCACGGCGGTGTGCGTGGCGCTCTGGGCGACCAAGCCGGAGAGCGCAGCCGGGCCACCGACGCAACTCGCAAGCTCCGCACTCGCCTCCTCGAGCCGCCTGGACCTCGCCCACACGCGGCACGAGCCGTCGCCGCCGTGCAGAAAGACCCAGTCGAAGCCGCGCCGTCGGAGCAGCTCGTCCTCGATGGCCGGGAGGAGCGTCGCTCGCACCTCCTGCGCGCTCGCGAGGTGGACCACGTCGCAGCAGCGCTGCTCCACCGCCCACGCGGCGGGCGGCGGGAGCAGGCGCTGCAGCGCGCCCTCGTCCAGCTCTGGCGAGAGGCGGACGGCACACCCCGCGCCGCAGCTGCGGCGCGGCGGAGGACACGCGCTCAGGAGGGCGTCGGGGCGCGCCCAGACGAGGAGCGCACGCAGCAGCGCGAGGCGGTAGGCGCCGTCGCGGCCTGAGGGCGGGAACGGCCCCGGCGGCAGCTCGAGGCTCGAGGCGGGGAGGCGGGTGCTCTCGCGCACGGCCGCGCGCAGCGTCGCGAGCGTGGAGAGCAGCTGGCGCGCCTTCGGTGCGAGCCGGGAGGGGTGGAGCAGAAGGGTGCGAGCTGCGGGAGAGCAGCCGGCGGAGACACGCCTGCTTGGGCGCGATGCCGTGGTCAGTGCAGAAGCGGGCCGCCCGCGCGGAGAGGGAGCGTCCGCCCCGCCCGCGCTTTGCCGCAACGGCGCCGTCGGCGGCCGGCTGCTCCGCGTCGGCGGCTGGTTGCGCGTCGTCGTCGGCGTCCGCCGGCTCGTCGGCGGCCTTCTTTTCCCCGATCTGCTCGAGCTCGACCACGAGGGCAATAAAGGAGAGCGGCTCCGAGTACATGCCGCGGTCAAAGTGCAGTCGACCGTAGAAGCCCGCTCGCACGAGGCTGTTGTACTCGTCCGGCTCGGCGACGAGCGGCGACACGATCCGGAAGGGCGAGCGCGGCTGTGCGCAGCCCGCGGCGATGACGAGCGCCTCCGCAGCGCACCCGAGCCGGATGCCGAGCGCCACCATCCTGGAGAGCTGCGGCTCGAGCGGGAGTGCGCTCGCCAGCCGCCCCGTCGCGGTCAGCGGCGCGATGTCGAGCGGATCGAGGGGCTCCGCCTCGCCGCCGTCGCCGTCTCGCCCCTCGGTGTCGACCTGCAGCATGCCCATCTGCGCGAGGGCGTGGAGGGCGTGCCCCACGTGCGTCGGATCGGGCGGCTCGAGCAGCTCGCGCATCGTGCCAGAGATGGGCTGGCCGCCCTCGATGACGCATCGCAGCCGCAGCACCGACGCCTCGAGCGGCTCGCGGCACATCTGCGGCGCGTCGTGCTCCGCAAAGCCGTCCCACGCCGCCCTCGGGTAGAGGCGGTAGACGGAGCCGGGCCGCACGCGCGCCGTGCGGCCGGCCCGCTGCTGCGCCGACGCCTTTGAGACCCACTCCCGCCGCAGGACGGCCGAGCGGAGGGCGGTCGAGTAGGAGAGCTGCTTGTGCAGCCCGAGGTCGAGGACCGCGTCGACGTCGGGGAGCGTGAGCGACGACTCGGCGGCGTTGGTCGCGACGACCACCTTGGTCACGCCCGGCGCCGCCGCCTCGAAGGCCTCGAGCTGCTCCTCGAAGGGGAGCTTCGAGTGGATGGGCACAACCTTGAAGGTGGGCGGCGGCAGCTTGTCGGCCAGCTCCTCGATCTCCGCCATGCCAGGGACGAAGACGAGCACCGCGCCGCCCTGCTCCTCCGCCTCCCCGGCAGCCGCCGCGGCGGCGAGGCGAACCACCCACGGCGCCAGCTCGAGCATGCCGCTCACCACGGAGGCCGGCACCGCGCCGCCGTCGGCAGCCGAGGCGGCGCTCTGCTGCGCGAGGCTCTTCGCGGTCTTGCGCAGCCGCTCCGGCAGGCCGCCCAGCCGCTGGACCACCTCCTCGAGGAAGAGCTCCTGCAGCGGGAAGCGGCGCTCGCCGACGTGGAGCGGCGCGCCGACCTGGCTCCGCCCGAGCGAGGCTGCGAAGTAGTCGACGAAGAGCTGCGAGTGGAGCGTGGCCGACATGAGCACGACGCGCAGCGTGGGGTGCGAGCGCAGCAGCCGGCGCGCGAGGAGGCAGAGGAGGTCCGAGTCAGTCGCTCGCTCGTGGCACTCGTCGATGATCAGGTGCGTGAGGCTCTGCACGACGCCGCGGCTCTTGGCGCCGGCGGCGGCGAGCCGGACCAGGTAGCCGGTGGTGACGTACCAGCAGCGCGTCGACGGCCCCTCGTCCCGCACGCCGTGCCCCATCCGCAAGCCGTACAGGTGACCGTCCTCGCCCCGCCGCGCCCGCTCGAAGAGCCCGTGCGCAGCGATGCGGCGCGGCTGCGCGACCATCAGCCGCGCGTCCGGCCGCGCCTCGAGGAGCAGCTGCGGCACGCGCGAAGACTTGCCGCACCCCGTCTGGCCGGCGATGAGCGAGACTCGGTGCTGCGAGACCAGCCGCACCACCTCCGCCGCGTGCTCGTCGACCGGCAGGCGCGGCCGCCCGCCCCCACCCTCGGCCTCGCCGCGCCACTCCCGCCAGCAGCGGCGGCAATAAAACTCGCCGTCCTCCGGGTCCACCGCGCCGTCGGCTCGCCGCTCGCACTGCGCGCAAAACCGCGCGGCGGCGGCGGCGGCGGCACGCATGGGACCGTACGCGGCGGCGTCGCTCGGCGTCGCCGCCACCGCCGCCGCCGCCGCCGCCGCCGCGCCGTTGATGACGACTTGCACCGGGGTGAGGCTCGGCGGCGGGTGGGGTGGAGGTACGTGCGACTGGGCAAATGCGTGAAAGCTCGGCCCGTCGAAGAGCTGGACCGGGCTCTGGGCGGGGAGCGGGCCCGCGCGGAGGAGGAGCTTGCAGAGCGCCTGGTACCGCTGCGCCACGGCGACGTCCTCCCAGCAGAGCTTGGGTGGGAGGGCGCTCCCCGTCGCCGCGCTCCGCTCGCCTCTCAGGATGCGCTTGAGCGCCTCGCGGTGCTGCGGCAGCAGCTCGCACGGCTCGGGCTGCCGTCCGTCGGCGCGGGCGACGACGCGCCCCAAGCCGCCGTCGGCGAGCTCGGACAGGGCCGCGGCGCCGATGGAGGAGAGGTCGGCGCCTTTGCGGGGCATCAGCTCGAGCGGGACGGCGCGCGAGTGGGAGTGGTCAGGCGGGAAGAGGCCCAGCGTCGCGTGGTCGAGCTCGTACAGCGCGCGCGAGAAGCGGAGCGCCCGAGCGAGGAGCGGCTCCGCCCTCGCCTCGAGCCAGCCGGGCGCATCCTCCCCCTCCCGCTCCGCCAGCCAGGCGCGGGCAGCCTCGGCGCTCGGCCGCGCCGACGCGAGCCCGTCTGCGCCGAGGCTCTCCGCGACGACGGACCCGAATGAGGCGAGCTGGAAGGCCGAGGTGTGGTCGTTGCCCACCAGGCCCGCCCAGTCTACCAGCCGGCCCGCCGACAAGCCGCTCGCCTCGCAGAGCAGCTGCCGCGTCCACACTCGCCCGAGCAGCAGCAGCGGGCCCGCCTGCCGCTCGCAGAGGCGCAGGCCCTGCCCGCCGCCGCCGCCGCCCCCGCCGCCGCACAGCAGCAGCAGGTCCGAGAAGCGGACGTACCGGATGCCGCGGAAGAGGAAGAAGTCAGAGTCCTCCGCCACGACAAAGCACAAGCCGGGCCGTGTCGCCTCTGCGGCCGCGCACTCGCACGCAACCTCCGCGTCGGCCTCGCCGTCGCAGCGCGTGAGCCGCACACCCTCCGCCTCAGCGCACTGCGCGAGCAGCTCCACCATGAGGGGAGGCTCCGGCAGCTGGGCCGCGGCGAGAGTGCGACCGTCGAGGCAGGCGGCCTGCACGTCCTCCAGCCGCCGCCTCCGCTCTGCAGCGCGGCTATCGAGAGTCGCCGCTTTGAGACGCGTGGCCGGCCCGTCGAGAAAGATCTCGGGCACCATCCCGGCGCTCTGGAGGTTGGTGACGAGCGCCGTAAAGGCACGCGCCAGCGCTGCATAGTCACCGGCACGGGCGCCAGCGCCTGCCTCGCGGAGCATAAAGAAGCACGCTCCGTGGCCATCGATCAGAAGCCGCGAGCCGGCGGGCAGCCCGGCGAAAGGCGTGGCGTCGGGCGCGTGCTCGTCGACCCACCGTGCGAGACCAGACACGCCCATCGACCGTGGCCCAGAGCAGCGATACCGACGGCGGGGCGGCGATGAGGCGGCCCGGTCTTTCTTTTCTCCCCTGCCAGAGAAGTGAGTTGACAAGAAAAGAATGAAGGAAACAGCAGCAAAACAAAACAATCTGTCTCAGCAGCACGATTCACTTCTGCCAGACAAGGCGAGGGCGACGGTCAGAATGACCCGTGTGCCCGTTTGGTTTCGTTCTTTCCAGGCATCGTTTTTACCGGGCACGTGGGTGGGGCCGGGGGGCGGGTACTTACTGGCGAACGCGCACACTGACCGACAGGAAAAGAATTCGGTCCGTCCGAGGCGGTCGCACAACAGACAGTGTGTCGCTCGAGCGATGAGCGTGTGGTCGTCGTCTGAGAGAGAGAGAGATTTTTAGCAATACCAAACAACTCTAACACTCGTGTTGTTGTCGTCTGTCCCGCGTCCACCCATACCGCGTTGGTGTCCAGTCCGAGCCTGGCTGTTCTTCACCTACCTACCTACCTATACCTACAGTCTACAGACAACACTGTGGGTGGCATGTTTGGGGCGCACACACTGGCGCAAGGTCCAAGGATAGGTACAGACTACAGTGCGCGCCAGGCAGTCCCGTGCCTAGTCCCGTGCGTGTGCAATCGAAAAGAAAGAAGCGTCGCGCACGACGACTGACGTCCGTGAATGATGTTTTTGGTTTTAGGTTCGTTGTTCGAATGTCGAATGAATGTGGCCACCCACTGTTTCCGCCAAGTGACGTGTGAGTGTAGATTTGTTTGTGTGGTATTATCGCCCGCAGCCAATCTTAACCCAAACCTACATCCTGACTGAAAAGCCTGACTGGCCGTCCTTCCTTCTCGCGTGTGTAACCGTCATGTGTTTGGTTTGCTCCTGCCGCGCGAGTTGTCATCGCAAGTGGGTCCGACCTTGGTGGCGGTCAAAGTCCTGATCGGAATGCTCTCCCTGGTCGCCATCTCGCCCGCGGTGCCAGTTAGGCCGCGACAGTTCCCACCGACCGTCCCGTCTACGCTCTCAGAGGCGGTGTCATCATGGCTTGGGCGCTCTCCGCCGCCGTCGCCTTCGCCGTCGCCACCTCCGCCGTTCCCACCTCCACCCTCGCCACCTCCGCCCGCACCGCCTCCGCCGCCGCCGCCGCCACCACCACCTCCTTCGCCTCCGCTCACTCCGTCTGATGCTCCGCCACCGCTCGAGGATTGCTATATGGAGGGCGTCGTCTGCCCTGCTGGCACCTTCTGTCAGGTTGAGGCGCGTCCGAATTGGTACCCTTTTGACGTCTCCTACATAGACCGTGGCCGCTGCCTGCCCTTTGCTCCTCCTGGCGGCGCCTGCGATGTCCCTTTCGAGGGCACAACCTCTTTTCCGCGCAAGGCGGACGGCCACTTCTTTGAGCGCTCCACGCTTTGTGACGGAAAACACACTTGCACCGGCGAGCATGTATTCGTCATGCCACCAACTTGTGTGCAGTCTCGCGATCCTCAGCTGGGCTGCATCAGCACCCAGCGGAACGGGTGCGCGGGCAGACCCTCGTTGAACGAGTGCCCTCTCGGCCTTGGCGGCGCCGATGACTTCTGCTTCTTACCGACCGAGTCCGATCCTGTGCGGAACCGAATGACGCGGACCAAGCTAGAGCAGTGCGCCTCCGTGCTCACCTCCTTCAACGGACCCAACTTCGCGTTTCGCTTGCCCGATGGCGGCCTCCCCGACGACACCAACTTCCCCTCGGGCAACACCCAGAACGTCACCAAGCTGGAGTTGGCTCGCGGAGCTCAATTTGCTGGAAGTGTGCAGGCAATGCTACAGGCGCTCTGGCCGTACCCGGTCTGCAGCCCGAGAGGCCAGAGCGACTGCACCACCTTCCCGCTCCCCGTGCCCGCTCGAGACCCGGACGGCGGGCTCAATGCGTCGCTAGGGTGCCTCAAGCCTCCTTACCGCCACACCGACAATGTGAACTGCTCGACCAATACCTCGGTCGACCTGTCCTTCCTCTCGCTCAACAGCGGCAATGGCGTGATCGACTACCACTGCACATGTGCTGCACACCCTCTCCTTCAACGGCGGGGCGGTCCTAACGGCAGCGGAGAAACGTGCCTTTGGCGAGCTCGTCATGTACATCTCGGGGCAGTTTGACTGCAAGGTGTGCCGCAACAACTTTGTGGAGATCATCCGGCACTTTGGCTTGCCGACGGGCAGCGTCCGCGAGGAATACGCGCGCTGGCTCTGGCAGGCGCACAACAACGCGAACGAGCACAGCTACGCCACCCACTCGATCAACGTGAACATGGCCGCGAATGAGTACCCCGGACAAGACGCATTCAAGCACACGCGCACCCCCGAGTGGTCACATCCGAAGCACGAGCACCCGTGGTACATGACCTTCGAACGGGCAGCTTCGGTCTGGACCGGACTCGAGCGAGGGGTGAGCGGTGTATGAGCGACTTGATGTGTGTGTGTGCGTACATCTCCCGACGCAGAGGAGGTAGGTAGAAAGGTGAAGAACAGCCAGGCTCGGACTGGACACCAACGCGGTATGGGTGGACGCTAGACAGATGATGACGACAGCACGAGGGACAAAAAAAGAGAGAATTTTCGCTTCTTTTATTTTTTCGCCTTCCGCGATGACGCACCGCCGCCAGCTCTGGCCTGCTCTGGTCGCCGTCCTCCTCTTGCTCGGCTGCCACGACACCGCCGCAGCCAAGAAGAAGAAGAAGAAGGTGCCGCCGTCCGCCCCGCCGGCGCCAAAAGCGGAGTTCCGTCTGTCGAGCCCGAGCTTTGGCAACGGTGGCGAGTTTCCGAGTGACAACCGGGGCGACGAGGACAACATGAACCCGGCGCTCGCGTGGGAGGGCGCGCCGAAGAACACGCAATCGTTTGTGCTGCTCGTCGACTCAGGCGCCGACGACGGCGCCGACGCCGCCAAGGCGACACACTGGGTCGTGTACGACATCCCGAAGGAGGTGAGCGAGCTGCGCGATGAGCTCTCGGGCTCGGGCGCCTCGGACGTGGGCCGGCTCGGCATGAAGGAGGACGCGGGACAGGCGCCGGTCGTCGTCGATCCGATGGGAAGCATCGACGGCTGGGTCGACCCCGAGATTGAGAACATGCAAAACATGATCCACGGCGCGCTCGACGCGTCGTTCGAGGAGCGGAACCGGGCAAAGGAGGGGATGACGTCCTTCGGCAGCACCTACTACCAAGGTCCGTCGGCGGACGGGTCGATGTGCACCTTCAAGCTCTACGCGCTCAGCACGCGCCTCGAGCTGCCGCGCGGCGCCTCGAGGGAGGCGGTGGTTGCTGCGATGAAGGGGAAGATACTCGGCAGAGCGACGCTCAAGGCCAAGGTATGACGCTGGTTGGGGAGGGGAGGGAGGCGGGGCGCGGCGAGGGCCAGCGCAGCCCGCCAGTCTAGGATGGGTGGCTCAGCGAGGGTGGACGGATCGACGCGGGTTCAGCCGTGCGTGTTGTGTAGAGTGTGTGCCGAGTGCGAGTAGACACACAGTGTAGGGGTGAACTATCATCTATCAACCGCTACTCATGCTACGGCCCTGAGGATCGCGCGGCGGCGGCGTGAGGGGCGGCAAAGAACTACATTGTACACAGTCGATGGTACAACAACACACGATAAAGCACGGAAGGCAGTTAGGCGCACACGGAGAGTACAGAGTCACAGAGAGAGACGGAGAGACACAGAGACACTATGATCTCTATGTGAGCGCACCGCACTGTACACTCTCTTCGCGTCTCACAGGACACACACACACACGGGCCGTCTCGGTCGCGGGGCACAGCACTAGGCGAACCCCGACGCAGTTATGAGGCGAGGCGAGCCCCCACCACCCCCCCCCCCTGCATCCAGCGATGCCAACACTCCAAGTGGGCACTCGCCATCGCAGGGAGAACACGCTTACGAAGCAGGCACGGCAACCCTCCTCGGACCTCGCCTCGCCCTCAAACTGCCGGGGTGGTTCGCCTGGCCCTTGGGTAAGCTCGTCCTGTGGCTTGGTACACCTTGTACGCCTACGAAGTGGTGGGCGTATTGATTTGCGGCAAGAGTGCGAGTGGTGATAGAACAGGGGTCAGGGCGAGGCGGTGCGACCGGGTGATGCCACGCCGGGGGGAGACGAGTAGGAGAGCGACGGCGGATGCATGAGCGGGCCGGATGGGTGGGACGCGGGCGTGGCGGCGCCGCGCCGAGTTTGTGATTACGAGCTGAGCCAGCGGGCTGTAAGAGGAGTACACGACCGCTGGCTTGCTGGCCGAACGGGATGCTGGCCTGTCCTCTCCGACCTTCGCGGGGGATTCCACCATGGAGATGCTTGCAATCGAGCGTTTTTGTGGCGGTTCGGCGACTCGGATCCCTTCTTTGAGTAGATTCCTCATTTCGTCCAGGCAAAAACGACGCCGTTCACAGCCTTGTTATTGAGAAGAAACTACGTCCTATGGCGCTGTGCGCTGGTCTGTGAGAGGTTGAGGTGCGAGCCCTGGAGGCCCTGGGGATGGGGGGAGACTTCCGCGGGCCTAGAAGGCCCGCGCGCAGGGGGGTGGGACATTGAGACCGGTCATGAATGAGTGCGAGAGAGAGATTTTTAGCAATACCAAACAACTCTAACACTCACACGTCATTTGAGGCCTGGAGCCTTTTGTTTGTTTGAGTGCGCGACACGCATGATGCGAGCAGCGTTGTTGATGTTTTGCGCGTCGCCACAGACGGCGGCGCGCGAGAGCTGTTGCGAGTGGTGCTGGACAAAGCCCCGGGCGCTGCCGGAGGCTGTGCCGTAGTCGGTGCGGTCGACGGCGCTCGGGCTGCCGACCTCTTTGGCGAAGTTGAAGATGATTCTCTATTTCTCTTGGTCGGCGGCGCGATGCCGCCCTGGCTTTCGACGGACAAATTTTGACGATTCCGTTCTTGACATGGAGCGCGTCGTAGTACTGTCCCTTGTGCCCTTTGACCCAGCCTTTGCCGGTCGCATGGACGAGCGGGCCCTGTGACTTGTGGCCGCGCTCTTTGCACCCAAGAACCTTGAGGTTGTGGTTGAGCAAAGGTTTGGTCGAGGGTGCCGCCGTTTTCACAGTTCACGCAACCAGCCCGGGGGGATGATGTGGGCCGCCTTGAGACAAAGCGGGAACTAGTAGTGTCCCAACTCGATGTGATGTGTGCGGGTGCCAGGCGTAGTGTGCGGGGCGCGCGAGCATAGGCAATAGCTCCGCCGCCAGGGAGGCAACCGCGGGGTGCGAGAGTCGACTGCGGACTGGTGTGCGTCGTCGTGGTTTCGTATCAAGAATACCGCTAACACAGCGCATCACAAATGACGAACCGGGGTGCCTCTCTCTAAATTCCAACCTCGCCGGGCAACGCATACAGCTGCTACACGCAGACCCCCTGCGCACGGGTTCAAGCTAGTACGGCCTGCTCAGCAGCCGGGCCATCGCCTGACTGTGCTGGGGAGGCTGTTGGAGGTGCCACGCCGCCCTGCCGCCGGTTTTCGCCGTGGGCCGCACCGCGTGCGCTCGGGCGAGGGGAGTGTGGAGCTGCGTGGCGCGGGGCGGCTCCTCCGGGCTCCTCTGTGGCTGGCTCCTCGGCGCGGGCGGCGTGGGCGGCGGCGTGGGCGGCGACGGGATCGGCTGCCCCTGCGCCGGCGCCGCCGGCGGCGTCCTTGCAGGCGCCATCACGAGCGGCTGCGCAGCTCGAGCGGCGCTGGCGGGCGCGGGGCCACTTGTGCCGCGAGTGCGCCGCCAGTATTCGTCGAACACCACGAAATGGTTGAGCTGCGGTATGAAGCTCGCGAGGTCAAAGTGCTTGCGCAGAAAGGCGAGGAACTTGTGCGACGGCCGGTCGTAGCCGAGCGCCGCCGCACACGTGCCCTCGCGCTGACACATGAAATCGAACAGGGCTCTCCCCTCCCCTCCCCGCTGGAGGGCCGTGCACACGAAAAAGTCGAGGACGCAGAGGGGGCTCGTCTGCACATACTCGGAGCTCTGCTTGCGGTGCACAAAGAGCTGGCGGCCGCCCACGCGGAGGAGGCCGCGCAGGGAGTCCTTACCGACCGACAGGTACAGCCGGTTGTCGCACGCCAGCATCTGCGCGTGAGATGTGATTGGCTTGCTAAGGCCCTGCGCCTTTGCCGAGAGCTCGCCGATGCTGTCAATCGCCTTGCGGACGAGCTGCGCGTCGGCCGGCGCGAGCGCTCGCAGGGTATCCCGCGTGACCACAACGATGCCTGGCCGCATGGAACGCGGGAGCGGCGCCTGCATCGTGCAGTCTTCAGTCAAAGAGCCACCACAAACAACGTTACAAAAGTCAATTCGTTCCCGTGCCCAGTCCTGTGCCCAGTGTCGTGCGAGGGAGTTTTGTTGTAAAATTCTTTCTACGGAGTTTTCTTCTGCAATTCTTTCTTTGTTTGCCAGCACGCGTCAGTCCGCTCCTGGGTCGTGCCTGTTGGCGTAATTTGAGAGGTGTATTCTCTCAAAAAATGCACCGATCTGTGCGGTGATGTCTTTCCCTCATGAGAAGTGAGTGAGTGAGAACGCACACAACGCCTCGTTCGTTCGTGCCCTCGAGTTCGTGCCCAAGAAAGCCATAACGCGGCTGGTACTCGTGGAAACTTTGGGTAGCATTGCGCCGCCCACCAAGCAGTCCCTCCACGCGTTCTCCAAAGGAAGCGGTGGGCACCAACAGCAACGAACACGGACCGGACGGTGCAAAGTAATGGGGCGGCGTCGGCGAGCGCCTCCTCCTTTGAGCTTTGTCGTCCACCACACGCAGCAGATCTCCATGGCGGCGGTGGCGGGCGACGCCGACAACATCAACAAGCAGGCGCGCAAGAACCAAGATGCGCACCAACTGGGTCAACTCCCCTGAGGCTGAGCGTGCCAACTGGGTCAACGACGTCAAGTCTCAAGAACAAGCAAGCGGCGCAAACGGCCTCGTACCCTCGGCCCCAGTGGGGGGTGCCCGCGCCGCATAGCTCCGCGGACGGGCCCCTCCACCCTTCATGTACGGATCATGTACTGAGTAGTCCCCACAATCGCAAAACAAAACACAACTACTCGCCCAAGTACTCGCTCTCTTTTATGTCCCACCATGCAGAGCGCATCTCTCTCTGTTGTGCGAGGCGTGAACCGCGCCATTCGCTCTCACCTGGCAATCCTGTCTGCACGTCTCGCGCGCGCGTGAACAGGGCTAGCGCGTCGGCAGGATGCCCAAAACAGTCCTCCAAACGCCCCAAATGAATTCGACCGCCCAACGCTGCCCCCCCCCCCCCAAACGTACTTTAAACGACCATAAACTTCAGTCTCCAGGGGCTCCAGGCCCCAAATGACGTGTGAGTGTTAGCGTTGTTTGGTATTTGTGGCGAACACGTGGAGGAACTGCTTGGTGGGCGGCGCAATGCAACCCAAAGTCTCCACGAGCACCAGCCGCGTTATGGCTTTCTTGACCCACACTTCGCGTCGTAGTACTGCGCCCCCATCCATTTCCAGCCTGCATTCTTCTTGACCCACCCGTCTCCATACGCGTGGTCTTTGACCCGTCGAGTGGTCGAGCGGTCCGTCCACCTGACGGCCACGCTCCTTGCACCCCACGACCGCCGTCAACGCCTTGTCCAGGGTGTTTCCAAACCCGTAGAGGTGGCCCACCGACGCCACATTGCCACCATTGTCCCACGAGCCATCTCCCCACCGTCGTCGACTTGACAAACACGACTTGACACAACCCTGTCTGCACGTCTCGCGCGCGCGTGAACAGGGCTCCAGGCCCCAAATGACGTGTGAGTGTTAGATTTGTTTGGTATTGCTCCGCAGTCACCGTGATGCCTTCGGCGCCGTCTCTCCCCACCATCCTGACGGCGGTGTTCGCCATCTTCTCCAAACCCGCCACCACCTCGACGGCAGTGCCAGCCCCGGCGGCCGTCTTTCGCTCCTTTCGTCGAGCCACGAGGAATTTGTCCGGACCGTCGAGGCGGGCGGCGAACACTCGTTCGACCATCATAGACGACGCCTTCACCGGCGCTCCCGCCTGCTCCGCGTCGTGCGCGGCCTTGTCGCTGCCTTTCCCCGCAACTTGAGCTGCCCCTGCACCGCGACCATCGCGTTGGCGGTCTGCGCAGCAAGCTTGGCCGCCTTCGCCGATCTCTCTCGCTCTGCCGCCGCCGCCGCGTCCACGGGGCGGTCCGTCAGCGGGTCGTCCTGGGGTCGTCGCGCAGCCGCCCATCGCGCATCGGCCTCGGCAGCCTCGATCATGACAGCGTCGGCAGCCTCGCTCATACGGGAGCGCAGAGACCTGAGACGGTCCGTCGACAAATTCGAAACGTCCGCAGCGCCCGCCGAATTCGAAACGTCCGCAGCTCCCGCCGGTCTCCCGCTAACGGATCTTACGCCGCCTGTAACCTCTCTTTAAGGTAATACGCTGCTAAATCTCTCTCTCTCACAATCGCTGTCGTGGGATCGCTTGTTATGTGAGAGAGTGCGTTGTGTTCTTGTTTTGTATCCGCTTTCTCTTGCGCGGGTTCACCCGCGGTGTGGCGGGTGAATTCTTTTGCACCGCGAGGTTTCTTCTTTCTTGTGCGAGAGTCTTTTCTCTGGCGAGGAAGGAGAGGCCCCGCCCACCCAGGGTAGTGCTCTTTCGATGACTCGCCGGGGCTCTGCTCGAACTCACGGCGCGGGCTCTCTCGGCTACGGGACCGGCCCCAGCTTCGGCTGAGGGCTAACAAGCTGCCGAGCCCAAATCACTGTGAGAGTCGTGATTTCTTGTTGGTTAATAAAAATCTCTGCTCCAAGAGACCTCGAGAAAGAGTATGTCAACGTTTTTTCAATTGAAGATTCTTCTTCTTCTTCTTCTTTGATAGTGCTAGCACGCGCCAGTTCGCACCTGTGTCGAGCCTGTCTGCTGTGAGAGGGCGGTGTTTTGTTTAAATTCTTCTTCTTGTGCTAGCACGCGCCAGTCCGCACCTGTGTCGAGCCTGTCTGCTGTGAGAGTCAGTGGAGCACTTCGAGTGGAGCACTTGGAGCACTTGGAGTGCAGTCATTAGCCTCACATCCAGGGCCGGGGAGCAGAGGAGCGCACCCAGCGGGCGGATATCGCGCTAAATTCTTCTTCTGTGTCGAGCCTGTGTGCTGTGAGAGAGAGTTGTATCTAATGATATAAGGGTCCCCAGCGAAGCGCCGGACGCCACCCAGGTCTCGAGCTTCAGCTGGCGAACCATCATGCCGCTCTCGGCACCGCAGCAGCGCGAGCGCCGCGCCGCGCAGCGCGCTGCCGAGGCTCAGGACGCGGCTCGCGGGCAGCGCAAGCCGGACGGCGCCGAGCCGGTGCTAGGCCGCCTCCGCTGCGCCTGCTTCCTTGCGCGCCGCTGGACGTCGGCCGAGAAGACCGCTTCCCTCTGGGGACCCGACTCCGCGAAGATCGCGCGCGCGTCGTGAGTGGCGGCGCGCGCGCGATCTCCGTTCCCGGGCACGCCGGTCGCAGTGGCATGGGCTCCCAGGCTCAAAAGCGCTCCCGTCAACAGCGAGCGAGCGCCGCCGCTGCTCCTCCTCCCGCCGCCGCTCACCGAGACTCGGTGCCGCCGTTCGCCGCCGCCGCCGCCGCCGCCGCCGCCGCCGCCGCCGCCGCCGCCGCCGCCGCCTCGCGCCTCGCCTCCGTCACCGCCGCCCTCCATCTCGCAGCGGCGCGTCCCTCTGATGGCGCGGGCGCCTCGCTCACCGGCGCCTCGCCGCCGCCCCCCCCCCTTCTCGCGCCGCTCCGCTCGTGGCCGCCGCCTCCCCTGTCAATCCCGCCGCCTCCCCTGTCATCCCGCCGCCCGCACCACCGCCGCCACCGCCTCGCGCCTCGCCGCCGCCGCCACCGACCGCCCTCCCCTGCGCGCCGCTGAGCGCGGTGCAGGGGGCGAGCCCCCGCTGCGCAGCCTCACCGCAGTGCACTGCGCTCTCCGCGCCCCTGACGATTTGTGAGGAGGTGGTGTTGCACAGCATGGAGCTCGGCGAGCGTTTAGCGCCCGCAGCTAGTTGTTTAAATTCTTCTTCTGGAGAGAGCTCGCTCTTGGCTTCGCCCTCTCCACACGAGCCTGAGGATTTGGAATGGCTCGCTGTCGCTTGTGCCTCCTCCTGCTCACCATCCCGGCCGTCGCCGCGCATAGCACGGTGCTCTGCGTCCGCGGTGCGTCGTCCGTCGTCATGCAGCACGGCGGAAAGGGCGCGCCGCGCACCCTGCACCTCCGGACGCCGGCGCGTACCGCGAGCCGCGCACCGCCCGTGCGAATGTTTGGGCCGCCGGGCGGTGGCTTCCTCAACATGGGCACACCGGAGCTGGTTGTGATTGGTGCGGTCGCGTGGGTGCTCCTCGGTCCGAAGGAGCTGTTCCGGCTCTCGCGCGAGGCCGGCGCCTTCCTCGGCGAATGGCAGCAGCTCGGGCGGCAAGCGCAGCAAACCTTTCAGGACGCGCTGGAGTCGGAGCTCGCAGAGGAGGAGGGCGCGGCCGCCGGACCGAACTCGCCGTCGTCCATCGCCGCGAAGTGGCGCGAGGAGGCCAACGAGTTTGCCTCCAAGCTGCAGCCGCCGCCGCCGCCGCCGCCGCCGCCACCGCCTGCCGCGCCCCCCGCCACCGTCTCGACGAGCACAGCGCCGCCGGCCGTCTTTGAGGACCTCGACGAGAAGTACGCGCGCGGCGAGCTGGACGAGGAGGCGATGCTCAAGGAGATGCAGGCGACGCTGGGCGACCCCGAGACAAACAGGCAGAACTTCCAGGCGCAGCTCTCGGGCGAGCGCAACGCGCAGGTGCTTGCCGAGAACCCGGCGCCGGAGGGGTTCGACCTGGACGGCTCGGAGGGGGAGCTGCAGGGCGCGGAGGAGGACTTGCTCGCCGTGCAGATTGCCGAGGCGGAGAACGCCCTCGCCGCCCTGCAGGCGGAGAAGGACGTCCTCGCGTTGCGCCGCAAGCAGCTCGAGGCAAACGCGGAGCGCGCGCGCCGGCGGGCAGAGGACGAGGCGCTGGCGGGGCGGGAAGGGCCGCCGGCGTGATCCCCGCGTCAGGCAGAGTCGCGCGATGCCCTCCGTGAACGTGTGCCGAGCGTGGCCGGGTCGCGCGTTGCACGCCTTTGCGGCTCGGTTCACCACGCGTCCACGCTCCACCGCTTCCAGAGGGCTATCTCGTCCACCTCTTGCGGATGCGGGGTGTGGGTCCGGCGATAAAGAAAGAAAGAAAGAAAGAAAACAGCCCGGCGGGGGAGCGATGTACGCACCCGGCACATTCTGGACCATGATCCATGTGGAAGACGGGCTGGGGCTATCCCTCATCGGGAGGACGACCACGGCTAGTCGCCGACCACACCCACAAAAACCCAAAAAAGAAGCAACCCTGCACAAAGATCGCACGGGAGACATGTTCAGGACTGGTTCAGGAGCAGAGGAGAGCCCACCTGTCCCCCTGATCGTCCTTCCAAAATCCTGCTCGTGCAGGTGTGGACCCTGTCCTCCTCCCCCATCCCTCGTTTAGGTTTGTCTGTCTTCTTTCTTTCTTTCAGACATGTTCCTTTCTCCAAAGAAAGAAAGCGCATACTTCGCTCACCATGAATGCGGTAGACG